TTTATGTGATGCTGCGCACCTGTCTGTTAACTCAGATTTTATATTAAGAATTCCGAAACCCATAAAAATGAAGATTTAGTATGACATGCACATTTGTGCAATTGTTTCCTCATAATGAATTATCATTGTTACCGCAGGACTATTTTGACGTCACGAAGGCAAAATAACCTCGGCGAAGTATTTACGAGTTTTTGCATCTCGGATTTTAGCTTAGCGCGTATTAATTTGAATTTATACTACAGTATAGGAAGGCGTGCACTTGTGATATTCACTGTCCGAGTCCAATTCACCTTGGTTGGCTTATATATTGGGTGCATTGCTGTTTTATTCTTTATATTTAATCTTAGTCTTTTTTCGGTGGGTGTGCGGAACGTTTTATATTGATGAAATATATATTTTTAAACATAAAAAATATTGAAATTAAAACTGATTAGCTATTTTGGGGATTAGACATTGTAGATACTGAGAATTACATTCGTTTTTGGAATGTTTAGTTTTCAGGACTGGTGCATATAGTAAAGTTGCAAAATTGCGTATGTGCCCAAGTCATAAACACATTTCTGCTTAAGTCACAGTGCGCCTTTATGGCGTCACTTAACTGCGTCATACAAATTAACTTAAATCCGGCTACGATCAAAAAATTGAACCATGGCAAATTATTGACTCTCAATGGCATAACAATATCATTAGGAGGTTTTTTACGTTTTTATCAAAACTGCTAGAAATGACTTACGCAATTCGGTTATTAGCGTGATGATATTATAGTCATCGGCGACAAAACGCTAAAAATAATTTAATAAAGAGGTAAATTCGAAACTCAAATTTCTTGATTGAAAAACGATATTCTGAAATAATAAAACTTAAAATGAAAGATCACACTATAAATTTTATTTCAGCAGTCTCACGTCAGATCAAAAACGCTTTTATATAGGCATTGGAAATCACAAAATTTGGTGTTATGTTAGGTTTTCTCTGGTGATTCATCGTAGTAACTGCGAAATCGTAACACAGTCAATTGTGCGCGCGATCTACCTTTTTTTCATTCTGAAGCCACCGACGGAGCCGCATGCAATAAATTAATTTCAATCGTTCGTATTTTGCCGAGACCTTGTGATTTTTTAAACGGCGATTAAAATGTCAATTATTATCTTGCTTAAAAATAATCTCGAGTGCAAAAGAACAAATGAAGTTTGACAAATCCCAAGATCGCAAAAATACGACTCCAATTTATTTATAGTTGGCAGTTTATCACGTATTTTATGTTATTTTAGAATAGTAATCCTTTATTTTAGTAATCCTAATAGTAATCTCGAATCAAACGTGAGTAACGACGAGCACAATTATATTATTAGAACAAGACACTTTAATTAAATGCTCGCATCGGTCATGGATTGAATATTTTACGCAACAGAAATCTCGCAATCCGTTTTTTTTTAAATCGCGAAGAATGTCGCGCGGAAGTTTCCGATTCCATTCCCACCCCCTCCTCAGAAGCCTGGCTGCGCTCCAGCTTATAAATAATTTCATTTTTTAATTTCGCCTCTTTGCCATATTTCGAGGCTATATATTGTTTCAGATATTATTAAAGCTGTTATTGCTTCTTTGAACTGTTACAAAATTAGCCAAGTCAATATTTTGAAAAGTAATCGAATAGCTCGCGGAGCCCCTGGGTTTCTCTCGCGGAGCCCTGGGGCTCCGTACGGAGCACTTTGAGAACCTATGCTCTATGGGAAGAATTTTTCGGAGGTCAAAGGTCAGGGAGATGACCATAGAGTTGCGGAACAACAAAGAAAAGCCTTCCGTATGCGTGTGCAGTTTATTTGTAATATTTAGCACTACGGAGATGCCTAAAAGAAAGAAAGACGATGAGTATCGTCGATTTCACATGTGTTGCATGTGAGCAGCCGTTCAAGTCCCTCAGCGACCACTTTTGCTTATGTAGCACTGTAAATAATCCTAATTTTTGACTTATAATATAAGCGAAAAGGATATTTCGTACAAAGCCCCTGTCACCGATGCAAGTGTGAGATTTGAGAAAAAGAAACCCGCCACGTTTTAAAATTCCAACTCAGTAATTATCCAGTTGGGATAAGGGTTCGGGTTAGTGTTAGGAATGATTTGAAAATTTGAATTGACAGTTCAACCTGCATTCCTAACCCCAACTAGAAAATGACTAATTTTGCTATTTTGAGAGTTGGCGGGGGTGTAAAAAAGATCCTTAAAAAATACTCTCCGAATTGTATCACAAAACCCGAATTGTGTGACAATAAAAGTGATATTTAGTGGATTTAGCCTTTCAGCACGACCGACTCCAATCCTCTGCTTCAAAAGCTGTATTGTAACCCAATCAAGTAACATATAGGCTATAGTATGCTCATTGACAATATTTAAAAAAAAGTTTCATTCATTCTTCCAGTCTCAGGAACATCAGAGTAATATATATTTTAATGATATATCAATTTTTACTGTAATCACCATATAAGATTCGCAGCCACAAATTTTTTTTCGTTCTTTTCTGAATTCTAGTTTGGATAAAGTATTGCCGTGATCTTCTTTTGATCAGTGTCTCACATTTTAAAATTGACAAGGTATTGCCCGATTTTACATCCTGTCTTTATTTTATTGTGTTTTTTTTTTCGTTTGTTGGTGGACGGGCACGTACTTAACTTTTTTATTATCTCACAGTGTCTCACATTTTAAAATTGACTTAAAAGGTATTGCCCGATTTTACATTCTGTCTTTATTTTATTGTGTTTTTTTGACTGTTTTTGGTGGACGGGCACGTACTTAACTTTTTTATTAAGTTCTGCCCGTCCTCTGCGTTCTGTTTGTCAGTTTGTTGTTGTTTTGTTTGTTTGTGACCAAAATAAAATTGATTGATATAGGTTGATCGACAGTTGCTGCAGTCGACGAAAAGTCGACGTATTTTCCTCATATTTACAGTTTTGCAGTCAATCAATTTAGATTATTTTATAGAAATTTGTCAAAGTTGACAACCCTATGTTCAGGTGCTTCCCTGTCTTACATAATAATTACGACATAGCCAGAGAGACAAGCAAGAGATTTTCCATTTCATGAATTTTATGCATTTCATGCACAAAAACGTGTTTTGTGTATTTTACCTGATTTGACCGATAATAGTGGGACTGGAGTAAGCCGTAAGTGGGACCCGTAAGTCGTACATCTTTCTAAGCATTAATGATTTTTGTTCTTTTTCTTGACAACTTAGGATAGAATAGGATTCACATATTTATCTGGGGGAGAGGAAAGCCGATAACACGGCTTAATCATAAGGCGAACCACGGCCTCTAGTCCGGTAACCAGTCCATGTCAGATATGGGATTAGTTAGCCAGTTATTTGTTTTCGGAAGCATGGACTTGATGGTAGAGAAAACGACCAGCGGTTACGTGAAGCACCTTACGGAGGCGAGGAGTCCAGCAATCCTCTCGCACATTACTATCTCCGTACGTTTTTATCGTTTTATGACAACTTCAGGAAGAAATGGATAAATATTTGGCGACATACTGAAAATCAGATCAACATTTAGTCGGTGATTACTGTTGTTAACTTATATATACGGTGTGTCGGAGTCAACGACTAACATACCGGTCGGAGTCAACTGAGCCTCCGCTAACGCAAAAGCCTTCGGGAGGAAAATAAAAAATAGAATTTTGGACATGCATGATTTCATTCAGGGGATTTCCCCGTGGTCGTCAGTTCTCTTTCCGCGACTCGGCTTTTCGCTGCTTTCTTGTGTTTCCCTTTGTTTTGGCGATTGTTAGGGAGTTAGTGTAGAATTCTAGCTGGGAATGAATGTCTAGGTTTTGTTGTACTTGTACATTATAACATTAAAGTGGAGATGGTACTTTCCTAGCTATCCCGTGGGAAATGGTGAAATACTGTACCGTACTTGGTTTAATTAACCTCTGTCGGTCTGTCTGCAGGTCTGTGACCTTTCAGATAAATAAAGTTTATTTTGAAAGAACCATACAGGTAAGGCACGCTAATTAAAAGTCGAAGATCTTGGAGAGTGAGCTAAACTTTTGAAAAAGTTTTAAACATTTGAAAAGTTTAAAAATATCATGTGTCCGCTCACCAGCACACACACCCACACGAAAACACAAACCGAGTTAAACAGGCGGATCTGGTATAGTTTAGTACCACAAGTACTTCCAGTGTGCGTGGAATAATGATTTCTGCATGTGTTATTTCCGACCCCCACCTGACTAGAGGCGCAGTTCTTACCACCTCATGGCAGCTCCTGCCACGAACGAACCGCGGCAGCTCTTGCCATGGTTTTATAGCGCTATTCAGTAATCAGTATTAACGGTATATTCACAGATCAATGTACCAGATTTTAATTGATCCATCAAACCCCAAATCCATCAAAACTGTATCCATAAGAAAAACGTTCTGACTTACCCAATATTTGTCACCATAAGGGACAGTACGGCCCACCTGCCGTGGTTACGGCAGCAAAATTTTACCTGTTTTGGTTTTCAATTTGCTGTCGCGGTAACGGCAGCTCGTCATTGGTTTGTGGCAGCTAAAAAGTCAGTCGCCATAGATTTGGCCGTAGCGGCCATGGTATCCATCGTTTTGGACGACCATCTATACATTTTGGAGGCCCCTATCACGTAACTCTTAATTCGGAATGACATAATTTTTGGATGACGCAGTCAAGGTGAGGTTAGGAATCAAATATGCAAAAATTGTTGAGCCAGGCCAACTACTGAACTAGAAGTAAATGTGGTAAACTATACCAGACCCAAACAGGCTTGGGCCAGAAAGAAACGAAAGTGTATTGAACTTTTGTACCCTTCCGCTTGTCCACTGGTCTAGCTACTCGTCATGTATCTGAAAACAAATAACTGGCTAACCAATCCCATATTTGACATGGACGGGTAACCGAACAAGAGGCCATAAGAATAAGTGTCTTATTGGCTTTCCTTCCCCGGGATAAATATGTAAATCCTATCGTTATTAATCAAATGTTATATTTCCAGGTTGTTATAGGTTCTTTAGCAGAATTAGCTCTACCTAATGGATATATAAAGCAACAAACATGGCTAAAAGCTTGCAAAGTGTCAAAAGCGAGTCGGAATATATCAGCAAACTTTTCCCTAAATCACACTCCAGATTGAGAGTCGTCAACTACACAGCTGATGAAATATGTTTTCATTTTGTTGGCAAGAGCGATGAAAAGTTCGTTCTGAATTGTAACATTTCGGAAATATCCGAACCGGTACAGCCTATGTGGTACTCTGAGTCCGATAACCAATTTGTCACAGAAACTCTCGAATCGTTGTCAGAAATGACGCTAAAACCGAGAAATATGATCCAACAAGGAGTGGAATATATTTTAAAAGAATTATGCAAAAAATTTGGAGTAAAAATCCCTGGGGAGGTGGAAAAATTAACTTTCGATATAGACATAACCGACATGGATATTAATAATAATACAGACGAAGATAGTTCAGATGAAGAATTAGAAGACATGGACGCTCTCGGATTAGATGTTCACGTCGTAAGTGAAGCGGAACGAAAAAAGATGGAAGACAGCGGAATCGCTGACAGTGATTTGGTTAAGCTGGAAAAAATCAAATCGAATCAACAGAAAGCGTATATTACTGGTAGTGTGACAGGGTCAGTGCAAGCTTCCGATAGAATTCTAAAAGACTTACGCGCAATATATAAATCGGATAGCTTCAAAAATAAACATTATACTGTCGAACTAATTGATGACAGTTTATATGAATGGAATGTCCATATTTTACAAATAGATCGTGACAGCACTTTGTACAGCGACCTAAAAAAACTTAAAGACAAGGGCAGTGATGGTTCTATAGTATTACAAGTCACTTTTAAAGATAATTATCCGTTTGATCCACCGTTTGTACGTGTAGTGAAACCTGTTTTGCATGGTGGCTACGTTTTTGGGGGAGGTGCAATTTGCATGGAGCTCTTAACCAAACAAGGGTGGAGTAGCGCTTATTCTGTCGAATCACTAATTATGCAAATTATCGCGACGCTCTCGAAAGGACGAACGAGAATCAATTTTGGAGCTCGACCAGATGCATTCAGTTACGCAAGAGCGGTTCTTTCATTTCAAAAACTTGTGCAAATTCATGAACAGAATGGTTGGTCAACGCCACCAAAAGCAGATGGGTAATATAGAGGAATTTTTCGTGTGATTTTTTTACAGTTGCCATGGTAATTAAAAGAAATATAATTTTTTATATAAATATTCAACACAGAATGGCCGCTGGATCATGGGGGAAAAAATTAAGTCCAAAAGATTGTAATTTCAATAAAATTATTTTACTATCAGTTGGGGTTACGCGAGACTAACTCCCTACGCTTCCTTTGTGTCATTATTAAGGGGATGGATCTGTGTGCGTGCAATGCAAGGGTACTATAGTAAGAATGAAATTACTCTACAGTAATACATTGTGTTAGTATGCATCAACCCTCTTGAATCACAGTATATTATTTTTATACGACATTTCAATGTTGTTGTGTGTTTTGAATCAGTTGGGGTTACGCGAGACTAACTCCCTATCCCTTCCTTTGTGGCTTTATGCTATTTCATTAGATGTGCAAGATGTAAGGATGCTGTAGCACAGTGGTTCCCAACGTTTTATGGCTCTCTTACGAAGGCTTTTAGCACTCATGGCCCACTGTTTATCATTCCAGTGGTATATATATATGGTGTTGTTTTGATTGGTGGGTTGCGAATCCCATTATGTCCGAACAATTCAAGCTCAACAAAGTTGAAACACCCTGGGAAATAACGTTAAAAAGTATAGAAACTAGGATGAATAGAGAAGTTTTGGGGCTCCCGAAGTATGCAAACCAAGATGGCAGACATCGGAATGTAATATGTGTACTAGGTTAGGGTTAGGCCATAATTTTAGGTATAAATACTACGGGAGGCTCTTGGCTAGTCTTCGAACTGATAATAGAACTAAAATAAGGAAAATTGAAAAAAAATTATCGCCTAACCCTAACCTGTTACCCATGTTACGTTCCGATGTCCGCCATCTTGGTTCGCATACTTCGGGAGCACCGAAGTTTTCTTGTAAATTTATTTCCTATTTGTGTTAAATTTATTTGTTTTAGTATGCAGCAAGACTCTTGAATCACAGTATATTATTTTTATGTACGACATTCAAGTCTGTTGTGTGTATTGAATTTGGCATAAAAGATTTGATTAACCTGATATGAGGTAACACTAGTCCAAATATTTTGATCCTAATGTGAATGTACTAATGCCGCTTGTTTTTGATTTCTTGGTTTGGTTGAAATCAGTTGGCTAGACTCATGACTATCAGTGCCATATTTGAGTCAAAACTTTATCCTCTTTTTTTTGTTGATAATGCTTTGATGAGATGGAAGCTTATGTTTCCCTTATTATACCGTTTGTTAATTGAAAAATTGCGGGCAAGATATTGCTTTTCATACAAATTTATTTGAAGTAGGGTTCACATTCTGTTATTAAGATCAGTGGTTCCCGAACCGCAGTCAGCAGGCCAATTACGGCCCTAGTAACAATTTACTATGGCCCGCCGAACTCAAGTGGAATAGCCGAACACTTAATGTTTTTACGTTCTGGATACCGCCAATTGTTACATCAATATTATTATTAAGAGAATTATGCAAAAAATTTGGAGTAAAAATCCCTGGGGAGGTGGAAAAATTAACTTTCGATATAGACATATCCGACGCGGATATTAATAATAATACGGACGAGGAGAGTTCAGATGAAGAATTAGAAGACATGGACGCTCTCGAATTAGACGATTAAGCACATGTATATTCGTGACAATTCAATTACACTTTTTAATTAATTATAAGTATCAGAGCCAGTATCACCCCTTGCGGGCGTTTTTCTATTTCGGCCTGTGAATATCCTTCCGTCTCTAATTTTGGCCGCGGTCAATCAGCTTTGGAAACCACTGGTTTAGATCGGGGGTGTGCAACCTTTTTCATTAGCGGGCCAAATACAATTAACTGGGTGAATCCGCGGGCCGAACCTTTATTTAATTTTTAGTAGTTGCAAGCACAAAAATTGTTTTTTTTTGCTAGTGATCTTACGGCATTACTAAGGATTCTTGCACAAATAGTGAGTTGAAGCGCACATTTGACTTTATTGTCACACCGACTTTAAACCCATTCAGTGAGAAACACGTTTTTGTAATAGGGCCTATATCGTGTATTTTGCAACAGAATTTTGCTAGCTTGTTTTGCTAATATGACTGGTATAGGCTTTGCGACGTCGGAGGATGAATACTCGTTTCGCGGGCACACCATTCAAAATTGTGCGGCCCGCGGGCCGCAGTTCACACACGCCTGGTTTAGATCTTCTAAAAGAGTTTAAGCAGATTAATCAGTCGGTGCATTTAAATATCTCCGTCCTTGCAGCATTTGAAACATATGCTAGTTGTATAATTCAGCAGAATCACACAGAGTTTTTATTTTGCTCAATTTTGCGTGTTCGTCTTTTTTCTTATGCTCATCGCTTTTTTTCTGTAAATTTTATATGCTATATTCAAGACATTTTTATTTTTTCCCTTCGTTTTGATACTGCAGGTGGCAAAACAGTATTTTCCAAACGATATGTTTGTGCATGAACGAGTTAGGTCATCATGCCTAAATGAGTTTGGTCATGCATGAATGAGTTGACTCATGCATGAATGATTAAGGCCATAGGGATAAGTCTACTTATTTAATTTCATCCCCTCCATGGTAAATATTAAAAACCCATTTTATCCTTTATTCTTCTGAATATTACTGAAATCAGTTATTTGTCATTTTGATAATTCATGCGTGACTGTTGACATGATATGCATCACTGCTTATATTTCTCATTTTTTTTGCTGCTTTTTCAAGTAATGTTTTTGATATTTCTATTATTTTTATTTTTAAATTGATTACTGAGACTCTAAAATTTCAATTCGTCTTGGGGACTCTTGAGAACGTAATCTGTGTTAATTTGCTTATTGTATATTTTTTTAAAAACATTTCTTCGAATGGCTATCATTTTACTTCGACTTTTCTCACTTTTTTGTCATTTTTGAGGGAAAAATAACATGTTTAATATCTGAGTCCAAATAAATTACCCCAATTAGATCATATTTGCCAAATTTTATTTGATAAAATTCAATAATTTGTTATAACTCTAAACTTCGGACCCTTTCTCCTATTCCAATTGCTTCCAATTGCCAAGTTAAACTGTAACAGCTAGCTGGCTCGGAAACATAGGAGTTTAAAAAGCGTTTCAAGCAAAAAAATTACTATGTATAATACAGAATCTTTTTTCCCCTTTTGAAATGGCGGAGGGGGGGGGGGGAGAAACCTACAAGTCCCCATCCCCCCTGGGTACATCCCTGGCTCCTGAATTCATTATAGCCCCTACATAACAGTGGTTGCTTGTCTAATCCTTGTTCAGAGTGACAAAAGTGTGAAAAACAATATTTTTTATTTGTCTTGTGACTTGTCTTTATTCATGGTTATGTAATTCTTCCATTGCTCTATTTTATCTTTATTCTTTCACATTTGCTTCAATTGTATGAATTAACAAGAAAAATTGGAACGCGGTGTTCACAAAGTCCTAATAAAAGTGCTTTTTCGTCAGCTTTTGTCACTTTAAGAGTCGTCCATCACTTGCTAATAGATCGATTCCCCCATATTTCCGAGTGAGTGCGCATGGAAAAAAAATTGCAAAGGGAATTTATCGATGCCTTATGTAGTTTGTTTACATTCATATTAAATGAGGTAAAAAACCTTAAATAAATACTGATTATAATAAAACAAACCTGAGTACCAAGATATATTGAAAAATGACCTCGTAACAAAATTATATCAGGATTTTTGAACATTCCGCTCATTGTCAAGTTTACTTTAGTACAATGTGACTTCATCCTAACTAAAATTCATTCAAGCACAAACTGGCAGCATTGGTACTCCTTCTTTGGGATAAGATTGTTCCGACTGAGCACGCTTCATTAATTCACAGAGGGATATGGGTTTAAATTGTTCCAGGGTAGTCTATTTCCTTATTATTTGCTATAATTTTTGCCGATATGCTATTTCAGTATTGTGTGTTTTAATTGTGTAAATGTCTTTTCAATTTAGATTCCCTATATTAGAATTTAGAGTTAGTAATAAAGGTAAAACTATATATGGACTGCCATGTTCTTCTTCAATGTTGGAAGTCCATCACAGCAGAGCAGTAGTTATCAAACTTTTCAGTGGAGCGGAATCCCAACAAACCAATCCAGAGGCTCAAGGAATACCTGTTGTATTCAAGTCAAGTTTCTTTTTTCCAACCAGTAAAAAAACACCACTCGAGCACAAATTACGAGAAAACGATAATTATCCATTTTTACTGGGTAAGGGTAGTTGCAGAGAACCTAAGCTTGTTATCAAGCAAGGTTCTAATATCTAATTTGAAAAGTTTGGAATTACTGAAACTGGCTTCGTGACAGTGTTTACCGTATGAATTATCGGTATTTCTGTAATGTGTGTACCAGGTTAGGGTTAGGCCATAAATTTATTTTGATTTTCTTTAGGTTTCAGTCATTTTACACAACTTGATGTAAAGTAGGCGAACAAAACTAGTTACCTTCATATTGGTACACACACTTCTGGAGCGCCGAATTATATAACTTACATCGCTCACTAGAAATTATATTTTTATATATGTATTTATCTTCTATTTTTAAGATGATATGAATTATCTAATCTACCAGTAATATTGATAATGTTGATAAGGATTTCGTTTAGAGATGGAAAGCAAATTGATTGGATTGTCGAATCACCGGAGAATGTTACGTTCAGTGATTTTCTCGATGCGATTTATCAAGCCAGTGATGACCAATTGATTGTGTCAGCGTTTGAGTACGCTGATGAGGAGGAAGATATAATAACGGTGAAAAATCAAGGCGATCTGGACTCGATGATTGAATTTTATCGAAGCCAAGATGAAGAGAGAATAACTATTCGTCCAAAACTTTGCAAAAATCCCGGGAATCGTAACAAATTTGGTCTCAAGCTTGAAATTGCGCCGTCAAAACGACTCATCGCACAGAATGCTGTTTCCTCGACACAACAATCAACCTCAAATTCTTCAAAATTACAGACCCAATCAAGCGCAACTGCTGCCCAACAAAACTACCAGCAACAATACAGAATTCCGGAATCAGACATTGAGGGTGTAAATGAAAATAAAAAAGATCTTCATGAAATGGACGGGCTGTCCAGTCGAGCATTATCTTACGTAGAAACATTGGGAAATGGAAACAGCGGAATTGTCTACAAAGTAATTCACAAAGCGTCGAGGATTGTGATGGCTGTTAAGTCTATCGGAATTGATTTAACAGGCGAAGAACAGAATCGAATAAAGTCAGAATTGGAGATTTTAAGCCAATGTAATAGTTCCCCGCAGATTATAGACTTTTATGGGGCTTTTTCGCACGAAAATAAAATATTTTTATGCACTGAATTCATGGATGGAGGTTCATTGGACCGTTTTGGGAAGATACCAGAAGTTGTTTTAAAGCGTATCGCTCACCGGGTAGTATCGGGGTTAAAATTCTTATGGGGGAGAAAAATAATGCATAGAGACGTGAAGCCTTCAAATATGTTGGTGAACAGTAACGGACAAGTAAAATTATGCGATTTTGGAGTCAGTCGTCAGCTTGTGAACTCAATTGCTAAAACTTATATCGGTACGAACGCCTACATGGCTCCCGAAAGGGTCGAAGGTTTTGATTATACTTTTTACTCGGACATTTGGAGCTTGGGGTTATCCATATGTGAAATGGCTACAGGGGAATACCCCTACCCAGAATTAGCTATGAAAATTCGAAGCTCAGGAGGGGTGGTACCGATGGAAATTTTACAATGCATTGTAAACGCAGCCCCGCCTCAATTACCAACGGACAAATTTTCTTCTCAAATTGTCGACTTCGTTAACGGCTGTCTTCAAAAAGAAGCGAAATCTCGCCCGTCTCCTGATGTTTTGTCCCAACATTCATTTCTTCAAATCAGTCAAATTCTCGACCACGAAGATCAAGTCATCGCCAATTGGGTTGAGCAGAATAAAGCAAAATCAAAGTAAAGTTGCACGATGATGTTTTTCTTACTAGTTTTCTCTGGATTACCTTAAATATGATTTTAATTTGTTTCTCATTTTTTATAATTTTGGTATAAAGTAGGATTTATGTTCAAAGCTGTCATGATCGGCAATTCTCAACTATTCTTTCTGCGGCGGTTTGAACTCTGGCTCTGTTGCTAAAAAGAACCACTGGTCAGGATATTTTGATTCAAAAAAAACAAAGGCCTTTTTTAAAATTCAGAAAATCAGAATTATTTTTTTTTGCTATTTTTGCTCATTAGGTTTTGGCATTTGTTGTCGCTCATAATTTTGCTCAGGTATGGGTCATTTTTCCTACCGAGTGAGCGTACATCACAACGAGCAAATTCTCTCAAGATTATTATTTTATCAGAGTTCTTAAAAAATCTTTACTCAGAGTCTCTTCATGATTATGCAAATTTCATAAAGTAAAATTAGCTTGTTTTAGCCTCCTAATTTTTTTCGCCTTTTTTTCTCTTAGACTAGGTTTGAAGGCGGGACGATAACCTAACTTACCCTGATCTTATCTAAGTCATCTTCCCCACTAATTTTCTGATTTATTTTCTTAGATTAGGTTGAAAAGGGGTTCTCAACCTTTTTATGTGGCCCATTTTCTTCGCCTAAAATTCGTTGACAGCACATTTGAACCCATATCATACATTTTCATCGCGGCGGGTTCAATCTATATGCGGGTGCTAAAACCCATGGGTTAGTATGGGTTCAAATATCCGTAAAACGAAAAATATTTCCATAGGTGCAATAGTATGCAGGTGCAATTGTCGTGGGTTCAAATTACGGGTTCAAATGTAATGAAACCTAAAATTCATTTGGTCCATCAACTTTTTATTGCAAATGAAAAACTACGAGAAAAAAACGAATTATTTTTGCAAAAATGGATCATTTCAATTTGATAATTAGAATGACAGATACCACTCAGTAGCAGAAAACAGCACGATCAATCATTGGTACTGCAATCAAAATTAACAGTAGTGACACAAATCAGATCATCAATTTTTGATTGTTTCGTGGCCTAACTCGAAATCTTTCTGCGGCCAAGGAGTGGGCCATAGCTCATTGGTTGAGAACTGGGGACCTAACCTTAGACAGACATTAGACACTTATTTTCTGATCTGTTTTTTGGGCTCTGTTCAGTAGTAGTAGAATGACATGACAGTTTCAGGTTAGGATAAGTTAGGTTATCACCTCGCGTACTAAGTCATCATATATGCACTTGCTGTATATTTGCTATACAATCACTTTTTCTATATTTTCGTTTGTTTTTTTGCTCTGAATCCCCCCACAGAATTCGAACGTTCGAATCAAGCAGGGTAATCAGAGATGCGCCGGCAAGCGTATCCCTAACACTCAACACGATGCGCCACACCGTCAAGCTCAACTAATCACTGCCGATAATTTATTCCATCTCTCCCCCTCTTTAGTAACTTGACAGATTTGAAATTATCAAAATAAACACTTTCAATGAATTTTGGACAACAATTATAATTTTTTTGTAATATATTTTAAAGTGTTTGAGTTGCAGCTTAGATTATAGTGCCCTTTTATGAATTCAATTTTTAATATTTTACCCTAATTTAAATAATGTATTTTTTAATTTTATTTTCGTTGTCATATGCGAATAGGAAAGTATACAATGATATTATAATTTATAATTGTTTTAAAAATTATGTTCAAAATCACTTTTTCATTTTAATGCTTTATTAATGAATTTATTTTGCCTTAAAATGCTAGGTCATGTTCTAGAATAATGTATAAAATTACTTTCAATTTGAATGATTTTATTTTGCCTTAAAACATTGTATGCCAAATTCAACTTATAAAATTTAAAGTTGATCATTCCATATGAAATATGGCAAATTTTTCGCAGTAAAAGTAGAAGTCAAATCAAAAATTGGGGGCTCCCGAAGTATGCGAACCAAGATGGCGGACATCGGAATGTAATATGTGTACTAGGTTAGGGTTAGGCCATAATTTTAGGTATAAATACTACGGGAGGCTCTTGGCTAGTCTTCGAACTGATAATAGGACTAAAATAAGCAAAATTGGAAAAAACTATCGACTAACCCTAACCTGTTACCCATGTTACGTTCCGATGTCCGTCATCTTGGTTCGCATACTTCGGGAGCACCAAAAATTGTTTTGTTGAGTAGTTTTTCTTGTGATTTTGACATGCCAAATTTTATTTTAACAATGATTTGTGGTTGATTAGAGTAGCATTCAATCCAGTGGTTTCCAAACCGCAGCACACGGGCCAATTACAGTCCACAGAACGATTTAAATTGTTTGTGGATCTTAAGTGATACAGTTTAACAATTATTGCTTCTGCTTCTTTGTGTTCTAGACACCGCCGATTTTTTATGTGATTATCACAGTTTTAACAATCCAAATATACCTGTATCTTAATTATAAGTACAGTATTAGGATTACATTACATCAGGGGTGGGCAACATGCGGCCCGCGACGAGATTTTGACCGGCCAGCTGACTGTACATCAGTACATTATAATATTACATTATTACACTTTTAGTACATTATGATAAATTCATTATGTATTTTTTGGTCTTTATTTTTTTTGTAGTTGAAATTTTACTTTAACACGATTTATAATTTTCTTTCTTGCATTAGCGAATAAATATGTGATTAAGATATTGAATAATATTCATGTTATAATCCGGCCCGCCGAGAACTTCATTTTCCCACATCTGGCCCGCCGACTAGAGAAAGTGCCCACCCCTGCATTACATCGTATCCTTGCCCGCGAATGTCCTCCCACTTCTATTTTTGGTCTCCGGTCAATCAACCTTGGGGACCATTGGTTAATTTTACTACTATTCCGCTTACTAGGAGAAAAGATATGGGTTCTTTTTCCTTACTACTGTGTTAGTAGATTAACTGCAAATATAGTGGAACAAGAATTAAAACAACTTTATTGGACTGTACCTTGAACCAGGGTGGTGGGATTGGGGTCACTGGGGTATGACCGAGGTAGTATTTCAAGAGACCCAACCCAATATTGGGATTCAAAATCGAAAATTCAAAATTCTTGAAGCTAAGTTTATCGGCCGTTCTTAAAGAAATTTGTCAAAGAAGGCTTATACATCTCAAAGTTTTTATCAATATTTAATTTTCTTAGAGTTTTTGGTTGAGGGGTATATTCAATTGGCTAACACAGACAGTTCCCGAACTAAAATAAGGAAAATCAGAATAAATTTATGGCTTAACCCTAACCTGGTACACATACTACGGGAGTACCCTATGTTTAATAAAAGTGCGACCTGTGGTTTCGCCCATGGAGTTGGTCTCAAAATTTCGTTACAATCTGTGTCACAGAATCAAAATCTTTTGAAATTTTTTTTTTGAATCCTCAGCTTTTCTCTGGACCACTCAATTATAAATTCAATTCCGTAATGTTTAATATTAAAGTGATTTGATGAAAAAAAGTGATTTGATCAACAACGTTAAACAAAAATCTCCAGGCTTTTAGCTCTGGTATATAACAATATTGTTTGCTCATGCCCTCATTATTAAACAGGGTTGAAACAAGTGTTATTGTCTAGCAGCATTATTATGCCTTAATTTAGATTGAGATTATGCTGCCAATTTTTGTATTTTCGATTCCATGCAGATTAAATGTTACTATATATATAAATATACCTAATTTTTTATTATTTTAAAAATATTGTTATTAAATATCACTGTATATTTGAATTATAGGTCTTTTAAATAATTAATTAGCAAAATAAGTGTCCGCATACACTCAATTTAAATACGAAAAATTTGGAGAGTAAAGAAATTCGTCAACGTGACTAAAAATGGATTCTGATGATGAAAATGACATTTTTTATGAATGCACCGATGATTTTTCGAAGTTGGATTCATCGGAGAACAGCAAGTTGAAGAATGAAAACCAAAATAAACAAGATGAAGGACAATTAATGTCTGATTTGAATCAAAAATATAAAGTGAAAAATGATTCAGTTATTGATTCAAATTCTGAAGTATTGAAAAAGGATTCTGAAGTTTCAAATGTACGTGGGGTGCTCAAGGAAGACGCTTTCCCAAGAGAGACACCTAGTGTTTCAAAAAGTGGATCCAGTGACTCGAATATGACAGAAAATGATTCAGGAAAGATAATTGATTCTGATGAAAGTGTTATAAGTCAAACAACATCAGTAAATGGTCCACGAACTTCAAATCCTGGCGAAGATATTGGATTTGAAAATGGAGACAATACACATAGTGGCGCTGTTGAGTCAAAAAAATTAGATGGTGAAGCTCCTGGAGATATTTCTAAGGAACAAGATTCGCTTGGAGCTGGTAAACGAAAGGAAGGTGGAAATCTAAAAAAAGGGGGGGAGGGAGCATTTAGTAGTAAGGGAGGAGATATAAATTCTATGGAAAAAGATAAAAAAGTGGTGGAAGGAGACGTAAATTCTCTGGAAAATGAGGAAAAAGTAGTGCAAGGAGTATCTGGTAGTGAAGATGATGGAAAACCTGCGGAAAATATTGAAAAAGTGGTGGAAGGAGACATAAATTCTTCGAAAAATGATGAAAATGTGGTGCAAGGAGCATGTGGTGTTGCGGACTCGGACGATGAAAGTTCTGAAGACGAGTCATCACTAACTGAAGAAGAATTAAATGAAAGGAAATTGGAAGCGAAGAAGCTGAAAGATGAAGGAAATGAATTTTACAAGAATGGGGATTCTAACGAAGCAGAAAGACTTTACACGGAAGCAATAAAAATTTGTCCAAAACGTTTCGAAAAAGAACGTTCTGTAATGTTTTCGAATCGTTCCGCTTGCCTGGTTAAATTAGAAAAAACTGAGCTTGCTATAGCCGATTGTTCGAAAGCTATCGAACTTCATTCTACTTATGTTAAAGCGATTTTAAGACGAGCGCAACTTTACGAAAAACTTGAAAAATATGAAGAAGCATTAAAAGATTACGAAAGACTTTTAGAGATTGACCCTTCGTTGCATTCCGCTCGTTCAGCTTGCTTACGAATTCCCGGCGAGATAGAAAAACGAAACGAAAAACTAAAAGCACAAATGATGTCTAGTTTAAAAGATTTAGGAAACATGTTTTTACGTCCGTTCGGACTTTCAACAAATAATTTTCAACTACAGCAAGACCCAGGTACAGGCTCCTATAATATTCAATTCAATAATGGTCCTGAGGGAGGAAATAATAATAACGGCCCGTCTAATGGGCCTTCTGCCAGGCCTAATAATAATAATACATGATAATACTTGTTCGATTTTGTTTCATGTCATTTATCTGAACAAGGATCTATAGCAGCGGTTCATAACCTGCTGCGGCCATATCAATAAATAATCATGATGTCAGGTTTTCAAATTAACAGAAATGTCAAATATTCCATATTATTGTGTCATGTTGGAACTTTATTTTATTCACTTGTACAATTTTTATCATTTTATTTTGGGAATGCTTTGCCCAATGCTGTGTAAAGGCGACTCAAATTTTTCAAAAAACAAATTTTGTGAAATTTCGCGTCCTAAGGATAAGCTCAAATACTAGGCGGTATGTAATGCTTATGCTTTCAATGTCCACAAAATTAGCTGACTGACTGAAGTTTTTATCACAGGAGACAGAAAATATCAAATTGATTAACTGTTTTCGGGTCTTAGTATTCCTCCATCACAGTCAGAAGATTTGTTTGCAGATTTACTTCTTTGAATTATCTTATGCATCTTGCTGCTATGATTGCATATTACCATATTTTTTTGATAAAAGTGAACGAAGTGAATGAAATTTTTCTGGGGTTAGGGTATAAATTTCTTGGGGCTCCCGAAGTATGCGAACCAAGATGGCGGACATCGGAACGTAATATGTGTACTAGGTTAGGGTTAGGCCATAATTTTAGGTATAAATACTACGGGAGGCTCTTGGCTAGTCTTCGAACTGATAATAGGACTAAAATAAGGAAAATTGGAAAAAAATTATCGCCTAACCCTAACCTGTTACCCATGTTACGTTCCGATGTCCGCCATCTTGGTTCGCATTCTTCGGGAGCACCAATTTCTTTTTATGATACTTCTCACATGTACGATTGCTATTGACCAACTCTTCAATACAAATATGAAATAAACAAGAGAGCTATGCTCAAATATATGGACACGTAGCGCCACCCAGCGGCAATAATTTTGATGACGTCATAGCGAAAAAAAAAAGTAATAGCCTTCTGGAGAAAAATTTTATCCTTAATAACCACTGAAAATATCAAAGCAATTGGTCCAGTATTCAAAGAGAAAAGCGATTTTTTAAAAATGGAGACGGAGACAAATAACAATAACAACAAAATTTTGAAACGATCGTTATGGCCACTAAACGTGTCCAACAATAAAATTTACTACAAAATAAAAACAATAACCTCCAGGTTTTTGTTCAAAAAACAAGCGACCCAAAAAATTTATCAGGGGACCCATTAGTTCATTTGGGGAACACTGCTCCACTGAAATGCTAAAAACTTACCGAAATAATATAAATCGTGGTGTTGAGTTATGTAATCGTCTTAGCAGTCTAACAGAAACATTAATTACTTGATATCATTAATTAATCATTATGTCGGAATTTTATTTTGTAGGTACAATTTTTTAATTTATTTTGGGAATTGTTGCTTTGTTCAGTGTCGTGAGAGCTGTGATCATTTATTTATTTATCATAATCCGGTAATTTTGATCAATTTATAATCGTGTAGTGCATCTTAAAAAAACTTGAGAAAGTCTGGTTTATATGTTGGATATAAAGCAGACAATAACTTTAAAACCTTGTTTCAGTTCAATATACCTAATTTATGTCATTCATTATGCATTGTATTTTTTTACACTTGTATTTATTTTGTTCATCACTTAGTTGGTTACCAAATGTAAGGCTCAAGATAAGACAGGATTTCCCATATTCAACTTGGTGAAAGCTTAAAGCCTTTATAAGGGCGTAGCCGGAATCGTAATTTTATACTTGATAGTGATATAAAATAGACTTAAGGTATTTTAATAAAGATTCAAAGGGCAACAAGTTTGCTTAGCACTCTATTAAATAGAAGGATTACATATTCTGAAATTTTTTATTTCTGAAGTTATGCATCTGAAACAACGAACTGGCTTCATGCCCAATATGGACTGGTAACTGAATGAGGGTCTTTTTTTCGCCATATGAGTAAGCTGTCTTATGTATTATCAACTCTCCTTTTCTCGGGATAAATATATAAATCCTATCCTACTTTGATATTCTTATTTGATATCCTTAGTGTTTGAATCTGGAGTCTAGATTCTCCATTACCAGTCAAATTTCTTTTTATTGATAAATTAAACCCTTAATAAATATTTTTATTGTTACCGAATATTCATGCAACCATATTCTTCTGATGCTTGTCTAAATATGCCACATTTTTCTAGATTTACTCTAAACCACTTCCTACTTCCCTAACTTTTCCCTATTTAACCTTTGAACCATAAAATATGGCTCCCTCTAACAACCAAACTCCTGCCTATGTTATTAAGCTTGTGGTACTTGTACTAATGTCAGCAACTACGACGGCATATTTGATTCTGCTGCGTTGGACAAGGGTGGTTGCTACAGATAAATACATCACAACAATTGCTGTAGCATTACAGGTGAGCAGCTGCTTTTTTATTCTATTTGTTCTATTTTCAAGCGTGTTTCCAACTATCAGCTTTACATGAGGAGGTGTTAAGGTTTTTTGAGTGCTTTCACTGAGCAATAGTCAAATTTTCGAACTCCCTAGAATCAAAATTTAGAATTCTCTGGAATTAGAAATGCAAACTTTTACTGGTGATAAAATAAGTCAAAATATTATAAAAAACTCAAAAAGAATTAAGACAAGCTAAAAACATAACCACTCATTTGATTTGCAGGAAGTAATCAAGTTCTTCATGGCGTTAGTTGTCCTGATCTGGCAGAATAGAAGCATTGTGGGCGCTGTAAGAATGATAAAATCTGAGGCGATTGACAAACCGTACGATACATTAAAGATGGCAGTTCCTTCGTTCGTTTACGCGTTACAGAATAATATGATGTACATTGCACTGAGTAACCTGGATGTGCCTATTCAACAAGTAGGTAATTTTAAATAAATCGGAAGGCATAATAAAGCTCAAACTTGTTCTCAAACTTTTTAAGCCGTGCCCTCTTTTCAAAATTTCTCAAGTCTCGCATTCAATTTCAAAAATATATCTAGCTAACAATAAGCTACGAATAACAGATAGTATGACGAAAGTATGTTTTATTTAAACATTGCGTTGAAAATAAGTAGATGGAATGTAAATATCCAAAATAAGTCGTCAGGATCAATTCTAACAAATATTTTCATTTTTAATTAATTTCACGCCCCTTCCAAAATTGTTTTCACCCTCCTTGTGGGGTGAACATAGTAACCAGAACATAGTAGTTAGGTCATAATTTTAGGTCCAAATATTACGGGAGTCACTTGGCTAGTCTCCGTACCCGAAATAGAACTAAAATCGGAATAAAACTATTTCCTAAACCTAACCTGGTACACATACTACGCTCCGGTGTCCGCCATCTTGGTTCACATACTATGGGAGCGCTTATTTTGAAGCTCATCAATCCCTCTTGCTATGCTTAAGACCTCAGTTTCCAGTTGTATTTCAGTATTTGTGGATCACCATGCGCAACGCAACGCTCACTCTTTTTTTATTAATAGTTTCACAGTTTTGATAGTTTATAATGTGTGCATAAAAATGTAACAAACACTGAATACCCTACATTTCTTTTTGCATAATACACATGTGGTTTTTAGAACATCCACCACTAGAATTTTTCAATTCCCATGCATTTTACACATATCTGGTTTCCGTTTCTATCTTGCATTGAGGGTGTTTTTTCGTGGAAACGTTTCATGTTTTCTTTCTGCCTTTTGTTATTATGTTGTAATAATATACTGTTTTATATTTTTGCCACGTAAGGGTCTGCCAATTATGTTGTGATGTTATTTGACAATTCAGGGATACTAATACCGAATACTAAACTATTCCGAATACATTCTAAAATAATGTTTTCGAATCTGGAATTCCGAATACATTCTAAAATCGAAAATAACACATTTTTGTTTTAGTTGATTAAAACCCAGTAAATTAGGAAATAAGCTTCAATAGAAATATCAGAATGAAGCCACAAACCAACAGTATATGTACACAAAGTGATTGATAGTTTATAGCTATCAATAAAAAAATAGCAACTTGTGACACAGTCAGTTTATTAAAATTATTCACTTTGTACAAATGACCATATATGAAAAGCTAGCTAAGGAGTTGTCCGACGCTTTCTATCATTGGTACCATGATATTACGATAATAGTCAAGTCTATTGACAAAAATACTACTTGTATTCAGATAATTGTGTATATTTTCTGAGAGTAATTAAATTTATTGGCAATACAGGCAACAACAATCAAAAATCCATTATGTCTTCAAAAATTCTAATATTTAAGCCTAGAGTATTCTACTAGGCTACCTACCAGTATATTTGTATATTAATTTATGTGAACCATATTGTTATTGTGTGTAACATATTGTTGTGTTTGGAATTAGAAATGAATTAGTAGAGAATAGATGACCATCACTGCCAGAGCGCAGCCTGGATTTTCGAATTGGGAAATTCCCATTGCCGCCTGTAACACCCACCGTGATTCCACGCTCGTTAAAAGAGCCGTCTTTTCAGCGTATAATGATCATTCTGTTACGTAAAATATTCAATCCATGACAACTACGAGATTCTAAAATATCATTATATATTAATTCAATGTGTCAACGTAACTCGCGGTTGCTTCTTCTTACGTCAAAAAAAACATTATTATTCGATCCACAGCGATCTGTGACCTAAAATTACGAGATAAACTGCCTGATGTATTTAATTTTAATACGTATTTTTGCAATCTTGCCAACTCGTTATCGCCGTTAGAAAAATCTCAAATAATTATATAAAATCCTGTTAAGTGTAGAGTATAATTCATTTCATACAATGAATATACATATAAAGTTTAGCAGTAAATTAAAAATACATATTCATCGCCGCGATTATGCCACCTGTTAAAAGAGTCGACTTTTACAACAAATAATATAACAACGAATATATATTTTTCTGTTGTGCAAGGTGATGAATTCGTGACCGACACGGGCATATTTTAAATGTTTGCTTTATTAATTTATTGTCTTCAATTTAACCTGCGGTTGCGTCGACAAAATAAAATCCTCACCACTCTTATATACCATTGCAATCCGCGGTCATAAAAATAAAAACGTGAGGTAAACTGTCCGATTAAATATTGTTTTGATCCGTATTTTGCGAATTCGGCAGATTTTTAGATGTACTTGTTAATGAATATTAATAAATATGCTGTAATATCTCAGAGTAAAATTTATTTCATTACAATAAAATTGATTGAATATACTTTAGATTAATTATATTATATACATCCTCACAACTCGGGAAAAAGTCGCGTTTCAAACCTTGTATCGTGTAATTCGTGTTAACAGAAAATATTCGACGGCAATTTAAAGTAATGGATAATCAGGCAAATCCCGCCCTCAATTAGTGACGATATGTTTCTAAACGCCGACCAAACATAATGTGTGCCACAGGCGCACAAATATTTGCGATTTTCACTGCCTAGAAAAGCGTTTTTTAAATTTTCGAGGGCCTCAATAAAACTTATATTGTTTACAGTTTTATTTTCATTATTTTAAATTGTCCCTTTTCAATCAAAAAGTTGCGTTGTCTTTAGAAACTCGCCGCCGCTGAACGTATTTACCAGATTCACAATTCCGTGCGCGTACAAAAATAAAATAAATGTTATCGTTATCGTGGAACAAATTTGTGGAAAAGTTTATAACGCAACCGTAAATAACCGAATAACCGAAAATAACGCAACCTTAAAGGCGTTTACAGGCCTAAATAACTTGTTACGCTGATGAATGATGAAAACAATCACGCGCAAGTTTCTATCGAGAATGTTGTCATTCAACGGAAACGTCTTGGAAGCGGCGTCGAAAATGTGTGACGTCACACAAATATCCGATATTCTTATGAACGTGAATTCCGATATTCGAATGACGAGATATTCGAATACATTCGAATACTTTATTCGAATTGGCCATCCCTGTTTGACATTAAATAAGGATTTAATATTTTTTCGATATTTTCTATTTTAATAATGCATAACACGCACCTTCTCATTGTGAGGACAGAATTTAATTATGCAAGTGCGTGTCTATGTGAAGAAGTACAGTAACTAAAGAATATTAATTGTATTGAACAATGTGAAACTTTCCTCCTCAATCATAGCAAAAAAATGACTGTTTTCTTCACTTTTCACAGATCCTCTATCAACTTAAAATTCCGGCCACAGCTCTGTGTTCAGTTTTCATCCTCAGGAGATCTCTGTCGTATCAACAATGGGCGGCTTGTTTCATGGTCTTTGCAGGTGAGTGTAATGATGTAATGCAGAGGTGTGCAAACCTTTAATACAGATGGGCCAGATACAAATAACTGAGTGAAACCATGGGCTGCACCTTTATTAAACATATGCTTTCTGGTAGTTGCAGAATTATATTTTGGTTATTGATCTTGTGACGAGCGTTGTTCGCTTCGCACAAACTAACTGTTAGGGCATTGCAAGTCACGTCAACGACATGGGGCCTATGACATAGGCATAAATAGATAATAAATTGGATTCGGGTATCGGCTTTGCAGCGCAAAGGGATTGGGATTACCCGCACATACTAGATTTGACTAAATTAAAAACTAGTATCGGGTTTAGCACTCCATTCAAAATTCGCACTTCTACGCAGGTCGTACAATTTTTTCTTTGTGGGCCGCATTTGACCAGCAGCTCGCACGTTGCACACCCCTGATAATATAATGGTATTGATTCCAATTTTGATTTGTTCTAAACTTATATTTGCTGGATAACAAGATATTTGCCGAGCAATTATCGATAATTTCTTACACTTCTATATCTTTGGGGACATGGCTTGGTTAGATAAGCTGTAACATTTATTTTATATTGACGTATAGTGTATTTCATTACATGCCCACTTTATTTCTTTATTCAGGTTATTATCAGTTAAGTTTTTTCTTAAAAATGCAATGTGCCCTGGCGATGTACTGCAGTAAAAGTGGTTAAAAGGCCCTGAAGGGTTTCTTGGGGTCAAGAAATAGTCCCTAGTGGGCCAAGAGTTAAGGCGTCTACTAGATTTCTTTTCAATGACCTAACTGATACTGCGAAAAAAAAAAAAATTACAATATTGAGTATTGGCCAAATTGAGTGGTAGTTTTTATTATCTCCCTTTGTGATTGCTGAACACTAACACTTATGCAATGAGGGGTTGGACAAGGAGTGGGCAATTAATTTTTGGGTGTTGTGGCGCTCCAGAAGTGTGTGTACCGATATGGAGGTGATTAATTTTGTTCACCTATTTTACATCAAGTTGTGCAAAGGGACTGAAATCTATGGGCAGGGGTATATTCACATGGCTAACACAGACAGTGCCTGAACTCGTAATAGAACTAAAATAAGGAAAATTGGAATGAAATTTTGGCCTAACACTACAGGAGTACCTAATTTTCAGATTTCTTTTTCCGAAAATAAATATGAAAATACATTTTCAGGTCTAGCCATGGTAGAATACAATCCAGACGGGCCATATAAGTCACCTCAGACAACAGCATCGGATCAGAATGTTTTTGTCGGAATCAGTGCTGTTATGGTAGCTGTCTTCTGTTCCCCATTTGCGGGTAAGATCGTCTAAATACAGTGCGAGTGAGGATGAACACCTCCCTCTAAAATTTCGAACGGCCACACCAAATTCAATTCCTAATTTTTCCATATTTTACTATTTTAAATTTTTATTTTTCTCAAAAATCAATTAAGAGGTAAGGTGTAAAACTAGATAGCGATCGGAGACCGCCGACTTATCGATATGCGGTTTCGATTCCTTCGCTCTGACTCGATAGCGACACTGCATGTCTCGTCACTAACTAATTAATAACTCTCTAATTATACGGTATAATTCAATAGACTTCTGGTCCGAGATATGGTGAATGCACATGCAAAATTTGGAGCAGATTCAACCTTGCTTTCGTGAGATATCGCGCAACATACGAAAGTGTCTAACAGACAAACGAACAGACAAATACCTATCAACATACTTACCGATTGAGGATAATTCTATTTGAAATTTCAGCAAATGTCTCGTGACAATCACCAGAATGGGCTTGATTGCTACTAACTATCGGTAATACAATCCAAACTAACTAACTCTCCAATCTTCATTCTAGGAGTATATTTTGAAAAAATGGTGAAAGAATCAGACACTTCAATATGGGTTCGTAATTTACAAATGTACGCTTGGACGACAACGGCCGCATTTTTGGCCGTGATCACTAAAGATCTTGCAACCGTCAGAGAGAAAGGATTTTTCTTTGCTTATACTCCCTTGGTCTGGGTTTTGCTTTGTGAGTATTTGGTGACACTTAAAGCACTATATTTGGTTTTGTTGGTATTGCAAGTTACAGCTATGTCTCAGTTTCGAATCCTGTACCCCAAGACCCCCCCCTCCCAACCTAGGGTGTAAAAATTCGGGGTGGAAAATGTCAAAACAAAATGACCCTGTCCTCCCAAATCATTAGATATCAGTGGGTGCTTATACAGAGCTGCTCAGGCTTATGTAGGTTTTTTTTTGGAGCAGAATGAGCTAATAATGGTCGCATAAAAATTGACGCCACCACACCTCACCCAAGGGATAGTAAATTGGGTATTGCTAAACTGGAAGGATACCGTTCTTTTCAATCACAGTGTTTCACCGAAAATAAGACTAGCCCTAATTGTAAAAAGATTTCAATATAAGCCTTCCCCGTAAAATAAAACCTAGTGTTATCTCCTAATTCTAAACTCTGTGATTATGTTTTTGACCAATGAAAATAAAATTCATCCCCCAAAAATAAGCCCTAGTGATATTTTTCGTAGTTGAATTTGAAATAATTAGTGATAATCAGCAGGAAAGCAATCAAAGCAAGCTTTCTGACTATTAATTACTATTCATTTAGAGTGATATTGTTTCCTCCAACTTCAAATATTAGCAAATTTTATGGAAGAATCATTAAATTATTTTTTACTCTACAGGTATTGGTGGTGTCAATGGTCTTCTTGTGTCACTTGTACTGAAATATGCAGATAATATTGTCAAATGTTTTGCGGCCTCTGTCTCAATTATTCTGTCCACGATTTTGTCATATTTTATCTTTCAATATGAATTTGGTGAGTTTTTATATTTTTTTCTAAATCCAATTCCCCAATCAAAAATAGTAATAATTTTGGCGCTCCCGTATTATATGAACCAAGATGGCGAAGACCGGAACGTAGTATGTGTACCAGGTTAGGGTTAGGTCATAATTTTATTCCAATTTTTCTTATTTTAGTTCTATTACGAGTTCGGGGACTAGTCAAGTAACTCCCGTAGTATTTGTACCTGTAATTATGTCCTAACCTGATACACATACTACGTTCCGGTGTCCGCCATCTTGGTTCACATACTACGGGGGCACCATAATTTGAGTAGGCAATGCCAAACAGGAAAGATTTGGACCTCCCAAATAAAAGTTGCTTCTGACATATGATCTTGCTCACAGCAGAAGGCCGCCATCCATCCATAATCTAACTCCATAATGCCCTTCTGTTCAGCTCCAAGCTGTGCTAGAAAAATAAATGGCATTGTAGGATTGTTGTTGAGACATTTTACAGCATCAAATTGGCGTATCACTATAAAATCTTCGATAAAATGAACAAAAAAAGTTCTATGTTGTGTTTGTGTCAAATTTATCGCATTAGATAGTTTTTTATTTTTAATTGCGTTATATATTTAGATAGCATATATCTTAGAGTTCAAAATCCACCCTTCGGTATCATCCTAGCCCTCATAACAGCTGACTTATTCGATTCTGTACAACAACACGATGAAATTTCCCATAAGACTCCATTGTTTCGCGTTTCCCAAATATGGCACAAGATGGCGTTCATGAACTTGTTTAGCAAGTTGGTTGCCGGCAGTTGCAGAAGGCGTGCATAAACTTGTATAACATGAAAACTTGCGTGACAGGAGTTTGCGAGACCTACATTTGTTGCTAGCAGTTTTTTCAAAACCTTTACAAGCAATTTTTCAATATGATTTATAGGCAAATTTTGTGTCCTAAACAGATACAAAACAACCTGTAGCATGCTGCTATCTATGATTGCAGTGAATACATATTTGTTTTTTGTTATTTGTAGAAACTGGCATATCCTGGAGTGGGAGGGGGTGCAAGTCGGAACCCCGCCCATTGAAAATTTCCTAGTCTAGAAAGTATAGATAGCATTGATAGAATAGTCGCAGGCAACTGTTGACCTGCTAATGGCTGTTTTTCAAGAGCTAAAAACCCATGGTTGCAGTAAAACTCATCTGCCTGAAAGCATAAAATAAATCTAAGAGTGCACTATTTCTTTTATAGGTCCTGGCTTTATAATAGGAGGTATGATTGTATGCAGTGCAATATGTATCTATGCCATTCCTCTGCCTTGTCTGGGTACAAAATGGACGTCAAGTTCAACTAGCAAAAAAATTTCTGGTGCGAGTTACGATAAACTCAGATCAGCTACTTTGAACACAGATAACGATGAGATTTAAGTGAAATAAACTGGTTTTTGTTGTAGGCTGTAAGGTCGTGACAAGGCATTCAAAATGCGACTCCTGTCACTCTCAGACAAAAACGTTGGCTTAAAAAATTGTGACTTAGCCCACCTTGATTTGTATGCTTAGTATGCTCAGTAACACTTGTATGCTTAGTATGCTTAGTAACACACAACCAGCGACTCTTGTTACAAAAATTATGGATTCTGGTCAAACACAAATCTTGGGGGCGGGAAAAAGCATTTAAAAAGCGACGCATGTCAAACAAAATCTTCGACTTAGATTTCTGGTCACGAGGAATTTTGACTGGTTCCAAAACTTTTTGACTGACGAAATTTTTAATACCGACTATTGGTAAATAGAAATTTATGTGGTCGCCTTGATTTGTATGTCTAGTCCAAACTTTTCGAAAACATCATTAAAAACACACTTCTGTTAAACAAAAATTATGGTCTGGTCTGGTCAAATCTGTTCAAACCCAAATCTTGGCAGACGAAAATCTTGACCCGACCCTGCCCAGACTTCATAAATTTTAAATAACCTGTTTATCTTATGAAAATTTGAAAGTGGTGGCCGTGTTAGTTTCAGAATGAAGCAATTTTTATCCTAACTACATGCTAACTCAGATGATTAGGGGATCTTTGTCCTCCGATCCCAGGACAAGCACTGGTTTCTTAATCATTTGTTACTGTTTTTTTTTATTATTTAGAATTCATTCAAAATCGCAATTTTTATTATTCAATAATTATATTTTAATTTATTATTATCATCGCTTCCGAATATAATAAAATTCATTCTTATATGTTCATATTTTTAGTGTTTGATATAATTTTTATTTATTCTTGTGAGAGGAAATCTGATAAGATGGTGTAACAGCTTTTCTTCTCTTTAATAAACATAAGAATCACATCCTAGCCATGAGTAATTTTATGCAATGACATATTTTTAATTTATTGAAATAGTTTTAGAAACATAAGTTATGCACTGTTTGTAAAATTAATTCTTCAATGCTGTTTTCTTCATTATGTTGTCTTCAATACTGATAGTTTGTTAATTTCAATATGTAAATCAGTTTGAAATATTTAAAAATAATTTCTTCATTTAAATGGTACAGGAAGCCGTAACCGACCAGTGGTTACATGAACCACCCTAAGGCAGTGAGGAATCCTGCAATCCTTTCACACATGATTTACCCCGCATGGAATTAGAACATGCGAACCCACGCAGGTCAGAGGCGTAGTGGCTAGCGTAATCCTATCGCTCAGTTAGCATGATGCGCCAAACCGCCGAGCAATTTTAAATTATCAAAATAGTTTTAGTTTCCGGATCGTAAGTTATGCACTGTTTGTACAATTTAATTCTTCAATGCTGTGTCTTTTTTTTATTATGCTGTCTTCTATACTAATATCCATATATGGAAACAGTTTCATATTTCAAAAAAATGTAAATGAGTTCAAATGGTACATTTAAAAAAACTTTCTTCAATGGAATGGTTGAGGAAGCCGTTACAGACCATCGGTTACGTGAACCACCCTAAGGAGTCCGCTGTTCTGCAATCCATGTTGTCTTTAATACTGATAGTTTGTTAATTATGTTTTACAATTAATTTCAAAAGAGTTCAAATAGTACATTTAAAAATCATTTCTTCAATTGAATTTGCACTTTTTCTATTAATTATAACTCATATTATGCTCAGGTGCTTCTATAATCTAAATCAGTATTTCACGACCTATGGGTCACATGTAAATTTGCTTTGTGTCACTTGTTTTTACAGTAAAAAACAAAAAATAACTAATTTTTTTTTCTAGTAAATTTTCTTGTTTATTTTGTATCCGGTATTGAAGTGTTGCTCAATAGTAATTGTATATGTAGGAAGTATCATTTTGTAAAAACTTGTGCAGCATTCAATTTGCTATGTAAAGCAGGGGTTCCCAAACCAGGGGTCGTGACCCCAAATTGGGTCGGAGTGATAAATAATTAGGGTCGCAACCAGGTCAGGGGGTCGCTGAGGTATGGTAGAGGATGGATGTACAAATCATATAAGATTTGACAAACCATGTTAAATTTAGCAGTTTGTACCATGGCTTAATGTAAAACAGGCCCATAGGCATCACTCTATGCTTTTGTTATTGAAAATGTAGGTGTTTATTGTGACATCACTGTTGGGTTTTAGCTTATTTTACTTAATACCACCACATGACCAAACTCAAAAGTCCAGTGAAAAAAGCTGTGAAGTTTCATGAAAAATATATATATTGACCTGGGGTCGCACTGGACGCTTGAAAGTCGTTTTTGTGGTCGTCCTGAAAAAAGCTTGGGAACCCCTGATGTGAAAGTGCTGTCTTCTCACATTGTTGTAGTTTCTGGGTAAATAAATGCTAAAATGCTTGTTTTATATTAGTCATAGAAGCACTACATGCCGTTTAGTATTTGAGATGTCCCAGGTCACGAGACTTTACAAATTTTATTTTTAAATAATTTGGGTGGCTTGGAAAAAAGGTTGGTAACCACTAATCCAAGGTGTTTATTCGTTTTTGTTTGAATTTTGTGACATCCACGATATTTACTAACTAATATAACTTTGCTCAGCGATGAGTTTTTTTTACTTCTGAATGAGTATCCGTTTTTTTGCTTGAGCAAGTTTCCATAATTAATACTTTATTTTTTTTTTCAATGTTATCAGTGATCATCTATTTGAATCTATAACAATACTAACTTGACTGATTTTGGTCAATTTGAATAGGATAGGAGTTCATATTTATCCTGGGCACTGAGAAAAGCCTATTAAACGACTTAATCCTATGGCGAATCACGGCCTCCGTCCAGTTACCAGTTCCATGTCGGGTACTGAGCGACCCCTTACTCCGGGCTGTAAATATTTTGACTCCTAACAGATGAGAAAATCCAATTTTGGTAAGAAGAATTGTGTGTGCGTAATTATCGGTTTTTGGTATTTGCCTTTTTTATGATTAGTGTGCGTTTTGTTGACAAGTTTATGATGATTGATTGGCGCTCCAGAAGTGTGTGTACCAATATGAAGGTAACTAAGATTGTTCGCCTATTTCACATCAAGTTGTGTAAAAGGACTGAAACCTATGCACTCGGCTAACACAGACAGTCGCTGAACTTGTAATAGAACTAAAATAAGGAAAATCGGAATAAAATTAAGGCCTAATCCTAACCTGGTACACCTACTACGGGCTACTGATTGATTGGTCTAAACATTTCTTCATTTGCCCTATCTTCCTGTCTTTTGAATCTTGATTAAAACCTTTGGTTCTGCTGTTTAATAACCAGCTTTGGTTCCGCGGGCTTTCTGTTCCTCACTAAAATTGTGTGTTCTAACTTTTTTGATTTTGTATGATATCATTTTTATTTTAGTGACTTATATAATAACCCTAACTATTGCTAGTTACAAATAGGGCTGGGCATTGCGAATTAAATGTAAATTATTCAAATTTGTTTGGATAAAAATTTTGAATTGCTGTCATCTTGTTTTTTTTGTCGGCCTAAAGGCGAGTATTCAAGATTCGATTCTAAAAAAATCTCGATTCTGAAGTCAGGTATTCGGAAATGACAAGCCCTAATTGCTAATAGCTAAGAAGATGATCTTCACTACTGAAGCTCGAGCCAAACTCGTAAAAAATTTGTTGTAGATTTAAGATCATTATTTCTTTATTTTTGATGAATTGATTTTTGATTGTGCAATCAATTAATTGAATATTAATTATTTTTCCAGAATTTTTATTCTTAATTAGAAGAAATATCTAAAAATAACTGATATAATGTCTGACGATAATAAAGCAAATTCTGAGCCAGCAGAGGGATCCAAGAGTCCGAAAATTTGTGGAGAAACCAAACCAAAGGTTGCAGAGGGAAAAGTTGAAGTCTCTACAAGCGAAAGTGGGGGTGCAAATCAAGATACAGCGGATGAAAATGACCCATTTAAAGATCATAAATTTGTAGTTCCATTTACGCAAATCAAAACTGTTTCGGACATGGCAATTTGGACAAAATCAAGCGGTTATGAAGACTATTTAGGATTTATAATGATGCTAAACGCAGCTATAAAAGGTAAAAAGCGTAGTGCTCCATGCGAAGTGTCTGAAACGACAAAAAAAATTGTTGCACTTCTGGATTTATTGGATAAATGGATTGATGAAACGCCGTCGATAGACCAGCCGCAAAGATTCGGGAACAAGGCATTTCGTACTTGGTATGAAAAGTTAAAAAAAGAAGGCGAAAAATTGACCTATGACCTTTTGCCTGATATTTTAAAAAGAGCTGCTTCTGAAATTGTGGAGTATTTATACGGGGGTTTCGGGAATTCCACAAGAATTGATTACGGAACAGGTCACGAAATGTCATTTACTTGTTTTCTTTGTTGTTTTTTTAAGCTTCAAATCCTGGGTGAAAAAGATAAACTTGCGGCCGTTTTTCATGTCTTTAATCGTTACTTACACGTCGCTCGGAAGTTGCAAAAGACTTACAGAATGGAGCCAGCAGGGAGTCAAGGGGTATGGGGCTTAGATGATTTCCAATTTTTACCCTTCATATGGGGGTCGTCGCAGTTTTTTAGTCACCCCACGATTCTACCGGTTCATTTTGTCGAATCGAAAATTGTCGCTGAAAACCGATCAGAATACATGTTCATGGAATGCATTGATTATATCATGTCCGTAAAAACTGGACCTTTCGCTGAGCATTCAAACACTCTCTGGGGGATTAGTGGCGTCCCGCACTGGGGGAAAGTCAACTCCGGCCTATTGAAGATGTACAAGGCGGAAATACTGCAAAAATTCCCGATTATTCAGCATTTCAAATTCGGATCCATACTCACTTTAGAGCCGAGTCCTAGACATCCTGGTATAAAGTTAAATTGAAGAAATAATAAGGAATAAACCTTTTTAAAAGACAAGTCTTTACAATAAAGCTTAAAAACTACCTCTGTTATAGAATAACAAATCAGTTTTTAAAAAATTACAGTGGAAATTTGAGACATTTTTTAAACAGCATTTCCCGTTGAAGAAATTAGTCAATTGTTTCCTATTAATCAGTTATTTCTGTTTGGGACATAGCATGTCGTATATTTTTGCTCACCTAATCGTAGACAAAAACTACTAGGGCTGGGAATTCAGGCAAAGTTAACCACAGTGTTGTATTAAGTTAAACTTAGCAATGAAGTGGATTTTTTAAAACATTGCACTTGATTAGCTTGTGTGGAACCTTATATCCGTCCTTATTTCTACCCTGCTGTCTCTATGGTAAATCAACAGCCCTCTAAGGAGAACCATTTAAATGGTGATTTGGACCACATACTGGTATCCTTCCCTGTTCCTAACTTGCTGTCCCCGTCTCTATGGCAGCCCAATAGCCCTCTATGGTCATTGGGACAATATATCTATCCCTATTCCTAACCTGCTGTCTATATAATATATAGCAATCAATGGCTCTCTGTGACGGAGGCAATTCAAACGTCGATTGGGACGGTATATATCTATCCTTGTTCAAACAATTGAGATTATGCAGTTTGAGTATAGAATTTCTATGTCCATATATGTAAGCAATATTCTTTTCTCACTTTGACTTTTACTTAATACAAAATGATTTGGGTATTCAACGTGATTGGAAAATTATCGTTCCATCTTTTTGGATTAGTTTTTCAAATTAATATTTTTCTGTAATTTATTCTTTATTCCAGATCTGTTGAGTCATTTTGAATGTTTCATATTTTTTTGAACTTTTCTTGACGTTTGAAATCTTTTGTATGTTTTTGCCATCAACTGTTTGTCCTTAGTATGCACGTTTGCTCAAAACAGAGTTTTGGGCCTTCAACTAAATGTGGAAAGAGAGAGAGAGCGAAGTCATATTTTTTATCAAACTAGAGAACAGAAATAAAAATAGCGAATCGAAAGTTTTTAGTTGATGACTGGTAGGTAACGATACGACCATTCGCGATCATCTGAGTCAGTTACCACCAAATACAAACACTTAGGAGCAATACACAGCGTTCCTATTCAAACATGCTAGTTAGCAGTGTGGAGCCCAGTGATCCTCCCGCGCATAAATCAGCGGTACGAACAGTTTGTTTGTACCTTTATCAAGTCTAAATATCGTTCTTGTGGCCTATTAATTTATATATTATGGTTACTTTCTTTTAATTAATGAATAAATGTTTTTAATTGTTTTATTATTTCAGATTTATAATTTAACATAAATCTTGAAATATGGACCAAATAACAGACTCTTCAATGGCAGAAGGGTCAGATGGAAATGGCACGACCTCTGACCCTGATGTGAAAGGTGATAATACGGCAGAAGGAACAGATGAGATGGACTTGACCTCTGACTCTGAGGTGAAAAGTCACAGGAAGAAGGAACCATTTCCCAGAGAAGACTTCAACCCCGATGAATGGGAATTAGTCGAAGAAGACAATTGTTTAATCGAATTGCATGGAGTCGCGCGTAAAAATTATCTCAAAAAATGTGATAAAGATCGAGTGAAACTTATCGGATTATTTGATGAAAACGGAAAAATGTTTCTACAATTGGATGAACTTATTTTTATGGGTGAACCGACAGAAACGTTTGGCACCAACGCACTTTTTGAGGAATATTATTCCGACGGGGAATCTAGTGAGGATGAGGACACATTCCGTACCGTGACACCGACTCCAGGAAAACAGAAAGTTAAATTACGTTATTTAACGCACACAGAAAAAAAGATTTCAATGTATAGGGCCTTGTTAGTAGACAAGACGGTAGATGAAAAAAGTGAATCTCAATGATTAGGGTTTTCCCCCATATTGGCTATTTTCAATTTTTTCCTGGGGGGAGATATGGACTCTTTTTCATCCTTTGATTTGTATTATGTTGTCATGGTTTTGTATTATGGCATTCATGGTATTATTGCATCACATTTTTTAAAATTGTACTCAAATTCGTCCGATGATTAACTTCCAATGAAATTGCCCTGTTTTTAAATAACTCAGCCATTTATTTTTCATTGGATGCCAAATTCACTTATTCTGGTCTTTCTAAAAATTTTAGTTATTTTATTTTACGAATCAGTGACCCCTTTATATTGTTATTGGGTATTGTTCAAAGTGCAATGTGTGAAATGACATATGAAACGTGCAAAGTGTGGATATGGGGGTCTCACTATTAGTAAGGTAGAAGTCTCCCAAGCGCTCCAAAGTTGATTGAACGAGGCGGAAGGATATTCACGATCTGGGAGAGGGGAGCGCACGAATGTGGCAGAAGCCGGTATAGTTGAATTATTATTAACATACATGTGCGTCAGTCTGAGTCATCCAAGTCAATCAATCACTGATTTCTATTACATGAGTTGGGTTACTTGTAATCTTTGATAAATATTGTCTTGACTCTTCAGTCCACAGCACTGGTTACCAGTCCAGCAAGGGTTTTAGAATATTTTGGTCACATTGTTATAGACTCATGATCTTTGGATTTCGTTTTTTAAATTATTTCTTGTTCATTTTTTTAGATTTAATCTTAACTACTCTAGTTAATACTTTTGAATTCTTCAATATTATCTGCTGTCTTGCTTAAGGGACAATTTTCCTGGACAGAATAGATTGAACGACTGGACAGCAATGGTTTGCGATAAATGTAAGTATTTTATCATTGTTTTCAATGGCGAGATTGTCTCATCTGGTTAAAGTAATAAGACTGTTTTGCCAATGCAGTGTTGGTATAGCAAATTGCACATCAAGCCCGTGCTTCTGAAAACAGATACCATACCCGACACAGACTGGTAAACGAACGAGAGGTCGTGGTTCGCCATATGATCAAGTCGTCTTATCAGCTTTTCTCTCTGCTGATATGAATATGTAAATCCTATCCTATGCTAAAAAAAATAAGTGACACTACATGAAGAACAAAATTCCTCTCCAAGAACTGCAAAATTTTTTCTTAGAGAAAAATTTCTTATCGAACAGGGAACGTCAACATAAATAGCTTTGGTCCATCATCTAATCTTCTTGCAACTAATCTGAAACAATCTTGAGAGAGGATTATCATTCTTCTCAGATTCCTTTGATATTATCCCCGGTGGTTAAACTTGGTATATTCTATTCACAGGTCAGAAAAAACTGGGAACAGTGGCGACACCTGATCCATGGAAAACGGGAGCCAAGAATACAAACGGTAGGAATGTTTTTTTTTATATGGCGTCTTTTGTTCTGAACTAGCAGCTTTGATTTCTGTGCCCTCTGCCCTCCATATTTTTTTTTTGATGTGGGGGTGGGGAGGGCTTGAAAAAAGAATTTCACTAAATAATATATGTATGAAGGCTAATGACTATGCAAATTTGGGTAGTCCCGAAATATGTGTACCGAGATGGCGCACACCGGAACATAGTATGTGTACCAGGTTAGGTCATAATTTTATTCAAATTTTCTTATTTTAGTTCTATCACGAGTCCAAGTTACTCCTTTAGTATTTGTATCTGAAATTATGGCCTAACCTGGTACACATACTACGTTCTGGTGTCCTCCATCTTGGTTCACATACTCCGGGAGTTCCCAAATTTGAAGTAAATTGTCTGTATTTTGTTTATTTCTTCGACTGTATTACGTTTATTCTTTTGCTTACAATTATTGGGTTTTTATCTCAAGTTTTTAGAAGGGGTATGGGATTAGTTGGCTAGTTTTTTGTTTCCGGAAGCATGGATTTTATAGTAGAGGAAGTCCTAACCGACCAGCGGGACGTGAACCAACCTACAGCGACGAGAAGTTCAGCAATTCTCTCACATATGATTATTCTCGCGTAGGATTCGAACCTACGAATCCACGCATGGTAATCAGAGATGCCGTGGTGAGCGTATTCCTAACACTTAGTACGAAGCGACCCACCGCCGAGTCTAGTTAGTTTGGAAACCATTGATTTAAACAACTCGAGTCATTTCTAGTCTTCGACTATTAGTGATTTGGTTTCAAGTCAATAATATAGTCCCGCCAAATGCTGAAGTCATATTTTCATTTCACAGAGGGGGGACGTAAGATCAATGAAAACAAAGCTTTGACTGGGACGAAGAATCGATACAATCCATACAGCAGCGGAAAGTTTAAAAAATGTCGGATATGCAAATTACAAGTTCATCAAGTTGGCTCTAATTTTTGTCAAGGTAAGGTAATTCCCCTCCCCCTTTTGGTAAGGGGCAACCCTCTTGAACCACTTAGGATAGTCATCTTCCCTCTTGCTACAACATCCTTGCATTATATGCATACGGATCCGCCAGCACAAAAGCATAAAAGAAGGATAAGTAGCCGGTCTGGCAGAACCGGTAAAATCGATAGTAGCCTACATATTTTCAATGAATTGAAATTTGAAAATGCAGGCATAAAAACAATTGTATCTAATTGAAGAGTCAGCTGCACACTAACACAAATGTATTTCTGTAACAACAATCAATTGTTGTAAACTGCTTGTCTGAGGATGTCTGAGTTTGGTCGGACGAAGGTTACAGAAATACATTTGTGTAAGTGTGCAGCAAGACTCATTAATTGGATAGGATAGTCATGTTTATTCCAGCTACACCATCCTTGCAGTATACGAATACGGATCCACTAGCATAAAGGCATAGAAGAAAGATGTGAAGTTAGTCTCGCGCAACCCAATGCAAATATAAACAATGATTTGATTGATTTTTGCAATTTCCATTCAAATAGATGCCTTCTAGGTTATGCTGTGAAACTTCATTTATAAACCTTAAATTTATTTGAATATTCGATTTGCTTTGGACATCCCTGACTTGAGTCTTTTATAATATTCTTGGAGGTCAAACTTCAAACATTCTTCTCCAACACCTATTATTAATAGTAGATTCTAGGATATACCATATATTGTTTTGTTCCTCACAGATGTATTAAATGAAGTAAAAATACTTGAACAATTACTGATTAAAACACAACAAACCTGGTAAAGATATATTGAGAACTGACTTCATCACAAAATTGAAATTATAAAAGTATTTTATGGACACCCTATATATTTCATTCAGGAAAGTCAAAATAAAAAAAAATTCAACAGAAAATTTTTGATTATACGGTAAAATTTTAATATTCAGGTTGCGCTTATAAGAAAGGAATTTGTGCAATGTGCGGAAAGAAGATTCTCGACACAAAAAATTATCGACAGTCTTCAACGTAACTGAGAATGGACAGAATCGCACAACTTGTAAATCCATTACTGAATGGCATAATATCAGCAGGCGGGACGTTCAAAGTTGAATATTTTACAAATTTGTAAAATTTGCTGAAAGCAAGGTCTCCAGGAAATGGAGGAGACTCTTCTGATGAACTAACTGGGCCAGCTAATTTAAATATTTTACGAATTTGCGCTAAGTGAGGTCATTCAGAAATTAAGGAGACCGATCCTTGGACCAATTTACAGACAAAGGTGCTCCAGTAGTATGTTCACCAAGAAGACCTGAACTTAGTATGTGTACCAAGTTAGGGTTATCAGGTTGTGCGCCATGTTGGTTGTTCACCAAGAAGACCTGAACCTAGTATGTGTACCAAGTTAGGGTTATCAGGTTGTGCGCCATGTTGGTGCACATACTACGGAAGCGCCAAGAAAAAACTACAAAAGCATAGAAGAAGGATAAGTAGTTAGTCTCGCAGAAACCAAATAATCAACAAAACTATTGTGTTGTCAAATTTGAATATTTAACACTTTTTTTCTTAAACAAATTGGCTCAAAGTTAGGTCACTCAGAAATTAAGGAGACTTATCTTTGTATGAAGTTCTACTAATGTGGACAAATCTGAATATTTAACATTTTTATTTTCAATTTGTTCAAAGCAATGTCACTGATAAATAGAAGAGACTCCTCTCTGAGCGAAGTTACACTCGACCACTAACTGGGCAAATTTGAATATTTTAAAAATCTTCAGGTTATTCAGGAATTAATGAGACATATTTCTGTAAGGAGTTAAACGATTTTATGACTGAATGCAGCTGGGCTTCTTGTTGATTTAATATGCCAGAGGATTGCTGGACTTCTCGCCGTCGTAGGGTGGTTCACGTAATTGCTGGCGGAATAATTGCCAAGTTGGAATAGCTAATTTGGGAGAATTTGAATATTTCAAGACTTTTTTAATTAAGTAATTTTGCTCAAAGATTTTAAAACTCCTTATTTTAGTTCTGTTACACGTTCAGGGACTGTCTGTTTCAGCCAAGTGAATATCCATCCCCCTGCCAATAGATTTCAGTCCCTTTACACAACTTGATGTAAAGTGGGCGAACAAAATCAGTTACCTCCATATTGGTACAAATACTCCTGGAGCGACGGGAGTTGGTTACAAAAATAATATATAATTACATGCGTATTTATTTTTAGGACATAACCAATTTGTAGAGTTATGCATTGTTTGGTGGTTAGGGATGAGGGCTGGTATATATTTATATATGACATTATTTGACGCTCTCGTAGTATCATGTATGTGCATTAAGATGGCGCGCAACCTGATAACCTTAACCTGGTACACATGCTATTTTCAGGTTGTGCGCCATCTTGGCACACATACTACGGGAGCAACGACTATCTTTACCCAACTCCCAAGTCGTCTGAAAATCATAACTCAATCCATAATGTGCCCCCTAGTGCTCAGAAAAGTCCAAGCGGCGAAAAGTCTCGTATCCCCCCATCAAGATCCGTATTAAATAAATTGACATATCTATCTCTATTTGTTTTAAAATAATACTGTTTTCATTTTTATCTGTTTACATCAAATAAAGAAATCTTGTATAAGACGCATTGCTTTACAATAGAATCTGTGACATGGGCCGTTTGCTTTGTGTTGAAGAAAAATGATTTACATATTTATCCTGGAAAAAGGAAAGTAGGATTAATCATATGGCGAACCACGGCTGGTTACTAGGGCTGGGCATTTTCGAATACCTGATGATTTCAGAATCGAATCGAATAATTTTTTCGAATCGAATCTCGAATACTTGGAAGGTATGTAAATTTCTTAATATTTTAGGTCCTCCAGACACATAAATTACTGAAAACATAGAATACATCACTGACAATAAAAAAACACGTTTTCATCAATTCCTCAATACAGAAAAGAGTCGTAAGTCAGAATTGTGTTGAAAAAATATGGCTTCAATGAAAAAAAAAATTGAGAAATTTACCTCGACCATTGGCGGAAAGAGTAAAACAAGATGGCGGCGATTCGAAAATTTGCTCTAAACCGATTCGAATAATTTACTATCCGATTCGGAATGCCCAGCCCTACTGGTTACCCGTCCAAGTCGGAAATGGGACTGATAGCCAGTTATTTAGTCGGGAGCCCTTGGCCTCCCAAAGGAGACTAAACCTCGCTCGCCCATCCTGTTCTTTTCATTGTTTCAACCAGGTTACATGAATCAGCTACCCTTTGACGGCGAGTAGTCAACAATATTCTCTTTTGCACATAACTATCCCTACGGGATTCGTACTTGCCCTGTATGATTGGGGGGTACAATGACTAGCTCTTTCTTAACGCTTATCACGATATGCTAATCCCCGATAAATTGATATCTCTGGTAAGTCTTCTTCGCATTAGTCACTTTCTTTTCTTCTATTGGTCATCTAGAAAGTTATGCAGGGTGTCCATAAAGTCCCTTTACAATTTCAATCTTGTTATTAAGTTAGTTCTCAATATATCTCAACAGCTTTGTTGTTTTTAATCAGTAATTGTTTAAGTATTTTAACTTCATTTAATACATCCATGAGGGCCAATACAATAAATGGTATCGATAAATTACTGTTGCAATTTTAAATTTTTTTAAGACTTTATGGACACCCTGTAATCTTATATAATAATAAATGCATAAATAACTCGCAAGTTTTTCATAAAAAAAATCTTATATTTCAATTTCTGGAGTAGTTAAAAGTTCAAGTCAAAAAAAAAAAATGTAAAAAAAAGAAATTATTTGAAAGACTTATCTTCTAGTTGAAAGTCAATCTCAAACTTCCTTATAAAATTAGTACACAAAAACCAGCAATTCTTCACGATTTCCTGATAGTTTGTTAGCTGCAAACAAGGCTTTTGGACCTGGTGACAAAAATGTTGTGCGTGCCCTAGACTTGCGAGTGTGACGTAAAAAGTTTCATTTTGTGAACAATATTTACAGTCTTACAAAAGTAGGAAACAATTAGCTTCGTGCCAAAACTAAATTTAATCGCAATCTCAACAAATTCCTTAAGCTATTTTCCAGCTAAAACCTCAAAATTTGGTTGTGGCAGCATCAGGCGGGCCAGATTGAATTTCCCAACGGGGTCGGATTTTGCCCGCGGGCCGTAGTTTGCTCATGTCAACTCAAAATTTTCTCATAGACCTAGGGATGGGCATCAGATACACGCAGGACTAGGGTTGCCTTTTTTTTGGACTTCAAAGCGAGACGCCTCCTGTAACTTTACAGTTTCCGATTTTATCATATAGGCCTACATTTAAGCCATCCCGGCTGTCTTCATTGATCATAGTGTCATCGAGAGTTCATGCGCATATTCTATGTCCAAATATCGAGTTTAGATCGAAAAACAGAAAGAAATAGCCGTTAACGATACAAATGATCCGAATTTAGATTTTTTTATGTACAGCAGAAGGAATAAAGAATAATGAAATAGTCTGCCGTTTTCAAGCATAAAGAATTTACTTATTCACCAAAGCATGCTTCTCTGTAGATAACACCTTTAAAAAAAGTTGTTCAATGTTACATTCACGCGAACGTCCGAACAGGACCAATTAGAATTGATTTTACATGTGATGTGTTCGCTAACAATGTTAGCGGGAAACAACGAAACAAACAAAATAACGCGTTCACCTTCAGTAAGTAACTAGCGTTGCGCTAAACAGCAACAACAATAACGAGAACATGTTTGTGTATTATGCTGGATGGTTAAATGTTAAATCGGGACTTTTGGCTGACTTGTCGGGACAAGACGCTAAAAAGAGGGACGTATGGTAAGCCTACGCAGGCCACATCGCCACAGCAGAATCGAATTAGCTTCATTTTACGACCTTGAGAAAAATCGCACATTTGTAACAGCCGATAACCCTTTAATTTAATAGGACGTTATCATTTCATGCCATAGTCAATTATGATGTCGGCTCTTTGATCAAATATGACTTCATTCTTTCATCGAATAGTGAAATATGACGTCAATAATTCGCCAAATATGACGTCATTATTCCGTTTAATAGTCAAACACGACGCCTATAGTTGATCAAATATGACGTCATTATTCTGTTCGATGGTCAAATATGACGTCATAATTTTGTACAGTAGTTCCATATGAAGTAAATAAGCCGAACAAAGACATTATTATTTCGTCTAACGGTTGAATATGACGTCAATAATTGGCCAATTACGACGACACGATGCCTATGCCATGTCTACGTAAATGTCATCAGTTTTCGCTTGCTCGTAAATCGCATCTCCCTGCTGCATTGTGTTCTGGTATAATGCTTCTGGCACTGTGTCTTCGTTTTCCACGGTTTGGTATTCGTCAGGTCCAGGCGATTGCAGATTTTCGTAAGTCGAATCTCTTTCCTGTTGGTTAGTCGACTGGAGGTTTTTTTCCGCCGTTTTAGCTATCGGTGATTGGATAGCAATAGGACTCGTTGGCCCTGATTGGCCAGTTTCCTTTGTGAGGTCAATGTAAAGATCGTCGTCATTGGTTGGATGAACGGAAAAGTTCACGTACTGGGGTTCAGACGTAACCGTACCGTTCTTTGCTTCCGTGTTCTGATAGGTTGCATTACCGGAAGCATCTATATTTTCACCCTTCTTTGACCCCTTTCCATCTTTTTTGCCATCGTTTGACGTGGACGACGTTGATTGGGTCTTTGCCGAATATCTTGTTCCTGATTGGCTTCCGCGCTCATTTTTGATCTCATCGACTCGCACGTTCTTAGAAGTAACTCTAGCTTGGAATGCCTTCTGTGCCTCGTCCTGCGCCTTCTTACGGGATCTCAATCTATAAGACAAAAAGCAGTGATTACCCTACACTACATCCTCTATGGTAGGGATGGACAAATTACGGCCCGCGAGCGCTATTTCGCGTAGAAACGCTACTGCCGATTTAAAGATATAACCTCGACATGGGCAAACTACAGCCCGCGGGCCAAATCCGACCCGTTGGGTATTTCAATCTGGCCCGCCTGATGCTGCCACAACCAAACTAAAACCAAATTTAGATGTTTTAGCTAAAAAATAGCTCAAGGAATTTGTTGGGATTGCGATTAAATTTAGTCCTGGCACGAGGCTCATTGTTTTCCCCTTTTGTTTTTCTAACATTGTAAATAAAATTCTGTTCATGAAATGTAACTTCTTACGTCACGCTTACATGGCCCGCTAGTCTAGGTGGGCAAAATTTTCGGCCCCTGGTAAATAAAAACCTTGCCGACCCGTTATATGTTGACTAAACAAACCATCGTGCCTACTAGTTCAATCAGCCCGATATATACAGACGTGATCGCTTGTCTAGGGCAGGGCTACTCAACTATTTTTATCGAAGGTCCGCAAACAAAACTTCAAAATTATTTGGGTCCGGTCTTTCCAGAAATGATATTTCGGCATCCTTAAACGAGCACTTCCTCGACCGACTAATGATTAGTAGCAAATTAAAATTGTTTATTATGGTGTTATAGTTCTTTTCGTATATATTCAAAACTATGAAAGTCATTTTATAATAGGAAATTCAAAAAGTGGGGCTAATGATCCAAAATAAATAATTAGGCGCGGTCCAAATCCTATTCTCGAAAGGTCCGGATTCGTACCGCGGTCCGCCAGTTGAGTAGCCCTGGTCTAAGGTATCGTTCAGGAAGAGGATGTACGGACGAGTACGGAATAAAAGAAACAGGAACAGTTCACTTACCCTCTTCTGTACGTCACAAAGCAGACCAGCAAGATAATGCCAACGCAGAAAACGACAGACAACACTATTGCCAGAATCAGATAATTAAAATCACCTCTGCTGGATGGGCTCGAGATATCAATACCTAAAAAAGCCAAAAATTATTATTTCAGTCTGTCATTATATTTGGGTAGATCATAGTGAATCGGGAACTGTTTTTTGTTGGTGGTGATAGTCGGAGTCAAAATTGAAACTCGCCGGATCCGGAGCTAAATTCCTGAGTTCCCGGAGTAAAAATCTGAACAGGACTTGCACACATTATACTTTTCGCAGTCAAATTTTTGTGTTGGGTCGTTTTTTCGGATGAAATAATAAAGAATTGTTGATCTATGCCAGGGGTTCCCAAGCTTTTTTCAGGACGACCCCAAAGACAACTTTCAAGTGTCCAGTGCGACCCCAGGTCAATATATATATTTTTTTTATGAAACTTTAGAGCTTCTTTCACTGGACTTTTGAGTTTGGTCATGTGGTGGTATTAAGTAAAATAAGCTAAAACCCAACAGTGATGTCACAATAAACACCTACATTTTCAATAACAAAAGCATAGAGTGATGCCTATGTGCCTATTTTACATTAAGCCATGTGACAAACTGCTAAATTTAACATGGTTTGTCAAATCTTAGATGAGTCAGCGACCCCATGACCTGGTTGCGACCCTACCTATTTATCACTCCGACCCAATTTGGGGTCGCGACCCCTGGTTTGGGAACCCCTGATCTATGCCCTAATGATGAGGTCATAAATAGTCTACTATTGGCGTCAGAAAGATATAAAGACGCAGTGTGACGTCATATTCAGTGAGAAATGGTTTGTTGAGAATACTTCATGTTTTGGCTTTGAAACCAAGCAAATGTATAAGCAACTTGAGCTTACAAAAGCGCAAAAGATTTTTTACTAAAAAACCAGGGCGTACCTACATAAGTTAACAAATTTTAAACTAGATTTTCGAGAAAAAAATTCGTTTTCATTCAAATGGTAGGGCAATGTAGTGTAAAGTTCATATCACAGAAAGTCATCTTCCAACCGTTCATACGCCGCTGATATATACTTTTATAGCATTAATCCCCAGATTCACCCCAATTTGGGTTAAAATTATGAAAACGAAATTAATATTCCCAAAATTTCTAATATAAACTTTCGTGGGAATCAAAATATAGAACTTTAGCTTTTAGAAACATGTTTCGTTCTGTCATTATCAAATTAAAATTCATATTCTCAGGATATTTAAACACAAATTGAAATGTTTAGATTCAAGTTCCCATCCGTACGACGAACAAATTGCCCGTATTAAGATAATAAGAGTTTCTGTTTATGACGTGAATCACTTCATCACGTTTTCAGTAATAATTTGTTGTTTAATCAACGTGTATATATATATACAGTTAGATATATTTTAATAAAAAGCTAGTTTTGAGAAGTTTTAGGATTGTATCTGTGTATCGTGAAAACTACGAAGACAAATAGAGATTTTTAACGTCCTACCACTGGGGTTACCATATTTTTTGGACTTCAAAGCGGGACGCCTCCAAAAACATGACCCCTTAGCTGTGATCCTTTACAGTTTTCGATTTTACTACATAGGCCTACATTTAAAGCCATCCCGGCTGTCTTCATTGACCATATTGTCATCGAGAGTTCATGCGCATATTCTCTGTCTAAAAATCGGGTTCAGTTCGAAAAATAGAAAGGAATAGACGCTAACGATACAAATGATCCGAATTTAGATTTTTTTTTATGTACAGCAGAAGGAATAAAGAATAATGAAATAGTCTGCCGTTTTCAAGCATAAAGAATTTACTTATTGGCCCACGCATGCTTTTCTGTAGATAACGCCTCCAAAAAGACGTTGTTCAATGTTACATTCTCGTGAATGTCCGAACAGGACCAATTAGAATTGATTTTTCATCTGATACGTTCGCTAAAAATGTTAGCGGGAAACAACGAAACAAACAAAATAAGCATTCGCCTTCAGTAAGTAGGCTTGCGTTGCGCTACACAGCAAGAACTTTAACAAGAACATGTTCGTGTATTATGCTGGATGGATGAACGCAAAAGCGAGACTTTTGACTGAATTGTCGGGGCGGCGGGACAAGTCGCTAAAAAGCGGGACTGTCCCGCCTAAAACGGGACGTCTGGTAAGCCTACGTCATCACCAACGTAAGAGGTTGGGAGGTGAACGGGCGGCTTGAAAGTCTGAAAGGTAGCCAGTCGAACTCCCCAAACAAAACTATCCCTTTCGCTTACCTAAAGTCGTTGTATTGGGTGCTATTTCGGTGAAGTTCTTAAGCAATTCCGTCGTCTCCATGATTCCAGGGGTCGTTGTGAAAGCGGAAGTCACATTGTTGCTGATATTTTCTGTAAAAAAAAAACAAGTTTAGAACTTGCCGTTAGAAATACGCTCGCCATTGATCGACTGATTTTAGTTTGATATAGTAGGTGGTCGTCCACGGCTTCCTCTTCTATCAATGTTAATGAGTGTGTACTGTTTTGTCAGCATAAGAACATGCTAATGTGGGAATAAATGAATATTTGATTCAGTTCTTTTGTGGTTACAACTGTCGTGATTACTAATAACCGTAGAATATTACACGACAGACTTGAAGTTAGAAAAGAAAGAGAAATTTTCCATTAAATAAAATTCCTAAACCCCAAAAAATACCCAAATAATATAGATCAACATTGCGAAACTCAAAGGAGTGCGTTTGGCAAATGACTTACGTCAGAATATTTTTGTCAGCAGGTTAAGCCACACAAGGAATTTTACAAGCAGATAGTCTGCTATTAATTTGTACTTGTTCGAATCCGGTATGGGATAGTTATGTGAGAGGACTGCAAATTAACTGCCCACGTAACAAACATAATTCCGTGGTTTCAGAAGCTTTTTCAACAGACACCGCTAACTTTTCTCGGAGATTAGTCTCGTGTACTTCAGAGCGCGTTCGTTTGGCGTAAATTTTTTGAGTAACTCTCAACATTCAAAGATTGCCAGTAACTTTGCTCAGAGACGAGCAACTATACTTTTGAGTGAATTTTCGTGATCTGGCTTTGAGTAACTTCTTTGAGTAGCTCTCGACATGCCAGTAATAACCCGTAACTTTGCTTAGAAATGAGCATTTTTACTTCCTCGGAACGAGTTTTAGTGGTTATTATAACTTTGCTCGGAGATGAGTCACTTTTACTCCTTAGTATACTCGAGGGATCATCATAATTCAGCACATCTTCAATGGGCCACGAGTAAATTATTTCAGAAGGTATTGGCATTTCAGTGGTTACCAACTATGATAAAGGACATAGATTACCGTCATTATTTATTTTGTAACTTGCAGGAATAAACAATATAAAACAATAAAATAAAAATCATATACAAGTTAATAAGATATATTAAAACAATCTTCATGTGTTTTTCATTTAATGTTTATTTAACATTGACCCAAACAATGTTAATAAAATTGTTATTTCTTTGGCTATTTGAGCCGGACCAAAGAGAAATTAAAAAGAATAAGCTAGCAAATACATAAAAGTAGGCGACTTATTAAAAACGGAACAATATCCAACACAGTACTATAACTATCGGACAAAACGACGTTGGGAAGAATCAAGGACAATTAGCATCTTTTCTAAAGGCTAAAAAGGACCGAAAAGCCTAATTTAATGATTGTCCTTTGAAATAAAGGACGGTTGGCAACCCTAGTGGTTACTAATAAGTTTGTTCGGAGCAGCGAGTGCTCGTGACCTCGTTTCAAATTTTCATAAACACAAAATCGAGCTGTCACTCACGCTCGACTGAATTGTGATCTAACAATAATGACTCACCTTGCAGTTTCGTTGTAGTAGTCGTCTTCTTAATGCTAGTTGTCTCGGCAACCGTGGTTGACGTGGTGATAAATGACGTCATTTCCGGTTTCCACTTGTTGAAATTAAATACTGATATTCAGATTATTAATAAAATGTTTTTTTTTCAAATTCGTAATAGCTCAACTGGAAATAATAATAAAATTATGATGAATTTTCGTATATACGCTCCGTACAATCCCTTAAAAATACACGTTAGTCGCTCATGTGGGTAGCTGCTATTTTGAATTCCAACTTAGTTCGTGGACGACATATCATAATCATCAATGCGTTGGTATTGTCTATACAGTATCAGGGATTTTCAAACAGGGGGTCGCGACCCCGCAAGAGATCTCGCAACGAATTTTAGCGGTCGCAAAGAGTACACCAATTTTACACAAAGTGCTATATTTATCGTACCTTTTCAGATTTTTGATTCGGAATACAATTATTAAAACTAATGCAAAACATAAATCTCACGATTTGGAGAGAATACATAGTATCTGAGAAGTGGCGCGCTAGCATAACAATGTTAACCTAACAGGGAGCGCGGGCTTAAAAGGTTGGGAAGCCATGCGCCCCTGAACTGTATTCTTCTTGGTTTCTGCCGAAAACACAGTAGCTCTCATCACATCAGTAGTTTACTGATAAAAGAGTTCTTCAACAAAAGTGGAAGGAATATTGATAGGAGCTTTGCAAGATTCAGAGCTTTTGACAAAAAGTGGAGGGAATATGGATAGAAGAGTGGCAAGTTTGCTCAGAGCAATGTCCCGCGCCCTCAACTAAAATTGTAAAGAGTACTGATAAAAGAGTTACAAGATTGCTCAAAGCAAGGTTCCAAGCCTTCAACTAAAAGTAGAAAGAGTACTGATAAAATAGTTCCAAGTTTGTTCAGAACCAATCCCGAGTCTTCAACTAAACGTGAAAAGAATGCTGATAGATAAAGTGCTGAACGTTTGCTCAACGTATGGCCGCGATCTCAACTAAATTGGAAAGAGTACTGCTGGAAGAGTTGTAAGTTCGCCAAAGGCAAAGCCTCAACTGAAGCTTTAAAATGTTTTTTTTTTTTTGAGTGAAATCCAACCTTATACGCTTACCTATCCTGAACATTAGTTTACCAAATACGCAAAACACTTCTTATCTTACATATTAACCTGTTGGGTGTCTAATCGCGAGCATAGCTATTAAGTACTCTACCTCCCAATACGTGTCCTCGCGCACTATAACAATGTAACAGTCTTCCGTTTGAACTATGGACTTTTTGCGCTGTTGCTTAGAATCTTAGATCATACAGCAGACTCACTTTCGAACGGTGACACATTAAAATTATTTCGGAGATCTGTGCGTCACAAAATGATGACGCCATATGATATCAGTGACGTAATAGTGTTATTAGAAAGCCTGATATGTTATTTCCAGGTCATGCCAGTGTTTTTAACTTCTTGGGGTTGGTGTCAAAATTTTTAATTTTCAAGAGTCGGAATTAGGACTGAGAAACTAGCAAAGCAAGCATACTTTGACAAAATAACGTTCAAAAGGGCCAGCATTCGAATTCATAAGTGTTCGAGACCAAACTTTGAGTTTCTCATAGCTGGGTTGGCATTAAAATGTTTCTAACTACATTTAACAATCAACGTTTCTGTCAAATGGGAGATGGAGGCGGTGTTCGAAATGTAGATGTAAATTTCCCAAACCGTACAGCCGTGGCAATAGTACATTGATATAATCTCAGTAACCAGATATGCGCATAATTTAATATTCATTTTTTCCGTAGTATGTGCACCAAGATGGCGGATACCGGAACGTAGTATGTTTACCAGGTTAGGGTTAGGCCATAATTTCAGGTACAAATACTACGGGTGTCACTTGGCTAGTCTCCGGACTCGAAGTGGAACTAAAATATGGAAAATTAAATTATAGTCTAACCCCTAACCTGGTACACATACCAAGGAAGTACCTCATTTTCTATGTTCTTCATATTGCAATGGTTCCCAAAGTTAATATGACCGGTGCCACAATTAGAAGCGGAGGGATACTCGCGGCCGGGAAAGGAAGCACTTGCAAGGAGCCGATACTGGTTTGTATAATTAAGATACCGGTATAATGGAATTGTTACGCATATACAAGAGCTGAAACTGTGATAATGACGTAACAATTTGCGGTATCTAGAAGGAAAAAATATAAAAACATAAAGTGTAAAACAATTTCACTCGAGTTTGGCGGGTCACATTAAATCGTTACGCGGGTCGTAATTTTGGATTCACTAATATAGTGCAATATTTTTTCTAAGTACGCAGTCTTTGATTGGGCAACGAGTTTCCGTGTTATCAGATTACGTAACGACCAAAAATATCATGCGTCAGTGTGTCATATGAGCTTTTAAACTCTTCTTAAAACTACTGCTCTCTAGAATGTAGAAATAAAATTAGTAATAAAGCTGGCCGGTTTCCGATTAATGATTTACTTTAAACGAATACCATTTTACTACTAGTAGTCATTCTGAGACAGTCAGTCATTCTGGGACAGAGTTGACCTTAACTATTGCTGGGTTCGAAGCGAAACGGAATGTGCGGAGCTCATTCTGGGTAGAATTAGGAGATCTTTTGTACAAAATCCCCGCAAAAATGTTAGATTTGAGAAAAACACCCCATCCACGTTTTAAAATAACAAATTGGTAATTAAACAGTTAGATTTAGGGTTCGGTTGGAAATAATTTGAATTTCTAGCGCAATCTGCATTCCCAACCGTAACTGGATAGTTATTAAGTTTCTTATTACTTATCGATCTTAAGATCGGTAAGTATGTTGATAGGTGTTTGTCTGTTTGTTTGTTAGATACACGCGATATCTCACGAAAGCGAGGATGAATCCGCTCCAAATTTTGCATATGCATTCATCATCTCTCAGAAGCTTATGGATTTTGGATGAATTATGTCGTATAATTAGCGAGTTATTAATTAATTAGTGAAGGGACACAATGTGTCACTATGGAGTAGGAGCGCTGTTTTGGGGGATCCCCTAACTTTCGATCGATAAGTCTTTGGTCTCTGACCGATATTCTCGTTTCAAGTGTTGGCGAGAATGTTTTTTTTGGCTGGGCGACTTGGTACAAAAGATCCGAGATAAGGATAACAACTAAAAATATATTTTAACCTTATAAGTAACAAATCATGAATAAAGCAACTTTACTTTACGAGTCTTGCGTATACAGAGTACCACTACCCACATCGATATCATGGGCTGGTAAAAGCGAGTATAGTATAAATTAGTGGGTGTCGATAGCCTTTGACTTGACTACATTGGTCTCCCAGTTAAAATGTTACGTTAGCCTAACGACAAAGGTTCTGATTTTCCAAATACAACATGTTCTACATAATAATGTCTGGTTATTATTGTGAAAGTTTGAAAAAGTCGGGATGAAAAATAAATTCATAGGCGTAATAAGGTTATAGAATAAAAGCAAAAGGGAGCTTATTAAATTATCAAAACAATTTTCTTCAAATATTCACTTTGTAGTTATTTATTAGGTATTTACAAATTTTATAGTCAACTAGAAAATAAATAATTTGTTAACGGTCAGGGGAGAAACAATATTAATACTGCGCGTGTTGGGGCTTATTCAGAGTGGAACTTCAATAAAGCCACATAAAAGAAACCAATAGAACACTCTCTACCTACAGTGGTTTCGAGTTTTTTTTTGGTACATTCTCATTACCTCGCAAAGCATAGGAATTGTGAATATTGCTTACCGTTCTAATGTATCACCAGTGTAATTCATACATTCCGGCTTCGGTACAGTTAAAATAGATTAAAGATGCGACGGATGGCAAACGTTAACCCAACTACTAACCATGTATTTATTATACTGGAGATATGGCCCATTAATTAATACAATTACCAATGCGCACGGGTCTAAAGCCCTGTTACTATTTCGGTCGAATGTGAGAATACCTGACTAGTAAATCGTTCGGATCTTTTCTACAAAGCTCGCGCCACGTTTCGAAATAATAAATTAATATTTATCAAGTTCGGTTTGCGGTTAAGAATGATTTGAAAATATGAATTTCCAGCGCAATCTGCATTGTTAACCTTGAACTGCATTGTTAACCTTGAACTGCATAATAACTTACTAAATTTCTTATTTTGAGCGTTGGCGGGGACTTTGTACATAAGATTCAATCGTCCTAGTATCGTAATCAACATCCAACATAACCATCGCGAAATTTCTGACATATATTTAGAGAGTGTCTTCGCTATTTGCAATCACGTACCACAGACTCTGATGACCCAAAGGCCGTATCGTTCTCAGTCCTATACCTCGTATTTGTTATTTTTTCACTTCCTACAGCCTTAAATGATATTTTAGTTTATTTCCCCACTCCATTTGTACCTTGCGTATTTGGGTATGGTTAAAGTTAAACTACTGATTGCCTGCCTATTCTTTTGCGCGATTAACTGATTCGAAGAACGACAATAACACTTTGAATTTGAAAGCTTGTTCTAGGTGAGTTTAAAAAATATAATACCTTCAGACCAATAGCTTTCAACTGGGTACCGCCAGCCAGTCCAGGGCTTCCGTAAGTTTTTCTTTCATATCTCAGAGTCGATATTAAAATATCGACATATATATAGTTTAAATAAAATCAAATACCTAATATGTTTGCCGCTATTATTAAACTTTCTACACATATCATTTTGTTTTGCTAGTATTATGTTTGCTTTTATGTATATTTATAGTTTATACAAGTCAAAGAATAAAACAAAACTTAACTGTTTCTTAGTGGTTCGTCGAGAGGGAATGTTTCATTAGGGTCTATCATAAGAGTTGAAAAATACTGCTTCATACGTTAGGTTAAATCAGGAGTTTGCGGGGCGATTCATAGCAAATTTGACAAATTTAAGGTTCATGATAAAGGAACCATACCGCCGCAGTAAAACAGAAGTAGCCTATGTCACATCGTTAACAGAGAAATTTTTGATCTTTCGTCATTTTGGGCAAGTAGGCAAAATCTAAAAAGATTTAATACGTGCTATTGCACGTGCCCACTTACCCCGGACAGCAAACAACACATTGTAGTGAATTTTGAAAATACACGACGGCTAATTCCGGCGTAAATACTTAGTTGCACACATAAAAAAAAAACGACTTGTGTATTATGTCCATTTCAGGTTTAGACGTGAAAACCACATATACTATCACAAAAATACAATTTTTTCAAAACCTTAGGCTACGGTAAGTTCGTGCTTAATTTCATTTTTTCTCAATTTCGTATGTTATTTTTACTGGATGAAAAAAATAAACCGCACTGTGACTACTGCGTCAATATACACGCACAAGCGACTACTTTTCGCCTATTAATATTAATGAAGGAGAAGCAAAAGTTATGTAGTACACACTCTGTAGGCTAATACAGAGGGTATCGCATAAGGATAATAATAAAATAGAGGCGCTATGGCTTTTATGCATATCATTCTAATCTAAGCAACATAGCTAGGCGATTCAAGAAAGATAATAAGCTCATAACTGAAAATATAGAAAAACTACCTACAAGCGAAAACTAACGCACTTTGGGTAGTTAATACCAGTAAACTAAAAGCTAATCGAAGTATTTAACGTTACTTTGCCCTTATACACGTCTTACATCAACTGCTCATACTCGCAAGCTTCGAAACAGTATACGATATAAAACTATATCACGCCTTTCTTCATTACGCAGACACTGCCGAAACTAATGCAATTTCCCATTGCATGTCGTGAATCATTTGTGGCGTCACTTTACCATTATGACCGAATAATCTATTGACAATCAAGACGAGTAAACGGCGTATTGTGACTCATAATTATGATAACAAAATAAGAATTTGAGGATTTGAAGCTTATTATTTGATTGCATTTTACTTTCAATTAGATGCCTGAGCAAGATATAAATTTGATTATGAAAGAAGACAATATGTACTGATGTACGGGTTCGCCCCTATAGTCTACGAAACATATGGAGTGAGTACGGTAAGTTCCGCTGCCTTCCGGAATAGACTAAAGTCACAAAAGAGTTGCGAGGCAAACTCTGTGCAGAGGAAGCATTGTCAAGAAGCGTAGTGTTAAAGTGCATTCTACTATCAATCATGGAGCTAACGCAACAATTTTATTTCCCTTTGAAAAGGGGTGGAGGTACTGGACTGGTGAGTACTTGAAATTAACTTAATTTCTACCGGTAGGCACCGGTGTGCGAGTTTTGTGCATCTTTTTATACTTTTGAGTACGATATAAGTTATTACCAATTCAGAATAGCAGAAGGTGACCGTGCATTTGTACCCACGTACATTTGAACCCATGTGTATATCCGCGGGTTCAATCTATATGCGGGTGCTAAATCCCATGGGTTAAGTTAAGTTTGGGTTCAAATATCCGTAAAACCAGAAAATTTTCATAGGTGCAATTGTCATGGGTTCAAATGTACGTGGGCTCAAATGCAATGAAACCTAGCAGAAGCATGAATTGGCAGAATTAAAGCTTCTACATTGGCATTTAAATATTTCGGCTTGTCGCGGTGGTGCACGAATGGTACTCAGATAGGATATGGATTTTTCTAAGCCGGTACTTACCGAGGGAATAGGCAAAATCCGATTATATGTCCCTGTTCGAGGTTGCCAGTAAATTGGTAGTATAGAATTTACACTTTATCCCGGGGGAACTACGGCCTCTCGACCGACTACCGTACCAGTCAATGCCGGGTATGGAATTAGTTAGCCAGTTATCTGTGTCAGATGCATGGACTTTACGGTAGAGGAAGCCGTAACCGACCAGCGGTTACGTGAACCGTTCCCCATTGTGACAGGGAAATATAAGTTTCGTCTGTGATTCCGGTTCCATACGAGTCAAGCTGACTAAATATGTGACAGGGTACCGGTATCACACATACATCAGATTTTTATGCGATTCTTATTTAGGTCTTTCGCTATGAACAAGACATATTCAAAGGCCACTGACATCTGACGATGTATGAATCTAGTACTTTCTTGAAGTACAGGCAGTGGCGTAGCATCCACCCCGCGGTCGCGGGAGGGCCCACAGCGCAAAAGGGCCCAAGCGGTTAGAATTTAGAAATTTGAGCCGCGAAACCAAAAGTTGCATCGCAAAACAAGTAATGCACATCTTATAACGTTGATGTTAGTTCTGCTCAAATCATTTTGTTACGTAATAATGCCAGGGATTCGTCGATTTCCGGCGTATTGTGGTTTGATCGCACCGGCAAAATTACGAAGGCTGTCAGAATGATGTCGAAAGCAAAACCTCTCAGTGGCGCACAGAAACTCAGAAAAAGGGCTGAAGAGGAAGCACGTATAAAAAAAAATTGAAGTCACCAAGACAAACGGCAAATTTTAGGTTACCATTGCCTTTTAATAGCGACATGTTATGCTTTTTGACCAAATAAAATAAGCGTTGTGTTAGCTTATGTCCGAGAGTTTTTGGGGTCATTTCCACGAAATATTTTTGCGGGGGGGGGGGCACACGAAGGTTTTGCTACGCCACTAGGTACAGGAATCTTAAAGATTTGGCGTAATGTACCCAATTTATTTGTTACACACTTGGATGATCCGATATGTGTAATCTGTGACGCCGCGCCCGAGATGGATATATATAAGGCTCCATTTCAAGGCTGTGGGATTGGCGCAGCCCTAAACTTATAACGGTCCGTCAGTAGTTCATTTTTCACACCAAAATGAAAATATACTTAATACAAAAAAATAGCAGGTGCGCGGGTATTATATGTAAATTATCTTCATAAATGCTTGAATAGCTACAAAAAAAGCAAATGTGACAACATTTTTTGATGATAACGGATTAGAATATCGTTTATAGATATCTCTTCTTGCATAATAAAGTCATAAGTGCCCCCTGAAAATTAACAGAACTGTGTCAAACATAACTAATATATGGTTGAATATTGCACATATCATAAATGTCTTATCGTTTCTTATTTTAAATGCTGGGCATATGAATCAATATAGTCATTTTACCTCTCAGGTGGAACTGATTAACAGTGGAGGAAAAAAATATATGTAAACGACCGGCTTGTCCATGGGGATGGGATTTCCATGGGATGGGACAGCACACATTTGTATTTCCCGTGGGACTGAAATATTGCATGATTTTTGTGAAAATGATGACAGTTCGTTATGGATTTGTGTTCCTATATTTAGGTGCAGCTCTCTTCTTAGTTATAAAGAGCAAAATATATTCAGCATTAACAATTAACTTTGTAAAGGGGTTGATGGACACATGTATAATAGTTATGAATTTAAAGTTAACAAAGTCAGTAAATTTTGTTGTTTTGCATATCCCTTCGTACATATAGTCCTATTTAGTAGACGCCAAACCTAAATTTAACATTTTTTATTGAATTGTCTTCCAATGGGAATTTCGTGGGATGGGATGGGACAGAAAAATGTGTCCCATGGACATGCCTGAAAAACGGGTCAAATATGCAAGCAAAGTAAGTATATTTTGACTTCCAAATCAGCATAACGGCAGTACATGAGTCTGGAAGTCAATCTAGGAATAGGTTCAATTATAATCAAGAGCATGAGTTTAATGAAATTAGCTAAAAAAAAATAGTGGATAATTCTAAAATAGGAAAGGTTTGTGTTTGCTCACTCATGAAAAAATGAATAATAGAAAGATGAAGAAAACGCATTTATTCTCTAGTACAGATTTGTAAATTCTGACCTTCCAAACCTTCTCATCCTTACTCAAAAGATTAACAATAAAACAAAATACTACTATAAAAGTAAATACCGGAAAAGGCAACTGAAATTAGAATGGAATTAGCCAGATGTGGAAGGATGAACTGAATTAAACATTAGTTTATACAGTAGATGAAATATAATACACTATATACATAATTATCATTAGTTGATTAAAAATAAAAGGATAAAACAGATCAAAAGCGATAAAAATTGAGAAAAAATAAACTGTTGGTTTTGAAAATTTTGACTAATTAACGTTGATTAACAGTAAGTATAGAGTTTGATATAAAAACGAGAGGTTGAGCCAAATTCGACTGATATTGCAGTCCATCAAACATTATAATATCCAGTAAGTGGCATAATGAAATGCTTGATAATGACACTATAAAACCAATGAAGGGGTTCTAATATTATATTGTTCATGTAGAGTCTAACGTCCATTGTTGATTTTGTATTGTTAGTATTCAATTCTGCAGACTTTCAATTTCTACACAACTTTTACAAGATAGCCACAGGTAGTTCCGGTAGGTTTAGATGGATTTTCAACCCCGTTCAGGCAATTTAGGGTCTGTTCCGGTATTGACAGGAACTTATTTTTTATCACTGTACCCCCAAAGTTTGCTGTTTTATCTTGAAAATTGCCTTGAGTTATATAAAATGTCTTTTAAAGATGTCTTGAAAATTCCCTTTAGATATATAAAATGTCCTTTAAAGATATATAAAATGTCCTTTAAAGATATCTGAGTCATTCTGACTGATATTGCAGTTCACCGAACTTTATAATATTTATAAGTGGCTTCATAATGACACTACAAAATCAATGGATGAGTTTTAATATAGTATTGTCCGGATAGTGTTGAGCGTCCATTGTTGATCATCTACTGTTAGTATTCAATTCCTGCTGCCTTTAATTTCGCCTTCAATGCATCACAAAGTTTATCGAGATGGTCATCATCAGGATATCCATTGCTGAAAAAGATTAGATTGCATGAGAGATAATGGTAGTTGCATATGAGTCTGATTTCAATTAACTGTAAAAAATAAAATGTTCGATAAAAGAACACTGAAAGTCACAAATATTTGACTCCTTAGTACTGAGGAATGCTTAACTTAGCGATGCCTGTGTGAGTGGGATTTGAATGTAAGGTTTTGATGTGTAAAAAGAATGTCAAGTCAACTTTACTCGTAGGTAGAGATGAATGTCTAAACAGGTAATTTTTTCAGGTATTTGATTTCATTGATACTGTACTAAAATATGAAACATCAAAATCACTAACTAAGCCCAACACCTTATCCGTGGTGCAATGGAAGGCTTCGCCGAACATTGATCATTTTAGAGTTTTGAAACCGAGTAATGCCCCAAAGTCTTATTGTCTGCTTGAACAGAGCACTGATCAAATTGCAGTTGTAAAACCACCAAATAAAATATATATTCATGATGCGCGATGGCATAATAGTTGAAGCGTTAAACTTAATTGGGTTGGCAAAAACATTGGGAGGTAATGCCGAACCAAAAAAAAAAAACTAGTTCTGCCAAATATTATTAGCTCCTTTAATATTGCTACATATCAGTGGAAGCTTAAACAGGGCTTTGTTCACAGCAAAATGTGTCGATAAGCGTCGTATATATAAAACTCAAATATCTCGTTTATAATAGAATTTTAAGAATAAGCAGTGTAAGTGTAACTATAATTTATATGTTGGATGCCCAATGAAACATTGACAGCAGAGAAGCAGAAAATTTAGTCGTTACTGGAATACGGATCAAATAGTTACAAAATTGGGCAACCATAATTCCAATGACAGATGTGACAACAGAGAAACCTAGTAAACAACAGCTGGTCGTTGAACCTGGTTACAGTCACGTTGCAGACAATTCAAGCCTGAATACCATAATGGTTGATTCTGATTGTCACTAAAAAATTATCCTCAGTCACATACACCCTAACATTTTGCAACAGCATGACAAATCATGGTCAATATTTATCAGGAATAGAAAGAACGCTTCCTGGCCATCCCTCACCCATCAACTGAAATTCGATGGATGCGATGGTTTCTTATATATAGCTTTGTTCAAAGTGAACGGTGCATAATGGATGTGTATTAACAAATTTAAATGTTGCTTGAAATCAAGAGAGGAAAGTTGAGAACGTTGTACTTGATTTTACCTAGGATGAGGCATTATATATGTGGTTGAGTGGTTACAAATGTCACAAGCTGGATGGAAAGTTATGGGATCAAAATCGCAGCCCAAAGATGCCTTTCTTTGATTTATATATAAGAGTTTGCCAAATGATGTTTAGTACAAATCATGACTTTTTGTGTGAAAGTCCGTTTATCTAACTTCGCATGGAAGGTCAGTTTGGAAAATAAATATTGCTTTGGTTGAATCTAATTTTTGCAATTCCTATTTCAAAAATCTTAAATCTCAAATTTTGTTTGAATTAATTTTTTATTACATCGTTACTTGATATAACTCACTCGAGGTTCCTTTTAATCCTTATAATAATTGTACAGATTATTCAACTAAAGAACTTACTTATCTGGGCCTCCACGTTTGTTAGTCTTATGAGGAATTTCATCATTCCATATTATTTCTCCTCTGCTGCTTCCAATTATCTGAATCTTGAAGAGCAATCCTGTATTGAATGCTTTCCGGAGCAAGTTCTCAAGGTGGGGGTTAGCAGGCAAATATTCAGTGAACTTCTTTGCCTCATATGAAACACCCTGCAAAAATAAACATAATAGGTTATTCAACTTCTATATCTGATAATTTATTAAAACTGATATAAACACAGGTGCTCCAGAAGTATGTGAATCAAGATGTTGCAGAACCTGAATCCTGACCAGTACACACATACTGTGTTCAGGTTGTGCGCCATCTTGGTGCATTTGATATGATTGTATGATTTGATTGTGATTTGATAACAAAACATTCGATTTCTAGGTCAGGAGGAGGGAACACATTTGAACCAAAGATGTTTTACATGTGCAAACAAGTAAAATATCCTCAGGAAACACATAATCAGTGACACCTTGTTCAGAGTTGCCTTCACATAACATTTATTGAAAAAAGTTTCAATTTTTCAAAAAAGAAATCAAACATGATATATCTATGATTGGGAGCAGAGTTAGAATATGATGACACTAACATATTACTGACACACAAAAAATCCACTGATATGTAAGAGGTTATTTATGAAAAAACCAAAGGACCAACATTTTTTTAAGCAGAGCATTGCTTGCCAATTTATATACATCGGTGGTGAGATCGTCGATCTGGGATTTGAAGATTAATGTGAAGAGAAGTAGCCAAACTACGTTGGCATCACAGGTTAAAAATCCTGGATTCAAGCACATTACTCAGTGCATAATGAAATAGGTAGGAGTGTAAGATAAATTAGGTGACAATGCAACCAGACAGATTTCAGTTCTACAATAAATAGTAGTGCCTTGCGTATTAGTGGCTGCTCATACATAGCCTTGTTTGAAATAAAAGACATGACAAACGTTTCAAAGAAAAAATTCATATGGTAAGTTTGTCATTTTAGGCGTTTGGAATCTTATAGTCGGACAAAACTATCAGACTTAAGATAAATTGTGATGATTATTGCCAAAATAAAATACCTAAATTACTATTTCATATAAATTCTTAAAATAATATCTTTTTCCGATATTGAATATATTTCAAATTGGGCCATGTCCAACAAGAGTCTGTGAAAATCAGTGTACAATTAGAGATGTACCGATACCACTTTTGTCGCCGATCCCAGCTAAAAACACCAATACCGATAAGCCGATAAGATATGAAATTAATGTTTGGTGTTTGCTTTAACTGATTAAGATACATTGTACAGTAACGCTAGTAATCTCAGTGTTCAATTAGAAAACTCATAAGCCGGGATGTCCAATTTGAATTTAATGTTAATATCGCTCCTTCGAATTTCTTATTCGTGTTTAAAAGAATATCGAATATCACCCACACATTCTAGCGCCGTCGTCCTACGTTCAAATTAAAAGAATTTTACAAATATTTTATTTCGTGGCTAATCGTAATCGTCGACGCAATAAGTCAAAGCCAACATGAAGGAATATCAATCAGCACCGACAAAAAGAAGGCCTACCTATAACGCCGAGGATGATTTTTTACTATTTTACAATTGCTATCATATATTTTGAGACAGTCTAGGGCTAGGCGGTCATGTCAATATATCTATAAAGTAATTGTGTAGTTAAACAAAAATAAAATTAATACCTGCGTAGAGGGATAATTGTGTCGGAATTTAGTTTATCGATGTCGACGGACTAAATGACACTTGTACTTGACGACAAACAGTCAGAATTTATACCCATGCCAAAAGGTCATGTGCCGTTAATAAAGACCCCAATTCCACTGTATGATTTAAAACTAGGCGCCTAGTTGCTTTATGTTACGTGCTGTGTTGATATATTTCTTCATAATTACTATGTAATATTAAAAATGTCAATATAAAAATTTGACAGCGAAAATAGCCAAATTAGTTGAGCTAATTTGGCTGATAAATATGTTAGCTAAAAACATGTGAATCCTATTCTCTCGCGGGGGTGGGGACATGTATGGCTCATAGCTCATGATCTCTCCAGACAAAAAATGAATTAAAAAGTAGTATTCCAACTTATCTTTTAAAACATTCTGGACCACATTTCTTCAATAATCAAATGCTTTGAAAGACAAATTTTGAAATGAAAACCTCAAATCAAGAATTTGCTCTATGTAATATAAACAATTGTGAATATATTCATTTATTTTGGACATCAGCACTGGTAGAGATAAATTCTGCAAGGGGCCATTAAACCAACATAAAAAAACTGCTTTCTAGAACATCGGAAAAAAAATTTCTAGAACATCTAAGCACTAAGGTGTTGTGATGGCCTTGTGGTTATAGCATTGGACTTAGCTATGTTGGATCATAATTTGAAGGTCTCAAGTTCCATGCCCACTGCCTTATCAAGGATGTAATAACTTGAGTGGGCATTGCTGAAACGAAAAATTTACATTCCATCCAAAAATAGCAGCTTCCTATGCATTAGTGGTTGCCTGTGCAGAGGCCTGTTTGAAGTGAACAATGTAATAACAAAGGTGTAATTTGCATTCAATTGCTATTTGGGGGCCAAAAAATTGTATTTGGAAGATTTAACGTTAAACATAAAATCAATGTTAATTGATACAACAAGAATCTTGGTTCCAATAAATACATAATTTAATATTCAACCAACTGAATTCATTACATGACTCACATTCAGATTTCCAGCAGGGAATGAGTAAGTGATGACATAAGTGCACCATCTATATCCTGGCAGTGCTTCATGGGATCTTTCCACTGACATTTCTCCACCAGGTGGTTGTTGGTTGATGATTCTTAGACCAGATGAAGCAGCTTGACTTGAAGACTGAGATTCTGAAAATTGAAACATTATTTGATAGGAGGGGATTAGTAAGAAATATCACAATACTGGGCTATTATTATACATAAAATAAATTGATAGGGCATATTGTAATCTTTTATAAAAAAATAAACAAGGTCATATTGTAATATTATATAATAAATAAACGAACAACTCTTTTGTGATTCTTGAATCCACGAAATACCTTAGCCCCCATGCCAATACTAGGCTCAAATTGGATAATATATTTTTATTTATGCTTTTTAAGCAGTATTGAATTTTTTTACACGACGCTTATCTACGCCTTCGTACTGAACAAAGTCCCGTACAAGCAGTCACTGATATGTAAGTAACTGATAAGCCACTGATGTGTGAGAAGCTACTATTATTGGGGAGGAACAGCGTTGCCTACCCAACCCATTACACCTTGGGTGTGGTGGGTGAGGTGTGGAATTTGAACCCGGAAGGCGTAATCTGAAATGGCAACAGTTAAGCCTATTGCTTCAACTGTTACGTCATCACCCAGTGATCCAAATATAGTATTTACTGGGTATTGGTTCATTCGGTTTTAACCTCGTTACTTTAAAAACAGAAATGAATGAATGGAGTTAGGATGACCAATTTTCCTAATTATGCTAAATATTATACCAGTATTTATTTTATCCATGGATTAAAAATTATCACAATATTGTTCAGAATTATGTAAAACAATAAGCTAGATATGAACAATCCATAGTGAAATCAGACTCAGTGCTCACTTCAGTAATCTCAGTTATGAAACACAAATGCTAAAGATTGTACCTGAAGTGTCACTCCTATATCCACCCACTGCTCCCATCTTTGAATTTTGGACATTCCTAGAGCTGTGACTACTTGATGCAGTGTTGCCCAGGGAAGTTACTGAATTTGCTCTAATACTTGTAGATGTTGGTTGCTGGACTGACTGATTAGAAGATTCTGAACTCTTTCTTGCCCGAGATAATATTTCATCAAAAAGTCTATCGTAGCATTTACTAGAGTCATTGACTAGAGTTTCCGAGCGGATGGTTTCTTCCAGAAATTTTAAGGGAAATTTTTTCAGGTCAAGAAGGCTGAACAGTTCATGAAAAATCTTTTTCCTCATTTGAAGATCATGCTTTATCCATCTAAGAGCTCCATGCCATTTAACAGTCTCGGAAGAATATTTTGTATTTGGGGATTTGTAAATCCTTACGATGTCATCCTTGCTGATATCACAGAACTCCTTTTTCTCAATGATTAGTTCGAAATTTGATTCCAGGAATTGATTCATCACATTTTCCACAGCATTTGGGTTGGTAGCTTGATGAGTTTCAGCCATATTCTTCAGGATGAAGCAGCTGTCAATCTCAAGATTTGTCTCAAGATTCTTGACATTAGAGAATAATGCAGTGATGACTGAATTCTTTGCAATGCCATTACTTTTCACCAGTGGTTCTTCCAACACAGTCTCCAGAAGAAATTTGAAAGGATAAGTCTGGATATTGATGACTGGAACAAGATCGGCAAAACATCTCTCTGCATCTTCATCTTTTGCTCTTGCCCATGTTATCATAGCTTGCCATGATGTTTGATAACTCACATTTGAAACTTTTATGTAACGCAGGAGATCTGGCTTGATAATGAACGGGAACATCTCAGAGGAAATTACTGATTCGAAATTAGTGATAAGCACCTGTTCTGCTTGTTCTTTTATATCAAGGCGATCGTACGCTTGAGCCAAATTGATGACAGAAAGACAATTGGTCGAGGAGAGATGGGTTTTCAAGTAATGGAAGCAAAAGTTTGTCAAGCCAACCATTTGTAACAGGTTGGATGCATGCAGGATTTGTTGAACGTATTCCATTTTCAAATTTCCCACTCCTTTATACATGAATTCTATACATTGAGAAATTCCATTCTGATCGACATCCTTCATATTGATAAACCCATCACGAGATTCCTTCATTTTGCTTGTAAACATCGCTTTGAAGTATCCTGACGAGGCTGCCAAGACACAGCGATGAGCACAGAAGGATTTGTCACCAACTTTCACATCGAAATCGCAGAGAATGTTTTGTTCTCTCAAGCTATCGAGTGATGTCATAAGCAAACTGGCTTGGGTTGAATTTGTTTGTTTAATGTAATCTTCATTCATGATCAGTCGGCTCAACCTTACTCAGATCAGAAACTAAATATAACAATTCTAATGCATGCATAAAAATAATACATTTTGTTAACATTCGAAGTATATGAGTATAAGATAGTGATAGATTGGAATAGTCTACCCATGCTATATCATGTGTATATCATAGTTCCCACCTCAGATAATATATATCACGTTTTAATGCAGGTCAATTACAATACAAGACTTTTAAACATACAATATAAATATTGCGGCCGGTAAAAGTGAAATGGCATTTTCTCGAAATCTTCAGTTTCTTACCTAAATAGAACAGATATGTTTTGCAAAAGGTGAGCTGTGCTGCAATAAGTGGGGATTCCCATAACTACTTCTCAAAAACAAAATAATGGATTGACAAAAAGTTTCTTTGCTAATATCTGAATATAGGATAGGATTTACATATTTATCCCGGGGGAGAGGAAAGCCGATAAGACGGCTTATCCATATGGCGAACCACGGCCTCTCGTCCAGTTACCATTCCAAGTCGGGTATGGAATTAGTTTTTTACTGTATTGTTTTGTTTTTGGAAGCATGGACTTGGTGGTGGAGGAAGCCGTAACCGACCAGCGGTTACGTGAACCACCCAACGACGGCGAGGAGTCCAGCAATCCTCTCGCACATAACCATCCCTGCATGGGATTCGAACCTGCGAACCCACGCAGAGTGATTAGAGGTGCGGTGGCGAGCGTATTCCTAACGCTTAGCCCGTTGAGCCACACCGCCGCGCCGTAATAGTAAAGTACTATTAGTACCGTAATAGTAAAGAGATCAGTAAGTCCAGAAGTCTGTAAGTTCATTCTGTCATTGGAAGTCAACAAAAATTAAATTTGGCTCAACTATTATAAGTTTATTTCGATTTTATGAATGAACATCGTAGGCTATATAAGTATAAGTTTATTTTGCCTATAATCAGAATAACAATAAAAGGATTGATAAAAATAAATAAATAAAAACTGATTATGAAATCAGAAGAGCAAACATAACATTAGATAAGGTTTAAAACGTATAGAATATAAGATGAAAGATTTTGCCAAGAAGTGTTACGTGTTCACTCACCTAAAATTATTTTACACACGTACCGGTACCCACCGACACCCCCACACATAACCACAGAGAAATTAACAATCACAGTGACCGGTACCCGGACCATACTCTGCTGATACACCGCATTAACTTATATTCAGTTGCATAGACTGATAAAGGATATTTCCACTGAACCGCATTCGCCCAACATATTGGTTGAATTACAATATAATTGCATTCTTTACTCAGTTTCTAATGCAGCATAGCGCAGTTGTGCAAAATCTTAACATTTGCAACAGTGTAACTCTGACCTTTCACCTCCACTGTTCGTGTAAGTTGCCAAGCCGAGGGGCTTTAAACTGACAATGAAAACGCTGATTTCAACTGATACTCATCTAATAGGCATGGTTGGAAAGTTGTTTTAAGTCAAAGAAGTAAAAAAAAATGAGTGAAGAAATGACGCACCCTGATATTACGTAACAATTCGGATAAAAAGTCATTGCTTGTCTGTTTTGAATTACATCTGGCAACTTTGCTTTCAATCAAAAATTGTGCATATTCATGACGTCATAAATAAAATGTTTTGGGATTAATCATTATGATATAATAATTTCTCCCCGAAGTATTTGCTAATCTATGCGAGCATGCCAGCATTGACCTGCTTCGAGGCGAAGATCAAGCATTTTCTGTGTGGAAGACAGTTCAGTATAAAGTATTAGATATGGATGTGGTGTTGCGCTCTTTCTGTGGAATATTCAAATGGCAAAGGATCGCGGTCTTGAATTACTATGCATTGGATCATTTATTTTCTACAAGCCTACTAAAAGTCAGGAACGCTGGGGCACATAAGCACAGGTCAGTGTAAGATAGAACTTCTTGCTATTCATTATGCGGGGTTGTTGAACCGGATAAGACTTACAACCGGGAGTGCCACGGGCGATGAAAGTTAACGCGAACCCCCATGACGATAAAACGGGCAATGTCCAATAAACCGTTCACACGATTATTTTTCATACACCTCAACATACAAACGGACGCAGGGCTTTCCGCGTTCAGCCTTAGAGATAGATAAAGATTCAATTTCATAAACAATACTAAACACAATAATCAGTAATTTATTTTATCACCAAGAAATACACACTGTACATACAGAACGAGATAAGAAAAGAGAGGAAAATAATGCATTTCAGGGTGAAAGGGGACGCGATAAACCAGCATTGGTTATCGAGCAACGACACCTATAATGAATACCAATATTGAAAATTTTGGTAGAAAAAAAGTACCCAATTTTGAAATTACTTCGATTAGGTGCGAATGCAGGACCGTCAAAGATCATCGAGGCCCCTGACCAATATATTTACACCGTAAATAAACTGCCAGATTGGTTGGGACAATATAAGTATAAAAAAAATGGCAGAAAATTGTCCTCAGGTTATTTTGCTACATAACACTTTATAGCAGGTTTATTGTAGAGTTGAGAGGACATATGTGTGATTATATATTATATTACATTGTGATCTAATACAACACTGATCAGTGATCACCATAATACAGTGTTTTTCGATTTAGAAAGGGTTTTTATTCCTCACATACTAAAGCATCAAAACGAATTTGGTAAAACTTTATTCAATTGCGACCGGTTAGAAACCCCCTGCCGTAATAGAAACGGGCTCAGTCTAGAAAATATATAAAGAATATGGCAACAAGAATATAAAGTATATGCTTTTATAAGGCATTTCTCCTTAATGGATCTCACTAAAATCCGCCTGTCAATCTCCGGGTCCAAGTTTGATAAAAGTATAGTTGTGATAAGCCCGAGTGGAGTCCATCATATTGAAATCGCAAACTCGGAAACTTGAGAATCGAAACCAATCAAAACATTTGGTGCTCGCGTGGTATGTGCACCAAGATGGCGCACAACCTGAACATAGTACGTGTACCAGGTTGGGGTTCAGGTTGTGCGCCGTCTTGTTGCACATACAACGGAAGCGCCAAAAGTTTTACCTGCGTATAAAGGAAAATTCAGCAACAAAATATAACTAGCGCTTAAAATCTAATGGCTGTTAAATTCAAGAAGCAATAATGAGGCTATACCGAAAGCGCAATACTCGGAAACGATTTATCATGCAAGTGAGCAAATGTACGATGGTGATAAGCGAAATGTGTTTGAGCGCACGTATCATAGAATAAGTCATTATTCAAAACAAAGTGAAAATTTATTCACCTCAATGTAGGACAAATGCAAAACGATTGTAACAATACGTAACTATGGAATTTACCTCGGTATGCAAATTTTACAATTTAGAATCGAATTTATTCGAATCACTACAATTTTTTGTAAATACAGCGTGATTTTTTAACGATTGTAGAAATACGAAATTATGAAATTTACGTCGATATGCAAGTCGAATCAATTCGAATTAAACACAAGTTCGAATTTTCGTAAAATCCGCCGTGATTTATTGAAAGAAAGAATATTAACTGTAAAACGCAAGACAATTGCATGCTTCGACAGGCGTAATACAATATCGAACAGCGCTTTTCAACCGGGTTCCACCAGTAAACTCGGGTGCTTCTATTCAAATCTAATATACGTATATTGTTCGAAAATAACCAATTGCCTATTGGGTTCGTCACTATTATTAAACCTGCTCTACTTCGAGGATCATTTTGTTTTGAAGGTGTTAGGTTTACTTTCGTATATATATTTATAATTTATACAATTCAGACAATTAAACTATTGCACAGGGTCCAGCCTCTGCAATTTTCATTGGGGTTCCGCTCCGAAAATATAATTGAAGGCTACTGATAGTCTTGCTTGTTGTCCCATCGTGCCAAACGTTAGGCAAAAGATTTCAAACGCATAACGAGGGATTGAAGCTTCAAATCCAATGACGATGACTATATGCGAGAGCATGCTCGGTGGCTTATGGAAAAACAATTAATGCAGGGGTGTGTAACCTTTTTGTCTATTGACGGTCGCAATACGGTTTTGAAAGAAAAACTACTGCCGATCTAAGTTTTTTTACGAGGTACATTCAATTGAAAAATTGGTTTTCATTGGCATCTCATTGACTTGCGTCTAAAACATTTAGGAAGCGATAAAATTTAAACAAATGTGCTGAATGAAAATTACTTGGTGTGGTCGAATTGAATAATTCCAACGAATGAAATATGTTCGACTATTTTCATCCACATTCGCTAGCGAGGCCTAGGCACGGAGGGTCCGAAAAAAATGTTAACAGTGCGACCTATTTTTTCCTAGAATGATTATTTCTTTGGCAGCATTCAAATGCGATATCCTACCGCTGATTTCCCCCGTAAAACGAGTATTACTAATTTTTGCGCCGTGGTGGACATAAAAGTTTAATTTATTTTTTTTTCTCGCAGAACTGTACATTTAGCGATTAGTCAGACGAACGCAAATGTCGCCTAAGCAACCATCGCCACCGCCAATAACTAATGAAATTATGGCATTACAAATAATGTTGCATTGTGCTTATTTTGCGGCTGAAACACAGGTCATTACCACCGCAGGTCGTGCACCCCCGAGTTGATGTAACCGCTGCTCAGTTACGGTACGGCTTTCGCGCACAGTCAAGTTTATACACCAAGGCAGATGTTTTATAACCGATATATATTGTTAATTAATACAAATCATTTGCTATAGCTCATCTTGTGTAGGCAAGACCACACGCGTATGGGAAATCGCCTGTTTTGTCGTTAGCCTTATCACTCGGAATGGTGTGCTGAAACTAATTGGACCCAACTTGACAGTATTTTCATCATGAAAGAAAGGCCTAGCGACCATGACCATGATGTTCAAGCATCTTATATTTTTCTTTGCAAAAGACTTGCGGCAAGCCTGTGGAACACAGTCACGCAGATTGTCAAAGAAAAAAAACACTTTATTGTATTCCTACGATCAAAACCAGGTTACAATTATGTGCTCAAAAGTCACATAGATTGTCAGATAATATAAACTTTTTTAATTTCTACGACTAAAACCATGCTACTTCTATAAATGCAAAAGCAATGATACTAATACTTATATAATACCAAAAAATATCAAAATACGGCCATCAACTACAAAATGGAAAATTTATTCAATGGACGATTAAATTTCTGTCACATCATGCAAAACATTTTAAAAGTTATACAACCATCAATAAATTGCAGACGAGAATATCGGTCAGAGACCGAAGACTTATCGATCGAAAGTTAGGGGATCCCCCAAAACAGCGCTCTTACTCCATAGTGACACCTTGTGCCCCATCACTAATTAATTAATAACTCGCTAATTATACGACATAATTCATCCAAAATCAATAGGCTTCTGGTACGACATATGATGAATGCACATGCAAAATCTGCAGCAGATTCAATCTCGCTTTCGTGAGATATCGCGTGCATCTAACAGACAAATATCTATCAACATACTTACCGATTAAAATCGATAAGTAATAAGGATCTATAAGTGTTACTTTGATGTGCAATATCAGCATTTGTATCCCAACCTAAAACATACCATCCAATCCCATTCACCTACAAGCTTATTTGCCTATGGGCAGTGTATTTATGATATTTTCAAGGTTACCAGAGTTACAACTGTCGCGTTTGCATACCCATACCAAAGCATTGCCTTATTTTTCAGGGAGGCATCCCTTATTTTATCCCAAATGCAAAAAAAGGGTTATGCATCTGGATTATTTAAAAGATGGTTGATTACTGGTAAGTGCGAGTTGACCACTGGACCCTTGGATGGTTTGCTGCAGTGTTCCCTCTAAGGTGTGCGCGTGTGCGCGCGCACACAGCTTTCAGAGGCTGCGCACACGCATAGATTTACTGCGCACAGACGTATTTCCATGTAATGTAACAATGTTCTCGATTGGCAGGTTGAGAAAGTTTGTTGTTGGCCCACCCATTACCCGGTTAGAACGCCAAAATTTCTTCATTGGTTTTTGCACAAATATTAGTCATTTATAAAAAAGTGCGCACACACCAAAATTTCTGCGCACACATACTACAAAAAATTAGAGGGAACATTGGTTTGCTGGATGACTATTTTAATAGTCAAATATTCTGGTAACATGCCATAGTCTGCCATAATTGAACGAAGACTTATTGGCTCGGTTTATGTGCTATTTATCAGTTTTATTAGTGTTTCTGATATTTAGACGTAAATAAAATGCCTCTTTTACGCCTGAAAATTTCTCCTTGCACTTCAACCCTTGACTACCTTTTATGCTCATTTTAGGAGTATTCTACGAGCTCGCATTCGCAAACTGTGTTAAAATCAATATTTTGTTCTCAAAAAACTGAGCAGCTGCCAATAAAATACTGAACCTAGTCCAGTAATATATCCAAGCAGTTTCGCAATCGTTTTTTTGCTTCGATACTCCGATTAAACCAAGGATTCTGCACGTGACCCAGCTTTAGGCAATTTTATTTTATAGGAGGCCAAAATGACCGCTTGATTTAAACCTATATTATGAAAAAGAGTCATGCTGGAAATAGCGTCTGATTAAATTTCATTCATTGCATTTCCGTCATCTTTGCTGTTTAGCCATTGTTTCTGAAATAAACTAGGAAGTTACATGCAACATTTTGGGCTATCAATTTGACGCGGAATACATGAAGGCCTCTCTCACGGAACACCGGTTGAAAATCACTAGTATAGACAGTATATGTAACGACTTTTTACTGCGTCCCAGTCCTTGATTACTAAATCGTAAAAGCAGTTTCGGTATGTCACTTCAACATATTGAATTTCAGACGTATCGGTGTATCTCGTTTAAACACATTTACAGGAGAATGAAAATCAACCTATATTTTCGTATCTTAGTTCGGCCCTCTTGAGTTTGCTTCAAGCTTCAACTTTAAAAAAAATTCCAATTGTATTCGAATAAATGAATCTAGTTGAGCGACTATCAGCGGTGATGATGGGTTCACTGGGCCTCGAAACTACAAAGCTTGATATAAAACCAGTGATAGAACGATTGTGATGGGATTTATTTAAAGTGGACAGGTCAACCTTGTGCTTGTTTGTGGGTGTTTCATGTAGATATTAACGGCAATATGGCAATGATCAGTTAAAATTTTGGTGATAATCGTTAACAATATATTAAAAATAAAAGCCTTTACCCACCACCACATTGGGGGTGGATATTGGGTAGATTAAAAGCATGAACTGTGGCTCCAGTTTCTTTCCATACTGAGTTGTTAGGAGAGAAAAGTCAAAAATATATATAAATTAAAACATCCAACATCGAAGAGACAACTAAAAGTCAAATAATTTATTATGGGTAAGTATGATGATACATAACATGCATTGAAGTTTTTCATTAAGCTAAAGTGAGCTTCCACTAAATCACAAGTATTTTTCTGAATCATAAAATTTGACTTCAAAATCTACGATTATCAGTCAAACAATATATTATGGATATTTTTGAATATTCTAGTTTTTAAATTCTGTTCCAAGCTTTTTTATTTTGAATAAATTTCATTAAAGCAGCTACGATTTTTCAAAAACATAATTATACTTATCACGGCTTTGAAAAAATTCAAATGCTCTCACATGAATATGCGACGAAATTTAATTTAATCTTTTATATACTTTCGAAAACAAAGTACAAATTACATGCATTTAAAGGTAACTCAATTGCATACTAGAAATTAACAGGCTTCAAGTAGCTTGGGAATTACTACAAGAATAATTATAACCTTGAGGTGCATTCGGCAAAAAATTTCGTATTTAAATTATGTAATTCACAACAATTAAATATGGAGAATTAATTGAGGAAAAATATATAATTATTAGTTGTTGCTAACATATGTCAATATGAAATTAATATTATACAATTGATTATCTTCACATATCACAAAAATGCCTTTACACCCATGCAGACAAAATGTTTTAAATGGAAACAGGCCATATATGAAATGCTAAGATGCAAAATTAAAATCTGCTCCAACTGGAATTTTGTACATCTCAACAGCTGAAATTAATGAAACAAAATTCCCGCTAGTATTACAGCTGATAATGATGATAATTTTCTTTTACAAATAAAAACAACTAAAACAAAATAAAACCACTAAACTAAAATACACGCCATGCATGGCAAATTTAGGAACAATTCCTGGTAGATAGGAAAACCAAGTTACTAAAAAATAGGTAAAGTACTGATCAAAAGGGTAAATTATACATCAAATTGTTTGCATAAGTAGTGAGTATTATGAATAAACAATAGCTTTATAGTATTTAATTGCATAAGGATTAGCAAAATATGAATTACTATGAAAACAAAAACATGAAATGAAAATAAACATATAGGAAATTAACATTATAATCTTGTAACATTGAAAAATACTAATATTTAGAATTACTCAATCTACTACAGATAGACAGAGTTGATAAATCAACCAATGTCACATAACAGATTTATCCATGTATTATGTACAAGTGACTCGCAACATTAACATTCAAATGATTGAAATAAATAATATAACAAGTAATTGTAAAAGGGGATTTGTCTAAAAAAAATTGCATATTTGAATTATATAATTGACAACAATGAAATACGAGATCTAAATATTTATTTTTTGCCAGCAGAAGTAAATATGAAAGTGATATCAAAATATAGCAAGAAATATAAAATCAATGTGAATTGCTGAACCATGATTAAATTTTAAAATGATAAGTGATTGGAATAGCGATTATGGATCTCCCTTTAGGCAAAATAAAGTCACATATAGTCACTCTCCAATCATGGCTAATGAAGTTGAATTTGCAAAGAAAAAATATTGAATAAATATATTGAAAAATAATCAGTGGACCATTTGAATTGCGTATTTTATAAATCAAAATCATACAGGGACCGCTCAAATATAGTTAAAGCATATGGTTTACAAAAAGACATTGGAAAAACTAATGGAGGCTATTATGGTGGGATTATCTGGTTGGTTACAGCTCCCCCTGCCAAGCAAATTCATGATACATCTGAACATAGATCTGATTTCGGTAACGGGCTGATAACAGAGTGCTCAACTAGCCTTCTCGCCAGGATAAATACAAAACTTATATATCGCAATTATCACTGACCCACATCTCTGTGACATCACAATGGGGCGGCATAATAGAAAGAGTATGTAAAGAATCAGGGTCTCCAGCACTGATTACAAAGCAGCAAAAGGCGACAAATGTGTATTTGCAAATTTGAGCACTCAATTCTTGTATTATCTCAAGCTATAAGCCACATAATAGATTTTTTTAGCGGATCCTCCAAAGTGTTTCATGGACCCAAAAGGTCAGCGAACTCCAGTTTGGGAATCACTGAGTTAGTTGGAGTAAAACTTGTGAGAGTTATTCAAAAACTTGACTAAAAGCATCATTTTTTTCAATGAATATAAAAATGCATTTTTACTTTTGCAAAGTCTTGAAACATCTTTATCCAGAATGATACCGTAATTGAGATGAAACTGAATAACAGTGGTAGAATAAAATATATAAAAACGGGTCAAATATGCAAACAAAGTATTTTTGACTCCCAAATCAGCATAACAACAATACCCGAGTCTGGAAATCAATCCACAAATAGGTAAATTATAAGCAAAAGTTTGAGTCTAATAAATTTAGCGAAATTATTGTGGATAATTTCAAAATATGAAAGGCACGTGTTTCCTTCCTCACAAACAAAAGAATAATAATAAAATAAAAAACACAAATGAGCACATGTTTGCTCACCTATAAAAGAATGAATACTAGGAGCGTGATAAAAACGTTCATTCTCTCTTACAGATTTGTAAACTCTGACCGACTGAATCTTCTCATCCTTACTCAAAGGCCTAACAACATAACAGAATCCTACTATAAGAGAAAATACTGAAAAAAGCAACTGAAACTTGTAATTAGGATGGAATTAGCCAGAAGTAGAAGGATGAACTGATTTAAATGTTCGTTCATACAGTAGATGAAACACAATAAATATATACATATATGCATAATTATCATGGAGTTGATCAACAATAAAAGGATGAAACAGATAAAAACGATGAAAAATTGAAAAAAATATAAATTGTTGGTTTTGAAAATTCTGACTAATTAACCTTGATTAACAGTATAGAGTTTGATTTAAAAACGAAAGGTTGAGTCAAATCCGACTGATATTGCAGTTCATCAAACATTATAATATTCAGTAAGTGGCCTAATGAAATGCTTGACAATGACAATATAAAATCAATGGAGGGGTTCTAATATTATATTGTCCATGTAGAGTCCAACGTCCATTGTTGATTTTGTATTGTTAGTATTCAATTTCTACACAACTTTTACAAGATAGCTACAGGTAGTTCCGGTAGGTTTAGATGAATTTTCCACCGCGTTCAGGCAATTTAGGGTCTGTTCCGGTAATGACAGAAACTTATTTTTTACCACTGTACCCCCAACGTTTGCTGTTTTATCTTGAAAATTGCCTTGAGATATATAAAATGTCCTGTCATTCTGACTGATATTGCAGTTCAAACTTTATAATAATTATAAGTGGCTTGATGAAATGCTTGATAATGACACTACAAAATCAATGGATGAGTTTCAATATGGTATTGTCCGGATAGTGTTGAACCTCTATTGATGATCATCTATTGTTATTATTTAATTCCTGCTGCCTTTAATTTTATTATCAATGCATCACAAAGTTTACGCTCATGGTCATCATCAGGATATCCATTGCTGAAAAAGATTAGATTGCATGAGAGATAATGGTAGTTGCATATGAGTCTGATTTCAATTAACTGTAAAAAATAAAATGTTCGATAAAAGAACACTGAAAGTCACAAATATTTGACTCCTTAGTACTTAGAAATGCTTAACTTAGCGATGCCTGTGTGAGTGAGATTTGAATGTGAGATTTAGATGTGAAAAAATAATGCAAAGTCAACTTTACTCGTAGGTAAAGACGAATGTCCAAACAGGGATTTTTTTCAGGTATTTGATTTCATTGATACTGTACTAAAATATGGAAACATCAAAATCACTAACTAAGCCCAACATCTTATCCATGGTGCAAGGGAAGGCTTCGCCGAACATTGATCATTTTAGAGTTTTGAAACCGAGTAATGCCTCAAAGTCCTATTGTCTGCTTGAACAGAGCACTGATCAAACCGAAGTTGTAAAAACACCAAATAAAATATATATTCATGATGCGCGATGACATAATGGTTGAAGCGTTAAACTTAATTGGGTTGGCATCGCAAACTGCACATCTTTGGTTCAAATCCAATGGCCATCACCCTACCCAAAATATTGGGTAGGCAATGCCGAACCAAAAAAGAAACTAGTTCTGCCAAATATTATTAGCTCCTTAAATATTGCTACATATCAGTGGAAACTTAAACAGGACTTTGTTCACAGCAAAATGTGTGGATAAGCGTCGTATATAGAAAAACTCAAAGATCTCGTTTATAATAGAATTTTAAGAATAAGCAGTGTAAGTGTTACTATAATTTATATGTTGGATGCCCAATGAAACATCGACAACAGAGAAGCAGAAAATTTAGTCGTTACTGGAATACGGATCAAATAGTTACAAAATTGGGCAACCATAATTCCAATGACAGATGTGACAACAGAGAAACCTAGTAAACAACAGTTGGTTGTTGAACCTGGTTATAATTACGTTGCAGACAATTCAAGCCTGAATACCATAATGGTTGATTCTGATTGTCACTAGGAAATTACCCTCAGTCACATACATCCTAACATTTTACACAGCATGAAAAATCATGGTCAATATTTATCAGGAATAGAAGAAACGCTTCCTGGCTATCCCTCACCCATCAACTGAAATTTGATAGATGCTGTGGTTCAGTGTTCACTATTAGCGCACTTTTTTGCGAAAATTGCGAAGCACTTTCGCAACTTTTTTTAGGGACTGCGAAATAGCACTTTTTTCCGATTTTGAAGAGAAATAGCACTTTTTTTCGATTTTGAATGGAATAAAAAATTCAAAGTTGACAAATGTTTTTGTGTGCGTATTAAGTTGACAAATAAGTAACATACTAGTACTTTTGTAACTCAATTCTGCATATCATAACGATATTTACCGGAATTCTAACCTATGTGGTGAAGACATGGAAGATAAAGCTTTTGCGTTAATTGGAAAATTCTTGTTTATAATATGATTATTATACAAGCACACCGATTCCGCTTCGACCGCGAAAACGCTCGGCGGCGTCTTTGAAACCAGATGTCCGAATGCAAGGCAGTGCGTTTCTCTAAACGAGAGTGGTCATGTGACTGTCAATGACATCGATGAATTGTGACCAAAGTACACGATTTTCTAGTACTGGTTTGACAGGTCTGTGTTCTCTTCTTAGTGAATTCACTGGAGCCATTCAGAAATTTCTGTACTCGACACGACATTGTTTAGTAATGGAATGTAAACTTGGGCCATTGTTTGTTAAATTAGAAGAAACTTTTAGCAGCATCTCACAGATTTGCAAAATCGCCAAATTGACAAAATACATACTTAGTATTAACATTTAACAGCCATTTTATTGTAACCACGAATGTTAAAAGCAAATGGCGTTTCGCGGAATTTTGCGATATTCAGTATTAGCTAGTCTAGTCATTCACGATAAATCAAACTCAGACCAGAGTCAAAAATCAATCTAAACTATTTCCTCATTAATATGCGAGTAGGGGTGGGCAAAATCGAATATTTTTTCGAATTGAATATTTTTAACGAGTAAGGAATATTTTTTATGCACAGCAGTGGTCTAGAACGTCGGTCGAAAAATTAGCAAGGAAGCCTTTTCTACTGGTTAATTTCGTTATAATAGCTAATTGTTTTTGTCACCGCAATCGTTTTGGCCACTATATCCTGGGTTTGGCAATCCAGGCTTACGCGTGCGTTCACATCGGCAACAGCTGTTAAGGGCATCAACGACAAATTTCAAAACCAAAATAAACATTTGCGTTGACTTGATATTACCTATCAACGTTTGTAAATTTACTGTCCCAATTTTAAGCGAATGGTATCATTATTATCGATGCCGGAATGCAAATATTTAATACGATAATTAACTTTTATAATTTTTTTATGGTGTCTGTATTAATTTACAGATAAATCTCGCAAATCTGAGATTGTGCCAATCCTGAATGTTGATTTAACTGGTGATTAAATAATTCGGCAATAAAGGCATTTCTGCGTGGCCATAAGACGGGATGACTTTAATAAACAGCACTTCTTAAGGATATTTTACATATGCGACTAATGCTAAAAACATTGGGCTCGAGTGCTCTGGTGCCTAATCAGGCGCTAATTGCAACTAATTCAACTCAAGTTTCAACGACTTTTTTCATCTTCACGATATGTTATCTTTTTTCATTCGGTACTGATAATGATAAATAAAAAATGTGTAATTGTTGATTGCAATTCCGGAAAACGAACGAATTTAACCGCGGTTAACCGCGCATTGGAAAGCAAAACACAATTTATTAACATTACTTTACAATGAGTTACGGGTAAGAATTAACCAGACGGCTATCGCTAACATGTAGAAACAATAAATTTGAAACGATTTTGTATAAAGCGTGTCAACATCGTTTTTGTAAATTTAGAAACGTCGATAAGTAAGACAAGTAAATAATGTATTTTATGGAACTTTCATGAGATATTGGTGAGTAATATTATTTTGACCATGTCGAAATGCCATTATTGCCGATTTATTCACGTGTTTAGTTACTATCAGTGTTTTAACCCAAAGCTGAGTTACGTAAATACTTAACACTGAGTACTCAAGAGATAACCAATTTGCGGAGTTTTTCAATTATTAATTAATACGAAAGTAACACAGACACGATCTAAAATTAAAAGCATAGAAATGTCAACTATCTGCTTCACAAATATCGCATCCCGGGGTCAGTAATAATATTATTGTTCGCTTAAAACTCGGGACGGTAATTTACGAACTGATACAAATCCTACACAGAAGATAAAAATCAGAACAAAATCAATTTTCGTTGTGAATGCGCTCATTAATAGTTGTCTTTAAAATCTTCGCCGATGTGAATTCACAATTCTATCCGAAATATAAAAACCAAACTCCGATGTCCGCCGTTACGTGAGAATTAATATTTGCTAGTGAATAAAAACATGCTTTAATATAGTTTAACAACACGATCGCGACGACAAAAAATTTACTGCAGCCTTCGATTATGACAAAATTATGAAATAATCATTGAATGGCAATAAAAATTTAACTTTATTAACAATAATTCTCAAGTAATAGTTTCACATTTTCATGATTTTGATCGTCGCTACATGCGAGCGTGTTTTTGTACATATAAACCATGATGACACTACTGACATCTGCGAGTTATAGATCTCTCCAAATTTAATTTTCGCGATTTTTAATGTTTCATTTCTAGATGCGGATGCCCGCTGACTACGGATAAATGGTCGATGTTTAAAAATAGGACTTCGGACCGTTGGGCAAAGAAAGGCGGGCTACACGTAACTGCGAAATTTCGCCGTGAACGACCTTACATTTTAGTTATAAACGCATTACGTCGTCGCGAATTGCAGTTTTGGTGTAATGTTTTAACTTCCCCCTAATCTCCCGTTGAAAAAATCCTGGCTGCGCCCCTGCCCGGTGATAATTCTAGCTAAAATGTTACAATTTTATTTACGGAATTTGCAAATTCACCATTTTGATAATCACGCCCTAATTATTGGTGCAAAAATACTCAAAATATCACGAATTTAATCATTTCCGATGTTACTAGGCGCAATTCATGACGGCGACAGTGTGCGTTGTTACATCGAAATTCACGATTGATTTTACGTTATACTCTTGTTCACGATTTCAACACTCCACCCGCCATGCATGGCTGAGTGGAAGGTTCACATTTTCGAAACATTACTTGGCCAAGGATGGGAGGGATCACTAACGAGCTAATTGAAAGCACATTAAAAGTATTATGACTTGTCATTTTTTTCTAGTTATAGCCTGTACATGTTATACCATGTGTGGGCTCTCGGAACGTCAATTTAACTTTTAATTTTCGACAATCAATTGTATGTGCGGCTCCTACATGAAACGGCTAATTCATGCTGCCGATATACGGAGTTTGAAATCTGGGATATTTATTTCGAATAGTCTATTTATTTTGACTCTTCTAAAATTAGGAAGCTTTGTTGGTACCTTTTTTGGCGCAAAGTATGAAATTGAAACGATACGAATATTTTGCCCAGTCCTATAGGCGAGGTTATGATATTAACGCAAAGAATATTTGTAAGCATAGCACTGGATGGAAATATTTTGCACCAAGACTGTTTGCAGAAGTTGATTTATCGAATACACGGAAAGTATTTATTTATCATCTCACTTGCGAACATCGGGATTTGGGCGGAATTATACGATTATGTTGTTGTTCTTAAATAATAACTTTTTCGATGAATGTTTATTTTACTTTTGTGTATTAATTATGATATGTTGAGTTTTCGTTTATTTCAAATTCGAAATTGTCTGGAATACTCAAACAGGTGTAATATTGATAGTATAGTGTAATCGAGTAACCAACTTAGAAGTCTTTAGAGATGTCTAATGAACTTGATGTGTTACGGGTGTCGTAACCCCCGTTTTTTTATTATTAAATTTGATTGTTCTACCTTCCGCTTATAAAACAACATCGTTATACGGTCATCTAAGGTAACTCTCGCGACCAAATCTTTTTGTTCTGTATGGCATCACCTTAGCGCCATTTATTACCGACTGAATTTTAATTGTGATTTATGATAAGTTATTTTCTGTTAGTTGGCGCTGATAACGTGGCTAATTTCTTTATAAACATTTTTAATATGTTTAATTTTAAAATTTAAAATTTTTTTTAAATATGTTCTCTACGTCTCTGCTATAATTGACAAGCGATAGCACAAGATTCAGCAGCAAATGATAAGCAAAGCTATTTTATAATCATGGGTTGCTTAATAAAGATTTGCTAATTATGGCAGGATATAAAGAACATGGCCTGAAATATATAATCAACAGAACGATGTTTATTTTTCAGTCGACGAAAACCCTTAATAATAACGATTGCCGAAATCGCGAAAAAAAATGAATACGGATTTTCGATTGTGATCAGATGACTGAGAGGGCACATCTCTGTTCAAGGAAGATATAAAACGAATACCATGTTGCCGAAAAGCGGTTACGTGTTATCTTTCTTTAGCCAATCAAAATAGTGGTAATGGTATATACAAGAGGTTTCTAAACTTTACAAATTCGGAACGCAATTAATATTAAAATTACAAGTAATGGTGCATGGAAAAACGAATTTGATTTTATTGAAATTGAAACGCACACACATAAGAGATTTACATTTCATGCACAACTAACTGATGCTACATGTGAGATTTGTGCACATGAACGATTATATATCGCGATTATTTATGTGAGAATGCGTACTTCTCTTTCAACTTTAATTTCCAGGATTTCGGCGTTCACGTGGTCGACTAAAAAAGATTTATCAAATGGATTGGTATTTCGCGTTCACTCAAAATTATTTGGGAACCACTATCATGTCATTCGTTTATTTTTTAAATTCATGTTTTTTTCAAGAATCACCCTGTTGTATTTCCTGTACCTTCGCAAAGGAAAACTCTTTGGTGTCATCATTACTATTAGTGTAATTGAAAGTGGCGTTGAGATGCGAATATTTCATACTAGGTCTGCAGCATTAGAGAGAGCGTTATTTATAAATGCTGGAAGTACATGGCATTTCTAAAAAAAATTGCAAATATATGATGTTTTCTACCCGATTTGAACTCACTGGCACGCAAACCAATGCAAGTCGATATTTGAAAATTACAGGTCTTTGAGACAGTATAATATAAATTAGGCCAAGCTAGCTCATGAAAGGGATTTCAAAGTGATCTTGCATAATATTTCGGAAAAAAAATCTTCGATAGAAAGTAGGTCACTCTATCTATAAAAACAGCGGTACTTTCATGGTGATCTTGCGTTATTTCCCAAAGAAAAACTGGCGGGAGAAACATGACGTTAACCAATCTCTTAAAAGGGAAGAGGGCGGACTACTTTCAAGCATATTCTTTCGGACGAGGAAGCGTGTTATACTAAAGCGATATTAGTGATGGGTCATGGGGATGTCATTTTGCCCGGGTTTTGTACAAATGATCCCCCTCCCTAGCTATGGCCGGTAGTAACTAATATCTGCATGTATCAATCGGTGTCTGTTAGATGGAAGAAACAAGTTTGCAAGGCTTGTCTGTTCAGGCGGGAGTGCGCTTCGTTACTGACGCTGGTGGTTGATTGCACGAAACTTTTATTCCCGACAAGTGTGCTTATCAGGTGTCCTTTGATGAATTCGCTTGTTTTTAACAACAGTTTAACGAAACTCCGTTAACGGAAAGACTTCAATTCACAATATTAACAGAAGGAGCGCTTTTTCGAGTATCTATACCTAACTAGTTAAAATCAGAAAAAGCACTTTCGCACTTTTTTTTTCGACTGCGAAGCACTTTCGCACTCATAATTTCCTTAGAGTTAACACTGCTGTGGTTGCTTAAATAGAGCCATATTCAGAGTGAAAGTGTGTATAAAATTGTGTATAAACAAAACCAAACGTTGCTTGAAATCAAGAGGACTTTTTATGTGCAAGTTCATTTTTCTAACTTTGCATGGAAGATCAGTTTGGAAAATAAATATTGATTTGGTTTATTTTAAGGTACTCCCGTAGTATGTGAACCAAGACGACGGACATCGGAACACAGTATGTGTATCAGGTTGGGGGTTAGGCCATAACTTCAGGTACAAATACTACAGGAGTCACTTGGCTGGTCCCCGAACTCGTAATCGAAATAAAACAAGGATAATTGAAATAAAATTATGGCCTAACCCTAACCTGATACACAGTATGTTCAGGTGTCCGCCATCTTGTTGCACATACTACGGAGCAGCGCCAATTTTAATTTTTGCAATTCACATTTTAAATCTCAAATTTTGTTGGAACTGAATTTTTAATACATCTGTACTTGATATTACTTAGTTGGGGCCCCAGTCAATCCTTATAACAATTGTGCATATTTTAGAATATCTAATCAGAAAACTTACTTATCTGGACCTCCAAGTTCGTTAGTCTTATGAGGAATTTCATCATTCCATATTATCTCTCCTCGGCTGCTTTCAATTATCTGAATCTTGAAGAGCAATCCTGTATTGAATGCTTTCTGGAGCAAGTTACTGAGGTAGAGGTCTGCAGGCAAATATTCAGTGAACTTCTTTGCCTCATATGAAACACCCTGCAAAAATAAACATCTCTCTAAGTTATTCAACTTCCATCTCTGATAATTATTTAAAACTGATATAAACACCAGGTCATATGTTGAGCTTTAAACTAAAATCTCTGCAACTCGGGATCGTTTCGAATAAAAATGATGATTCCTTAGAAGCAGACAGTTGCAAAATCATTCTTTTTATAGGATGTTTTCAAATACTCACCCTGAACAAGGCGGAAAACAAGCTAAGGCCTAAAGCAGGGGTCGGCAACCTACAACCCGCGGGCCAAATTATCGGCCGGACACTTCACTGAATTATAGTAAAAAACCAGCTGTTTTGATGATTATATTCTTTATGTCACAAATTTATTGTGATACACGTGTAGACTCAAGTATATAATTCACAATTACTCGTTAAATGAGCCTATAATTTATATATAATTGGACAAATGACAACAAAATGCAGAAAAGTTGATCCTAAGTGCAAAGTGTTCAATGGCGCAGAAAATATTCAAATGGAATGTTTTATAGATGCAATGCAATGAGGAAATAAACCTATATTTTATTCGTGACAATTATCACTGCTTGATTTTTATTGTAAGAAGTATCATCCGTTCGGTTTTCAACTTTCTAAAAATATGTGTGGCCCGCCAATGACTTGCAACCCTTAATTTTGGCCCGCAAGTGACAAAAGGTTGCCGACCCCCGGCCTAAAGCAATATCCAAATTAACAATTGGAATCTATTTCGCTAAACATTGCCTATCAAAAAATTTGATTTCCAGTTGAGAAGGGCACACATTGGAACCAAAAATATTTTACATTTTATATTTTTTTTCCGGTGCAAACAAGAAAAAAACCTCAGAAAACATAGAATCAGTGGCACCTTGTTCAGAGTTGCCTTCACATAATCAATTAAAAAAAGTTTTAATTTTTCAAGGAGGAAATCAAACATAATATATCTATGATTGGGAGCAGAGTTAGAATTTGATGACACTAACATATTACTGATACACAGAAAATCCACTGATATGTAAGAGGTCATTTATGAAAAAACTAAACGACCAACATTTTTTCAGGCAGAGCATTGCTTGCCAATTTATATACATCGTTGGTGAGATCGTCGATTTGGGATTTGAAGATTAATGTTAGGAGAAGGAGCCAAACTACGTTGGCATCACAGGTTAAAAATCTTGGATTCAAGCACATTACTCAGTGTATAATGAAATAGGTAGGAGTGTAAAATAAATTAGGTGGCAATGCAACCAGGAAGATTTCAGTACTACAATAAATAGTAGTGCTTTGCGTATCAGTGGCTGCTCATACATAGCCTTGTTTGAAATAAAAGACATGACAAACGTTTCATAGAAAAAATTCATATGGTAAGTTTGTCATTTTAGGCGTTTGGAATCTTATAGTCGGACAAAACTATCAGGCTTAAGAGAAATTATGAAGATTATTGCCAAAATGAAATACCGTACCTAATTTACTATTTCATATAAATTCTTAAATAATATTTGTTTTCAATATTAAATATATTTTAAATTGGGCCATGTCCAACAAGCGTCTATGAAAATCACTGTACAATTACAGATGTGTAAATTTAATTCAGTAATGCAGAATAACTGATAACACAGCTTGGATTGATTTTTGCAATTTGCAATGTCAGATTTTAGAGAAAGTCATACAATTTTCTTCAATAATCAAATGCTTTAAAAGACAAATTTTGAAATGAAAACCTCAAATCAAGAATTTGCTCTATGTAATATAAACAATTGTGAATATTCATTTATTTTGGACATCAGCACTGGTAGAGGTAAATTCTGCAAGGGGCCATTAAACCAATATAAAAAAAGCTTTCTAGAAACATCGGAAAAAATTTCTAGAACATCTTAGCACTGAGGTGTTGTGATGGCCTTGTGGTTATAGCATTGGACTTAGCTATGTTGGATCATAATTCGAAGGTTCCAAGTTCAAGTCCCATGCCCACTGCCTTATCCAGGATGTAATAACTTGAGTAGGCAATTCCGAAACGAAAAAATGACATTCCATCCAGAAATAATAGCTTATTATGCATTAGTGGTTGCTTGTGCCCTGTTTAAATTGAACAATATAATAACAAAAGTATAATTAGAATTCAATTGCTATTTGGGGGCAGGAAAATTGTATTTGGAAGATTTAATGTTAAACCTAGTATCAATGTAAATTAAGACAACAAGAATCTTGGTTCCAGTAAATACATAATTTAATATCCAACCAACTGAATTCATTGCATGACTCACATTCAGACTTCCAGCAGGGAATGAGGTGATGACAAGAGTGCCCCATCTATATCCTGGCAGTGGTTCCCTCAACCTTCTCACTGACATTCTTCCACCAGGTGGTTGTTGGTTGATGGTTCTTAGACCAGATAAAGTAGCTTGACTTGAAGACTGAGATTCTGAAAATTGAAACATTATTTGATTGAAGGGGATTAGTAAGAAATATCACAATACTGGGCTATTATTATACATAAAATAAATTGATAGGGCATATTGTAATCTTTTATAAAAAATAAACAAGGTCTCATATTGTAATATTATATAATAAATAAACGAACAACTCTTTTGTGATTTTTAAATTCACGAAATACCTGAGCCCCCATGCCAATACTAGGCTCAAATTGAATATTATATTTTTATTTGTGCTTTTGGATTTAAGCAGTAGTAAATATTTTTATACGACGCTTAATTACGCCTTCGTTCTGAACAAAGTCCTGTACAAGCAGTCACTGATATGTAAGGAACTGATAAGCCACTGATGTGTGAGAAGCTACTGTTATTGGGGAGGAACAGTGTTGCCTACCCAACCCATTACACCTTGGGTGTGGTGGGTGAGGTGTGGGATTTGAACCCGGAAAGGCGTAATCTGAAATGGCAACAGTGAAGCCTATTGCTTCGTTACGTCATCACCCAGTGATCCAAATATAGTATTTACTGGGTATTGGTTCATTCAGTTTTAACCTCGTTACTTAAAAAACAGAAACGAATGAATGAAGTTAAGATGACCTATTTTCCTAATTATGCTAAATATATTATAACACTATTTATATTTTCTATGGATTAAAAATTATCACAATATTGTTCAGAATTATGTAAAACAATAAGCTAGACATGAACAATCCATAGTGAAATCAGACTCAGTGCTTACTTCAGTAATCTCAGTTATGAAACACAAATGCTGATTGTACCTGAAGTGCCATCCCTGTATTCACCCACTGCTCCCATCTGTGGTTCTTCGGCATTCCTAGAGCTGCGACTACTTGATGCAGTGTTGCCCAGGGAAGTTTCTGTATCCGCTCTAGATGTTGGTTGCTGGACAGACTGACTAGAAAATTGTGAACTCTTTCTTGCCCGAGATAATATTTCATCAAAAAGTCTATCGTAGCATTTACGAGAGTCATTGACTAGAGTTTCCGAGCGGATGGTTTCTTCCAAAAATTTTAAGGGAAATTTTTTCAGGTCAAGAAGGCTGAACAGTTCATGAAAAATCTTTTTCCTCCTTTGAAGATCATGCTTTATCCATCTAAGAGCTCCATGCCATTTAACAGTCTCAGAAGAATATTTTGTGTTTTGGGATTTGTAAATCCTTATGATGTCATCTTTGCTGATATCACAGAACTCTTTTTTCTCAATGATTTGTTCGAAATTTGCTTCCAGGAATCGATCCATGACATCTTTCACTGGATTTGGGTTGGTAGCTTGATGAATTTCAGCCATATTCTTCAGGATGAAGCAGTTGTCAATCTCAAGATTTGTCTCAAGATTCTTGACATCAGAGAATAATGCAGTGATGACTGAATTCTTTGCAATGTCATTACTTTTCACCAGTGGTTCTTCCAACACAGTCTCCAGAAGAAATTTGAAAGGATAAGTCTGGATATTGATGACTGTAACAAGATCGGCAAAACATCTCTCTGCATCTTCATCTTTTGCTCTTGCCCATGTTATCATAGCTTGCCATGATGTTTGATAACTCACATTTGAAACTTTTATGTAACGCAGGAGATCTGGCTTAATAATGAACGGGAACATCTCAGAGGAAATTACTGATTTGAAATTAGTGATCAGCACCTGTTCTGCTTGTTCTTTTATATCATGACGATCGTACGCTTGAGCCAAATTGATGACAGAAAGACAATTGGTTTGAGATAGATTGGTTTTCAAGTAATGAAAGCAAAAGTTAGTCAAGCCAACCATTTGTAACAGGTTGGATGCTTGTAGGATTTGTTGAAGGTATTCCATTTTCAAATTTCCTACTCCTTTATACATGAATTCTATACATTGGGAAATCCCATTCTGATCGACATCCTTCATATTGATAAAACCATCACGAGATTCCTTCATTTTGCTCGTAAACATCGCTTTAAAGTATCCTGATGAGGCTGCCAAGACACAGCGATGAGCACGGAAGGATTTGTCACCAACCTTGACATCAAAATCGCAGAGAATGTTTTGTTCTCTCAAGCTATCGAGTGATGTCATAAGCAAACCGCCTTGGGTTGAATTTGTTTGTTTAATGTAATCTTCATTCATGATCAGTCAGCTCAACCTTACTCAGATCAGTAATTAAGTATAACAATCCTAATGCCTGCATAAAGATAATACATTTTGTTAATCACCGTGGACCATCTTCCAAACTAAAACTACATTTTATTATTGAACATAATAGATTATTTTGCTCATGTCAGCATATTATTATACATCTGCAGGTCTGAATTTCTTGGAAAATTATCAAATGAGAATTCTTGCCATCAAAATGATGAGGAAATGTGACTTCTGAGTTGTTTTGATTATTTCCAACTATGGCCATGAACCTGGAATGTTCAATTGCTCAGAAACATCCTGTGGTTGCCGTACTTACTCTCCTATCACATATCAGGATTAGTTTTACTCTTATTCATTCGAAGTATTTGAGTATGAGATAGTGATAGATTCAGTAGATTGGAATAGTCTACCCATGCTATATCATAGTTCCCACCTCAGATAATATATTTCACGTTTTAATGCAGGTCAATTACAATACAAGACTTCTAAACATACAATATAATTAGTGCGGCTGGTGAAAGTGAAATGGTATTTTCTCAAAATCTTCAGTTTCATAGCTAAATAGGACAGATATGTTTTGCAAAACGTGAGCTGTGCTGCATTAAGTGGGGATTCCCATAACTACTTCTCAAAAACAAAATAATGGATTGACAAAAAGTTTATTTCGATTCTATGAATGAACACCGTAGGCTATATTAGTATAAGTTTATTTTGCCTATAATCAGAATAACAATAAAAGGATTGATAAAAATAAATAAAAACTGATTATGAAATCAGAAGAGAAAACAAAACCTTAGATAAGGTTTAAATCGTATAAAATATAAGATGAAAGATTTTGCCAAGAAGTGTTACCGGTACGTGTTCACTCACCTAAAATTATTTTACGCACGTACGGTACCGGTACCGGTACCCACCGACACCACCACACACAACCACAGAGAAATTAACAATCATAGTGACCGGTACCCGGACCGTACTCTGCTGATACACCGCATTAACTTATATTCAGTTGCATAGACTGATAAAGGATATTTCCACTGAACCGCATTCGCCCAACATATTGGTTGAATTACAATATAATTGCATTCATTACTCAGTTTCTAATGCAGCATAGTGCAGTTGTGCAAAATCTTAACATTTGCAACAACTCTGACCTTTCACCTCCACTGTTCGTGTAAGTTGCCAAGCCGAGAGGCTTTAAACTGACAATGAAAACGCTGATTTCAACTGATACTCATCTAATGAGCACGGTTGGAAAGTTGTTTTGATAAAAATAAGTGAAAAAATGAGTAAAAAAATGATGCACCCTGATATTACGTAACAATTCGAATAAAACGTCATTGCTTGTCTGTTTTGAATTAGATCTGGCAACCTTACTTTTAACCAAAAATTGTCCATATTTAGGACGTCATAAAAAAAGAATTGTTATGGGATTAATCATTATGATATAATAATCTCACCCAGAAGTATTTGCTAATCTATGCGAGCATGCCAGCATTGACCTGCTTTGAAGCAAAGATCAAGCATTTTCTGTGTGGGAGTCAGTTCAGTATAAAGTATTGGATATGGATGTGGTGTTGCGCTCGTTCTGTGGAATATTCAAATGGCAAAGTATCGCGGTCTCGAATTACTATGCACTGGACTATTTATTTTCTACAGGCCTACTAAAAGTCAGGAACGCTGGAGCACAAGTCAGTGTAAGGTAAAATTTTTCGCTATTCATTTTGCGGGGTTGTTGAACCGGATAAGACTTGGGCAGTGTCCAATAAACCGTTCACGCGATTATTTTTCATACACCTCAACATACAGACGGACGCAGGGCTTTTCGCGTTCAGCCTTAGAGATAGATGAAGATTCAATTTCACAAACAATACCAAACACAATATTGAAAATTTTGGTAGAAAAAAAGTACCCAATTTTAAAATTATTTTGATTAGGTGCGAATGCAGGGCCATCAAAGATCATCGAGGCCCCTGATCATTATATTTACACCGTAAACAAACTGCCAGATTGGTTGGGACAATATAAGTATAAAAAACAGAAAATTGTCCTCAGGTAATTTTGCTCCATGACACTTTATAGCAGGTTTATTGTAGAGTTTAGAGAACATATGTGTGAATATATATTATACTACATTGTGATCTAATACAATACTAATCAGTGATCCCCATAATACAGTGATTTTCAACCTATTTTTCTAAATTACCCTTTTTTCGATTTGGAAAGAGTTTTGATTCCCCACATACTAAAGCATCAAAACGAATTTAGTAAAACTTTATTCAATTGCGACCGGTTAGAAACCCCCTGCCGTAATAGAAACGGGCTCAGTTTAGAAAAAATATAAAGTATATGCTTTTATAAGGCATTTCTTCTTAATGGATCTCACTAAAATCCGCATGTCAATCTCCGAGTCCAAGTTTGATAAAAGTATAGTTGTGGAGCCCGAGTGGAGTCCATCATATTGAAATCGCAAACTCGGAAACTTGAGAATCGAAACCAATCAAAACATTTGGTGCTCGCGTGGTATGTGCACCAAGATGACGCACAACCTGAACATAGTACGTGTACCAGGTAGGGGTTCAGGTTGTGCGCCGTCTTGTTGCACATACAACGGAAGCGCCAAAAATTTTACCTGCGTATAAAGGAAAATTCAGCAACAAAATATAACTAGCGCTTAAAATCTAATGGCTGTTAAATTCAAGAAGCAATAATGAGGCTATACCGAAAGCGCAATACTCGGAAACGATTTATCATGCAAGTGAGCAAATGTACGATGGTGATAAGCGAAATGTGTTTGAGCGCACGTATCATAGAATAAGTCATTATTCAAAACAAAGTGAAAATTTATTCACCTCAATGTAGGACAAATGCAAAACGATTGTAACAATACGTAACTATGGAATTTACCTCGGTATGCGAATTTTACAATTTAGAATCGAATTTATTCGAATCACTACAACTTTCAATTTTTTGTAAATACAGCGTGATTTTTTAACGATTGTAGAAATACGTAACTATGAAATTTACGTCGATATGCGAGTCGAATCAATTCGAATTAAACACAAGTTCGAATTTTCGTAATGAAAGAAAGAATATTCACTGTAAAACGCGAGACAATTGCATGATTCGACAGACGTAACACAATATCGAACAGCGCTTTTCAACCGTATATTGTTCGAAAATAACCAAATGCCTATTAGGTTCGCCACTATTATTTAACCTGCTCTACTTTGAGAATCATTTTGTTTTGCCGGTGTTAGGTTTGCTTTCGTATATATTCATAGTTTATACAATTCAGCCAATGAAACTATTGTAAAGGGGTCCCTCGAGCCTCTGGAATTTTCATTGGGGTTCCGCTCCGACAAAAAGGTTGAAAGCTACTGATAGCCTTGCTTGTTGTCCATCGTGCCAAACGTTAGGCAAAAGATTTCAAACGCATAACGAGGGATTGAGGCTTCAAATCCAGTGACGATGACTATATGCGAGAGCATGCTCGGTGGCTTATGGGAAAACAATTAATGCAGGGGTGTGTAACCTTTTTGTCTATTGACGGTCGCAATACGGTTTTGAAAGAAAAACTACTGCCGATCGAAGTTTTTTTATGAGGTATATTCAATCAAAAAATTGGTTTTCATTGGCATCTCATTGACTTGCGTCTAAAGCATTTAGGAAGCGATAAAATTTAAACAAATGTGCTGAATGAAAATTACTTGGAGTGGTCGAATTGAATAATTCCAACGAATGAAATATGTTCGACTATTTTCATCCACATTCGCTAGTGAGGCCTAGGCACAGAGGGTCCGAAAAAAATGTTAACAGCGCGACCTATTTTTTCCTAAAATGATTATTTCTTTGGCAGCATTCAAATGCGATATCTTTCCGTTGATTTCCCCCGTAAAACGAGTATTACTAATTTTTGCGCCGTGGTGGACATATAAGTTTAATTTATTTCCCGCAGAACTGTACATTAAGCGATTAGTCAGACGAACGCAAATGTCTCCTAAGCAACCATCGCCACCGCCAATAACTAATGAAATTATGGCTGAATCACTGGTCATTACGACCGCAGGTCGTGCACCCCCAAGTTGATGTAACCGCTGCTCAGTTACGGTACGGCTTTCGCGCACAGTCAAGTTTATACACCAAGACAGATTGCTTTTATAACCGATATATATTGTTAATTAATACAAATCATTTGCTATAGCTCATCTTGTGTAGTATCATTCGGAATGGTGTGCTGAAACTAATTAGACCCAATTTAACAGTATTTTCATCATGAAAGAAAGGCCTAGCGACCATGACCATGATGTTCAAGCTTCTTATATTTTTCTTTGCAAAAGACTTGCGGCAAGCCTGTGGAACACAGTCACGCAGATTGTCAAAGAAAAAAAAAAACTTTATTTTATTCCTACGATCAAAACCAGGTTACAATTATGTGCTCAAAAGTCACATAGATTGTCAAATAATATAAACTTCATTTATTTCTACGACTAAAACCATGCTACTTCTATAAATGCAAGAGCAATGATACTAATACTAATATAATACCAAAAAATATCAAAATACGGCCATCAACTACAAAATGGAAAATTTATTCAATGGACGATTAAATTTCTGTCACATCATGCAAAACATTTTAAAAGTTATACAACCATCAATAAATTGCAGACGAGAATATCGGGCAGAGACCGAAGACTTATCGATCGAAAGTTAGGGGATCCCCCAAAACAGCGCTCTTACTCCATAGTGACACCTTGTGTCCCATCACTAATTAATTAATAACTCGCTAACTATACGACATAATTCATCCAAAATCAATAGGCTTCTGGTACGACATATGATGAATGCACATGCAAAATCTGCAGCAGATTCAATCTCGCTTTCGTGAGATATCGTGTGCATCTAACAGACAAATATCTATCAACATACTTACCGATTAAAATCGATAAGTAATAAGGATCTATTAGTGTTACTTTGATGTGCAATATCAGCATTTGTATCCCAACCTAAAACATACCATCCAATCCCATTCACCTACGAGCTTATTTGCCTATGGGCTGTGTATTTATGATATTTTCAAGGTTACCAGAGTTACAACTGTCGCGTTGCATACCAAAGCATTGCCTTATTATTCAGGGAGGCATCCCTTATTTTATTCCAAATGCAAAAAAAGGGTTATACTTCTGGATTATGTAAAAGATGGTTGATTACTGGTAAGTGCGAGTTGACCACTGGACCCTTGGATGGTTTGCTGGGTGACTATTTTAATAGTCAAATATTCTGGTAACATGCCATAGTCTGCCATAATTGAACGAAGCTATCCCATGAGGTTTCATGATGGATAAATATTAATAACAGTAATATGAATATTGTATCCGAATGTCAGTTTGCTCATAGCTGGCTCAATAACAATATTGTATGGGCCATAACATAAATGAAAAAACATCACTATGAACAATATTAGGTATAATTACTATGCAATGAGAGAAAAATAATAAAATACTGAATATTTATAAAATTGGATACACTGGTAATAACTTGAATCACATAACATACATTATATATAAACTTTGGATAGAAAATGCATTGATGTATCACAGTCAGGTAGGTATCAATATGGAATGTTCTACAGCAAGAAAATATTATATTAAAAACAGACACTGGTATAAATAAGGGAGAAAGTAAGAGCTAGAAAACATACACAGTGGGTGGTAAATACCCTGATATAATATCACAGTGCTTTGTAAGCATTGGCCAAATAAATGAAGACAAAGGTAAAAAACATTTAAATTAAGGTTAAAGCATATGGTTCAAAAATGGTATTGAAGAAACTAATGGGGGCTAATATGGTGGGATCCTCTGGTTGATTACAGCTTTCTCCGCCAAGTAAGTTCATGATACATCTGAATATAGATCAGATTTTGACATTTCATTTTTATGATAACCTGGCTAATAGCGGAGTGCTTAACTAGCCTTCTCTGCCAGGATAAATACAAAACCTATTTTTTACAGTTAAATAGGCATATTATGCCCATGCATCATACCAATTAAGGTTTCTCTCTAATATAGCTGCTTAGTTGGAGTAAAACTTGTGAGAATTATTCAAAAACTTGACTCAAAGCAGTAGATTTTTCAATCAACACAAAAATGCTCTTCTCCATTTGTAAAGTCTCAAAACAACTTTTCTCAGAATGATAACGACCAACATAATTGATAGTAATTGAGATGGAACTGATTAACAGTGGAAGAATGAATACCAGTATATAAAAATGGGTCAAATATGCAAACAAAGTATATTTTGACTCCAAATCAGCATAACAACAATAGCTGAGTCTGGAAATCAATCTACAAATAGTATAAGCAAAAGCATGAGTCTAATAAATTTAGCGAAATTATTGTGGATAATTGAAAAATATGAAAGGCACGTGTTTCATTCCCCACAAACGAAAGAATAATAAGAAAATGAAAAACACAAATGAGCACATGTTTGCTCACCTTTAAAAGAATGAATACTAAAAAATAAATTGTTGGTTTTGAAAATTCTGACCAATTAGCGTAATAGAAAAATATTGACAAATACAATTCTTGATCATTCTCAAACTAACAGAATAAAGTTTGATTTAAACAGGCAAGGACGTGTCTGACTGATATTGCAGTTCATTGGACTTTATAATATTTTGTAAGTGGCCTGATAAAATGCTTGATTTTGACACTATAAAATCAATGAAGGGATTCTAATATTAAATTGTCCACGTAGTGTTCAAAGTCGATTGTTGATTATGTACTGTAAGTATTTAAATCCGCAGACTTTCAATTTCTACACAACTTTTACAAGATAGCTATAGGTAGTTCCGGTAGGTTTAGATGGATTTTCCACCCCGTTCAGGCAATTTAGGGTCTGTTCTGGTAATGACAGGAACTTATTTTTTACTACTGTACCCCCAAAGTTTGCTGTTTGAGATATATAAAATGTCCTTTAAAGATATCTGACTGATATTGCAGTTCACCGAACTTTATAATATTTATAAATGGCTTGATAATGACACTACAAAATCAATGAAGGAGTTTTAATATAGTATTGTCCGGATAGTGTTGATCATCTATTGTTAGTATTCAAATCCTGCTGCCTTTAATTTTGTTATCAATGCATGACAAAGTTTATTCTCATGGTCATCACCAGGATATCCATTGCTGAAAAAGATTAGATTGCATGAGAGATAATGGTAGTTGCATATGAGTCTGATTTCAATTAACTGTAAAAAATAAGATGTTCGATAAAAGATCACTGAAAGTCACAAATATTTGACTCCTTAGTACTAAGGCCCGTATTCAGAAACAAGGTCCGAGTACGACTCCAAAAAAGCTTCATTCGAGTACGGCTTAAGTTCGGCTGATTTCGAGTTCTGATTTGGTATTCAAGAACGGTTTTCCAGGCCTACTCGAGTGGTACGAAATTTCAAGTTGGACTCAAAAATACGTTACGGGTCATTGAGTCTTCCGCATAAATTCGCGATCCTCATTGGCTGAGAAAATGATGCGCTCTGGTGGGAAGGGTCGCGAGGTACCGAGAAACGTGGACTCCAAGGGATCGCTGAATGGCGCAGCCGTTCGTTGTACAGATGTAGTACCGTATTGTATTACGGCGCTGGTTACGTTTACTGTTAATCGTAAAATATCATCTCACTAATAATTGCAGTATATAGTAGGTCCTACGGTACGGTACCAGTATGGCTCGATTAACGTACGAATTGGGTTCACTTGGCGATTTCAAAGTTATGCTTGCTTTCAGACCAGACTGGATTATTTTGACTGTTTATTTTTACAGGATTATTTTAATGTGTGTAGCAATGTCTGATTCTATTGAAAAACAGACTGTACCACGGATTGTATTCACAGATAATGAAAAAATTAATCTTGTCAATTTGGTTGAACCCCAAATCAGAATAATTGAAAGCAAGAAAAACGATATTAATGCAACTTGTAACAAAAGTAATGCATGGGCCGGAATAACAGATCATTTCAATGCTCTACCAGATGTGAAAAAGTACACTGCCAAGCAATTGAAGAAATGCTGGATGAATATGAAGTCACGGTTTGTGTTCCATATGTTTATGGTGCTAAGAAAAGTAACTCAACATAGCTGGTCTAAAATGCTGCATAGCACGATTGTAAAAACAGTTTTATATAGAGAGTAAATGATTGTTTGGAAATATATATATTCTTATTTCAATATTATCTCTTTATCATCCTTCTCTTTTAGTAAGTCAATTATTTTGAAACGCATGGGTTCTAGGCTGCTTATCATAACATAAGAAAGTGTACTGATTCATTGCTTGTAATTTGATATGCTGTCGCAAAGAGTACCTAATGATAGATAATTTGTACTTCTTAAGCTCTTGTATTTTTATGTTGTTGGAAGTGAGAAGATAAGTTTTAATAAACTCACGAAGCGTTCCTAACTTGAGATAAATAATAAGAGAAGGATCTGTTATCTTGAACCTTAAATATTTTGCCAAATAGGAAAACAACCAAAATTCCAAGAATGAATGCACAGATAATTTGCGTCTCTTTGGGCAAACGCCGTAACTGCTTAGATACTCCCAAACACAAATATGGTGTGAAAATGAATGCTGTAACTGCTTAAATAACGCCAAACAAAAATGTGGTATGAAAATACAACCCAAATTTCATATTTTTCTGAAAATAAAAGTCAGTCTTGCACGAACACAATACGCTAAACGCTTGGCACAAATGGAAGCCAAGGTGGACAACCTGGCGCATGAGGGGCAGATAAGTCGTCAACATTTTTAGACAATACGGATATAATTTATATCATTTACACTAATATTTCACATCACATTTTTGTTAGGCTTTATTTAAGCAATAACGGCGTTCATTTCACATCACAATTTCATTAGGCGTTATTTAAGCAGTTACGGCGTTTACCTCACTAGACCCGATAATATTATTCATGATATCCTTATGCAAACTTTTGTTTTTTCATTTCTAACTCACATTCTGAAAGCTAATCTAAATATCTTATATCTTTTCAAAAGGGCAAAGGTTGCTGTGCTTAAAGAGAAGAAGAGTCTACGATCTACAGGAGGGGGACCATCTAAGAATATAGCAGATGAATTATCCCACAGAATTTATGGTATGATTCCGGAGCAATTCGACCCACTGTACAATGACGTTGACAGTGACACAAACATGTTTTCTGTTGAAGATTTCACCATGCCTGGTATGTTGCAGGGCAGATTTATCACTCTACATCTGCACTGATTTTGACACTCTAATGCTTGATATTATGCAGAATTGAACTGGCCATGTTCTTTTATTACTTTGACTAGAAGAATTTTTAGCTTATTTCCTGAACCGTTGGTTTGATTTTAATCGTGTCTGGAAATTTCGCCACAGGAAATTTGGTCCCATAGAAAAAATAGCATTTTGCCGTAAAACAAGTATTTGTGATTAAAAAACAGATTGATAGGGTTATGGTATATTCTTTTTTCATCCAGCGATTTTTCTTATAGGGCAAAATTTCCTCGGCGGATTTTCCCAGAATGGTTATTAACCATAGCTCATTTTTGTGTTGCTTTTTTCACATAAACTTTTCTGTGACATTTTAGAAATTGATGGAAACACGCTGCCAACAGTGATTCAGATTGAGTGTAGAGAATTTCCAGAAATAGAAAATATGTTAGACAACAGTACAAGCAAAGACAACAGCATAAGCAGCGCTGATGATTCAGAAAGCATTCAAACATTGATGTCTCTTCAGAGCCCAGCGGTAAATATACGTAGCCAAAAACAGAAACCAAAAACCTATTCGGGCAGAAAGCGTTCGAGTATTGATCTGGAAAGCTTTTTATTAGAGAGCCAGAAGATACAACATGATTTGAAAGTTAGAAAGCTAGAGCTGCAGATACGTTATTTAAAAGAGGAACATTCGGCAAAGATGGCAGCTTACCGTTCTGAAATCTCTGAAAAGTAGTGCTTTAATAGGACAGGAGCTAGGTGATTTTTGTGTTCCCTACGTAGCATCTAGAACAGGGGTTCCCAAACCGTGGCCTGGGGGAGAGTTACGGCCCGCATAATAGTTTAACAGTTAAAACTTTAATCGTAAATAGATACTAATATGTTTAACACTTATGTTTTTACCTTCTTGCGACACTGAAAAAAGACACTGGCAGTGTTCTCATTTCTTTAAAAATATCACTTATGCGATTTGTCTAGGCGTATCTAAAATTAAACTTACAGCCTATTTTTTAAATTTTTCTCAGGGCGCTTAAGTGCGCCCTTAACCCCGGCCGTGCTTTCGCTTCCTTTTTGCTATTTCTGGTCCGCAACTATCCTTATAATTGCGGCCCATGGTCAATTAACTTTGGGAACCCCTGATCTCATACATTATTCTGATTTTTGTCTTCTCAGTGTAGCATCTAAAATTCTAAAACATTATTGCATTGTAAAATTGGACATTTATTTGAATTCAATGTTGACTGTTTACATATGTTTGCGTTTAGAAATCACATGAATAAGCCTAAATTTTTGTTTTTTTTGGTATTTGGACCTTCAACCGTTCCATAATTTCAGTATTCAACGGGTAAAATGGCTCTGCACAATCTGCCTCCTTTTATCTAAGCCAGCGACATTGTTGCCTTGAGCTTGAGGTCCTACCATAATTGTTGAAATATTGTTATCCTGTATCTCTGCATAATAGTCGTCAGTGATGATTCTAAATAAATGATTTCGTTTTGAAATATGTTGTCTGAGTTATTTACTAATGTATTGCATTCACTTTTACCTTTGTTGCCTTGCAAAGTTGTACAGCACAGCAGTCGCAATAATGATTGTCATTGTGGTATCAATCTTGGTGCGTAGTCCAAAAGAAAGGCAAGGAAAGACCCTTTTCCAAACACCAAAAGTGCGTTCTATAGTGATCCTAGATTTTATCAGTGATTTATTGAATCTTTGCTCAGCAACACATCGTGGTGTCAGAAACGGCGTCATAACGTAAGGCTTACATCCGTAACCGTTGTCCGCCACCAGCATATTTGTATATGTGCTGTTTTCAAACTTTTCCCGCAAAGAGCTGTTGTCAAAAATTCTAGCATCGTGAACTGAACCTCTCCAGCGCGCGACAACATCCGTGAGTAGCATGTCCGCGTCACACACCGCTTGAACGTTAATGGAGAAATAACCCTTACGGTTTCTGAACAGTTCAGCGTGCTGACCTCCAGGAGACTGAATTTTTATATGAGTGCAGTCCAGCGCGCCAACTACGCCTGGAAATCCAGATTTCTGATAGAACTTGATCGCCTGCGTTCGAACATCTTGTGGGTTGGTGGGAAATTTTATGAAGTCATCATGTTTTATTGCAATGATTCTGCTAACCTCCTTCACCAGTCTACTAACAGTTGGCTGGGAAACTCCTTCAAGGTCTCCCGATACAACCTGAAAGCACCCAGTTGCGTAAAAACGGAGCACGACGGTGAATTTGAATAGTGGCGGTAGCGGCGAACCCCTATTGTTGACTTTCGCTAGATCTTCGTGTAAAAAAGCCATGAAGTTTACTACGCCGTCTTTTGTGAGTCTGTAACGATCAACAAACTGTACATCGGTCAAAATCTCAAGTGGATTTTGTTGATCTTTCAAGTATCTACGAGGTCCGGTATGCCGTCTGATAATTTCCGCAACTTCTGCGACATATAACACATCCATTTTCAATGCTATCTGCCTGGCCACAACTCACCGAACACTACAATGCGATTTGGCCATACCCAAGTACGATGTCGAAGCAGCCCTTGACCAGACTCGAGGTTCCAACTCGAAATGGCAAAATTCGTATCTTAATTTCCTACTTCGTGCGTATTTGAATACCAAGCCAACTCCAGGTCGTACTTGAAGCCCCTCAAGCTGAACTTGAGCTCTTCTCGAACTCGAAACTCGAGTTTGGTCTCTGAATACCCATTTTACACCGAAGTCCAACTCACGTCCAAGTCAAGTCCGACTGGGTGCTCAAGTTCCTTTTCAGAATACGGCCCTAAGAAACGCTTAACTCAGCGATGCCCGTGTGAGTGAGATTTGAATGTAAGGTTTAGATGTGTAAAGAGAATGTCAAGTCAACTTTACTCGTAGGTAGAGATGAATGTCTCTCTCAACAGGTAATTTTTTCAGGTATTTGATTTCATTGATACTGTACTAAAATATGAAACATCAAAATCACTAACTAAGCCCAACACCTTATCCATGGTGCAAGGGAAGGCTTCGTCGAACATTGATCATTTTAGAGTTTTGAAACCGAGTAATGCCCCAAAGTCTTATTGTCTGCTTGAACAGAGCACTGATCAAACCGAAGTTGTAAAAACACCAAATAAAATATATATTCATGATGCGCGATGGCATAATGGTTGAGGCGTTAAACTTAATTGGGTTGGCATCGCAAAATGCCCATCTTTGGTTCAAATCCAATGGCCATCACCCTACCCAAAACATTGAGAGGCAATGCCGAACCAAAAAAGAAACTACCGGTAGTTCTGCCAAATATTAGTAGCTCCTTGAATATTGTCACATATCAGTGGAAGCTTAAACAGGGCTTTGTTCACAGCAAAATGTGTGGATAAGCGTCGTATATATAAAAACTCAAAAGATCTCGTTTATAATAGAATTTTAAGAATTAGCAGTGTAAGTGAAACTATAATTTATATGTTGGATGCCCAATGAAACATTGACAACAGAGAAGCAGAAAATTTAGTCGTTACTGGAATACGGATCAAATAGTTACAAAATTGGGCAATCATAATTTCAATGACCTATGTGGCAATAGAGAAACCTAGTAAACAACAGCTGGTCGTTAAACCTGGTTACAGTCACGTTGCAGACAATTCAAGCCTGAATACCATAATGGTTGATTCTGATTGTCACTAAGTAATTACCCTCAGTCACATACACCCTAACATTTTGCAACAGCATGACAAATCATGGTCAATATTTATCAGGAATAGAAAGAACGCTTCCTGGCCATTCCTCACCCATCCACTGAAATTTGATGGATGCGATGGTTTCTTATATATAGTCTTGTTCAAAGTGAACGGTGTATAAAAGATGTGTATTAACAAATTTAAATGTTGCTTGAAATTAAGAGAGGAAAGTTGAGAACGTTGTACTCGATTTTACCTAGAACGAGGCAAGGAGGCAAAAGCGCTTTGTTAGTTCGCGCACATGTCTAAAATCTACAAGTAGGCTACGTGTTTTGTCCACACCGCCTCCACATAACAGTGAACAGTTTCGTATTGCAATATTACGTATTTAGACGTTTCATACAGAATTTTGAATTGCTCCGAGCAGTCTAACACAAAACCACAAGTCCTAGCATAATAAAGGCACTTAAAATATGTGATTCCGTACATCAGGGGTCGGCAACTGACGGTCCTACGAATCCGGCCCGCGGAGCACTATAATCCAGCCCGCGACGCTTAACTAAATTATAGTAACAAACCATCCATTTTGACGAATATATATTTTTTAGACTAAATTTTATTATAACCTAACAATTATATAATTCACAATTACTTGTTTAATGAGCAAATGGCAACAAAAATAAAATACGATTTTCACCCCGTTTTTTTTCACAAGCACCAATACTTACGTAAAGGCGAACGTCTGAGTTTGGTTTTATATTGCTGGGAGACATATGCTTTCATATCGGCGACATATGTTAAAGACGACTATCAAGGCTTGAATTCCAGTTTTTATTCCGATTTTTATCTTTTGCGCAGGCTCTGATCTTTCTTGTCATCGTTTGCAAATTGAAAAATGTCCCAATTTTAAGTAAACAATGTTATTATTCCTGACACCAGGATGTGGATATTTATGAAGACGATGGTTGAACTTCTTATGATTTTACTATTCTATTGTGCCTGTTTATTTTTGTATTGAATAATAAATAAAAGCCCTGCAAAGTCTTTGCGTGAATCCTGAATGTTATTTTGAATTAAATGATGATTTAATAACTCGGCAATAATGGTAATTCTACTGGTCAAATAATGATTCCTTGGAAAAATTTCGCACAATAATTTGTTACCTTGTTTGACATTTTAATTTTACGAAACGGCATTGGTGCGCTTTATGCAAAACTGAGAATCAAAAAAAAAAACCATTTATGACTCCTCAAGTTTGTCGTTTCTGTTTCTCAGCAAAAGCTGTGAGGTAATTTTCACTAAATTCATGGTAGTAGGTACTCGATATATGAGTAGTGAAATGGCATTCTAATACGCAAGATAATGTCACCGAAAGGTTATTGTTACGTAACGATACACGGCATGGTGTTTTTTTGCTAGCGATCCAAGTTCGCACCCCCAAAATTATGGAAAGTGTCCGCCCCTGGATCTGAGAGATTGTTATACTGTGGTTTTCATACGATTCCATGTGTTATCAAATCTTCTGAGGTTTCCCGTTTTCCGGCGCATTGCCGGACACGTTCATATATTTTTTAGGCTAATGTTCACCGTCAACGTCTACTTACAGTCGATATACAGGTACAGGTACGTTTCCAGTTGTGGGGTCGCAAGTATCTGTAGGCTTTGATTTTATGAAAATTGGGGTCGCGAAAATAAAAGTTTGGAAACTACTGATCTACGTTATGAAACACAAATGCAAGAGATTGTACCTGATGTGTCATTTCTGTATCCACCCACTGCTCCAACATGTAGTTCTTGGACATTCCTAGACTTGTGGCTACTTAATGCAGCATTTGCAAAGAAAGTTTCTGTATTTTCATCTCTAGTACTTGTAGCTCCAACTGTTGAATACTGGGCTTGTTACGTTTCTGTTTCTAGTTTTTTCTGCATGCTGAGGGGAAAGATCCATTGAAGACGACTTCTTCCTTGCTCAAAAAAATATTTCATCCACAAGAATATCGTAACATTCGCGAGAATCTCTGACCAAAGTCTCTGAGCGGACCGTTTGTTCTAAGAATTGAACAGGAAATTTTTGGAGATCAAGGAGGCCAAACAAAGCTTGAAAATTTTTTTTCCTCTTTTGAATATCGTGCTTTATCCATCTAAGAGCTCTGTGCCATTTGACAGTCTCGGAAGAATATTTTGTATTTGGGGATATGTAAATCCGTATGATGTCATCCTTGCTGATATCACAGAACTCTTTTTTCTCAATGATTTGTTCGAAATTTGCTTCCAGGAATCGATTCATCACATTTGTCACAGTATTTGGGTTGGTAACTTGATGAGTTTCAGCCAGATTCTTCAGGATGAAGCAGTTGTCAATCTCAAGATTTGTCTCAAGATTCTTGACATCAGAGAATAATGCAGTGATGACTGAATTCCTTGCAATGTCATTACTCTTCACCAGTGGTTCTTCCAACACAGTCTCCAGAAGAAATTTGGAAGCATAAGTCTGGATATTGATGACTGTAACAAGATCGGCAAAACATCTCTCTGCATCTTCATCTTTTGCCCATGTTATCATAGCTTGCCATGATGTTTGATAACTCACATTTGAAACTTTTATGTAACGCAGGAGATCTGGCTTGATAATGAACGGGAACATCTCAGAGTAAATTACTGATTTGAAATTAGTGATAAGCACCTGTTCTGCTTGTTCTTTTATATCATGACGATCGTACGATTGAGCCAAGTTGATGACAGAAAGACACTTGGTTGAAGAAAGATTGGTTTTCAAGTAATGGAAGCAAAAGTTTGTCAAACTAACCATTTGTAACAGGTTGGATGCTTGCAGAATTTGTTGAACAAACTCCATTTTCAAATTTCCTACTCCTTTATACATGAACTCTATACATTGGGAAATTCCATTCTGATCGACATCCTTCATATCAATAAACCCATCACGAGATTCCTTCATTTTGCTCGTAAACATCGCTTTAAAGTATCCTGATGAGGCTGCCAAGACACAGCGATGAACACGGAAGGATTTGTCACCGACTTTGACATCGAAATCGCAGAGAATGTTTTGTTCTCTCAAGCTATCGAGTGATGTCATAAGCAAACCGGCTTGGGTTGAATTTGTTTGTTTAATGTAATCTTCATTCATGATCAGTCAGCTCAACCTTACTCAGATCAGTAATTAAGTATAACAATCCTAACACCTGCATAAAAACAATACATTTTGTTAACGACTGTGGTTAATCTTCCAAATGAAAACTACATTTTATTATTGAACATAATAGATGATTTTGTTCATGTCAGCATATTATTATACATCTGCAGGTCTGAATTTCTTGGAAAATTATCAAATGACAATTCTTGCCATCAAAATGATGAAGAAATGTGACTTCTGAGTTGTTTTGATTATTTCCAACTATGGCCATGAACCTGGAATGTTCAATTGCTCAGAAACATCCTGTGGTTGCCGTACTTACTCTCCTATCACATATCAGGATTAGTTTCACTCTTATTCATTCGAAGTATTTGAGTATGAGATAGTGATAGATTCAGTAGATTGGAATAGTCTACCCATGCTATATCATAGTTCCAACCTCAGATAATATATTTCACCTTTTAATGCAGGTCAATTGCAATACAAGACTTCTAAACATACAATATAATTATTGCGGCCGGTGAAAGTGAAATGGCATTTTTTCGAAATCTTCAGTTTCATAGCTAAATAGAACAGATATGTTTTGCAAAAGGTGAGCTGTGCTGCATTAAGTGGGGATTCCCATAACTACTCCTCAAAAACAAAATAATGGATTGACAAAAAGTTTCTTTGCTAATATCTGAATATAGTACCGTAATAGTAAATAGATTAGTGAGTCTGTAAGTTCATTCTGTCATTGAAAGTCAACAAAATTTAAATTTGGCTCGACTATTATAAGTTTATTTCGATTCTATGAATGAACACCGTAGGCTATATTAGTATAAGTTTATTTTGCCTATAATCAGAATGGGTGGAGGCTAACTCGCCATGAGGGCTAACTCGCCATGGACCACTCGCCATGCGACGGCGGTTAACGGGTTAGATAGATAGATAGATAGATAGTTTATTTCGAAAACTCCATAACAAACCTAAATTTAAAATGGAGAATTCTGGAGGGCAAGCAAAACCTACAAAAAAGTTTAAAACATGAAGTATCTCATGTGCCTGCCCACCAGCACGCACACAAAAACACAAGCCCAATTAAATGAGGCTTGGGCCAAACTTAAAAAACAAAATACACGATAGTAATAAACTTTCGGGCTGTTGTACTCTCTTTCAACAATTACGTTGATAATGACCAATACCTACAACCTCATGCAAAGATAATGTGGGGAGTGGAATGTAATAAATTTGCGACGATAGTCATACTCATGAAGCCATGAAAGCTTTAAGAAAAACCAAGCCATGAAAAACTACACTGATTGCTAGATTGGGCATTGCGGAAAAGGTGATAAGTGGTTTAATATACAAACAAACGCAAAACCATGGCGGCAAATTCGGTGTGCGGACACTCATAAAAGCAATTATTAGGAAAAACACTAATCACACGTGAGCAGGTCTGTAGCCTAATTGATACATTGACGTGGCCAACATTGTTAAAACAGTACCGGTATACACACAGAGAGAACAAATCAAAAATATGCCACTAAATGAATGTTTAAAAATGTTACACTGTAAGTTACACTGCAAACTATTTACACATATATAGTTGAATACTCAGTATTCAAGCGGAATTTCTAGAAATAGCAGTATATCATACTCTTTGTCACAAAATAAAATATCTGAATCAATCCCTGTTGTATTCATCTTTCGATTCTGTTATGATGTCCGTATGTTGCCTTTATGCTGCCATGTAATTTCATATTTCAGCCTTTACTTGTTAAGTGCTGGTTCATTGTTGTCAATCTAATCTTTCTGCGCCGTTCAAAAATGCGACCGCACCCGACGACTGCCAAACACAAACTCTAAATCCAATCTTTTATCCATAAACCGGTGGATGGGCCTTGATCATGTTGATATCACGAGATACAAATCTAATAGTAAATTATCCTAGCTTAAAACTGTGAATTTCCCAACTCGCTTAATACAACCAAATACTCCAATCAGCCTGCAACTGTGTGGAGGCTCTTCTTGTAATGGGAGATGGAAAGGTGGCTGTTTATACTAACAACTTCAATAGTAAGGATAAATATATTAAATTAAATGTGTTTGGTTACAATACCTACTGTGCAAATGGTAACAAAGTGACAAGAAAACGTGCTTATATGTCGGAAGGCATACCGGTACCGTACGGTACTCGACGCGCAAAGGATGTCTCAACTTATCATTTTCATCTAAGTATGCTAAATATATCATCATATTAATTGATTGTATGAGCTCTGAATCAACAACAACACTAAATATATCAAAAGTTCTATTTTGCTACCGGCAGTCTCATTTTATAATAATATAAATTATACCATATAAATATGCCAAGTTATCGGCTTCCCCTCGCGGGATAAACATGAATTCAACCTCAACTCAGGCAGTGTCTGTATTCCGCAGTATAAGATTTCGCTGACGTTGCCATGGTTACTCACAAGACGGTGCTCGGAGTCGTTATCCGTTTCACCTTGGATCGGGTGTCTTTTGGGTATGCACGTCGCCTCGACTTACTTTAACGTAAACCTGTTCTAATATTTATTGTTTGTTTGATTTATATATTACTGTTATTTATCTATTACTGTTAGACTTGTCATGGGTGTCGCTGCTCGATCACCAGTCTTGGTGTCTCGCGCCTCCCTTCACCCTAAAGTACCATATTTCCTATTTCTTGTATTGTGTATTCACATTGTGTGCTTTAGAATGGTGAAAAAATAAATTACTGATTACTGATTACTGATATTCTAACAGCCGTTGATTGCGAGCAGAGAGGGAGAGAGAGAGCTAACTCGCCATGTCCATTTTCTTTATAATTGACGATCGACATCGCGAGTTCGAGAGAGAGAGAGAGGGCTAACTCGCCATGTCTTTATTCTTTATAATTGACGATCGACATCGCGAGTTCGAGAGAGAGAGAGGGCTAACTCGCCATGTCTTTATTCTTTATAATTGACCATCGACATCGCCATTTCGAGAGAGTGAGAGGGCTAACTCGCCATGTCTTTATTCTTTATAATTGACGATCGACATCGCGAGTTCGAGAGAGAGAGAGGGCTAACTCGCCATGTCTTTATTCTTTATAATTGACCATCGACATCGCGAGTTCGAGAGAGAGAGAGGGCTAACTCGCCATGTCTTTATTCTTTATAATTGACGATCGACATCGCGAGTTCGAGAGAGAGAGAGGGCTAACTCGCCATGTCTTTATTCTTTATAATTGACCATCGACATCGCGAGTTCGAGAGAGAGAGAGGGCTAACTCGCCATGTCTTTATTCTTTATAATTATTCTTTATATTCTCGCTTTTCTCTTCGGATATTGGACCAATTGCTTTGACATTTTCAGTGGAAGATAGAATTTTTCTTTAAAAGGCTTTTTTTTCGCTATGACGTCATCAAAATTAAGTGACTCTACGTGTCCATATAGCTCTCTTGTTTTTCAATCGTAGTACAAATCTTTTTCTAATATCCCTTATCTTACGTTCGTATTAATGAGATAAAACGCAGATAATATAGGTGTGAGTTCGGAGATAAAGGTTAAAAGATAACAGCGACCCTGTTTCATCTACTTATCTACGAACTAGTTATCTTCGACATATCTACGATTTTACGCCAGCCCAGATAGTATTATCACTGAGCTTAACTGAGATTCTACGAATTTCTATTACGACTTCGATTGTCTACGATTTTCAAACTCAAAGCAACGATGAATGCAACTAATGTCTGCAACGAATGCATGTCTACAGTCACCAACAAACAAGAAGGCTTGATCTGCGACATTTGTGTTCGGTGGTTTCACCGAAAATGTTTCAATGGAACTACAGTAGGAATGTCCAGGCCGCAATACAGATTACTGAAAAGTCGAGACGTCACTTTTGACTGGAAATGCCTAGACAGCTACACAAAGGTAAGTATAGAAGATATAGTATATATCTATTTTCTATACAGGTATAAAAGTCAAAAAGTTGATTGATCTTGTGATGATCTTGTTTCTTTGCAGGCCGAAGATCAACAACAACAGCGGAATGATTCCACGATACATCTGGCCCCGCCGACGAACATTCCACGACTCGTTGATTACTCCGACTCTGAATGCTCTGAGATTAGCCCAATACCTATGGTAAATATCCTCTCTCATTACTCATTTAGATCCCTAGTGTTTCGCACCTAGCCTATATGTCTAACTTGTTGCTCTTTTTTACAGACTGAGGAAATTTTTACATTTCCCGTCGGATGTTCAGGGGTGGTGGAGTCATCCATAGAGGCTTCTGTTCCCAGGGACATATCCAGCGAAAATGCCGAGACGACCGTAGTGGAAGTGGAAGGGGACCTGAGTCAAAGAAAACACCCCAAGCTGTATGAGAGGCACGGTTACTCCTATACGGTTCTTCGCACTAATATCAACGGAAGTGGTGAGTTATAGTGAAACTCATATTACTACAACAAACAATTGCAATGTTTTTAATTAATCTTTTCTATCTACAGTTACCTGGCGGTGTTCGGTGCGGAGGAAAGGAAATATATGCCCGGCCAAGGTATACCAAACAGGAGATGATTTTAGTAGAAATGGTTTGGATCATACCCACGAACCTAGACCAAACGAACGGCCCCGCGTCCTTCTCAACAGGGCAGTTTTGAAGCGCGGGTTGGAAAATCCGTACACGGCATGTGGAATCATTACGAAAGCGGCAAGGAGAGACATGACCAACCCGCCTTCTATAAGATTCACTAATGTAAGTATCGTTGTAATTAGTTGTCCAATTTTAGTAGTGATTTTCAGTGTACTTAATTTTCATTTTTTCTACCTTTCCCTTTCAGGAAGGAACATTGAAGAGGTTCTGCAATAGGAAAAGACAGGGAAACAGACCCACAGATCCATCAGATATTAACGATGAGTTGAAAATAGATTATTTACCTACTGATTTCTTATTAAAAGATATCAGAATAGAGGGAGCGCGTCACCTTTTGTTCGCAACCCAAAAGCAATTGAAAATTTTGGCCAATTCAGAAGTTTGGTACATGGACGGTACTTTTGATGTTGTTAGAGACCCGTATTATCAACTCTTTTCAATTCACGCATTCGTTCGAAGTGGTGAATGTACCAAACAACTGCCCCTCGTTTTTGTTTTAATGTCAAGGCGACGTAAGTGTGATTATGAAAATGTTTTCAAGGCTATCAAAACTATACTGCATTTAAATTTTTCAGGTACTCGTGTGAAGAAATTTGTCATGGACTTTGAAGCAGCAACATGGCAAGCACTGTCTCTGGTATGGCCGGATGTGAGAAGACAGGGATGTGCATTCCATTTCACTCAGGCCATCATGAAGAACATGCGACAGAACAAATTAGCAAGTTTGTATAACAAGTGAGTAATTTAGTGCTCATATGCATTTATGTGTTTATATCATTAACGTTGTTGAATATGTAATTTCCATTTTTCAGGGACATCGGGACGAGGGATTTAATGAAGCAAGTCATGGCCCTGTGTTATATTCCAGATATGTTCATCCCGTCGCTGTTCCTATCTCTGCGAGGCAAAATAAGTTGAATAGATTTGCCGAATATTTCGACAGGCCATGGCTGAAGAACTCAGTTCGGAAACCAAAAGACTGGTCAGTATTCGACGTCGACGTTAGGACTAACAACCATTTGGAAGGGTGGCATCGGTACTTCAATAGCATAGCACGGACAAATATGCCTTTTTATAGCCTTATATCCAAGATTCACGAGGTCAGCATTGCGGTGGAATCAGATGTAGCAGAAGTAATGGAGGAAAATATACCAAGAAGGGCTGACGCAAAATACAGCGAGGCAAATGACAAGCTGAAGGAAGTTTGGAGTGTTTTCAAGGACGGAGGATTATCTGCGGAGGCTCTCCTTCGAAGATGTTCAAAAATCTACGGCCCGGCCTTTTGTAAAGAGTAAGTAACCTAGTGTAAGTATTTTTCCCCTTCCTCAGTTTCTTTTCCATGTACAGCTATGATGCCTATCTGTGCTTGGGTTTCTTCTGGTAAAAAGAAATTCTGACTCGAAGGCTGAAACCTTGTCGTGGTGAGTTGGCTTAACACTAATATCAGCCGGCATCAGGGCAATCGACAATTATATAGAAAATAGACATGGCGAGTTAGCCCCCTCTCTCTCTCGAACTCGCGATGTCGATCGTCAATTATAAAGAATAAAGACATGGCGAGTTAGCTCTCTCTCTCCCTCTCTGCTTGCAATCAACGGCTGTTAGAATAAAATGAGACTGCCGGTAGCAAAATAGAACTTTTGATATATTTAGCGTTGTTGTTGATTCAGAGCTCATACAATCAATTAATATGATGATATATTTAGCATGCTTAGATGAAAATGATAAGTTGAGACAACAACAACAACAAAAGCACAGCAATTTAGGTTATAGATAGAATGCTCAAATAGTAGGGAGTAGGGACAATGGTTTTTGTTTGAATAGCATGCTGTTCAATTTATTTCCATTGTTGCTACCTATCACCGAATCACACTTTTTCTTCTGCTCATCCCAGGATACCATATAATTTTATTATTTTAATTTACATTGGAAAATCCATGACATGGTAAAATGGCTTCTCTTTATAACTTATCATTCCCTATCCCACTGTACCTTTATACCTTTCTAATCTTCTGGCTGAAATGCAACCATAATAGGTTTTGTGGAAATGCTTTTTATTAATTTTTTTTTTGAAACTTCATTGTTTTTGGCTGAATCCAGAATTTCAAAAAAAACCTTATAATAGTGAGTCATTTGATACATACCTTTATTATCATATTTCGCCAAAACCTGTAGGGTCACATTTTGGCCAGAACAGCCATAGACCACTTATAACACTGTCGCCCTTGAGTGGTGCATACCATATATGTACACACCCTTTAAACTTGACCATTCCCGCGTTTTATAGTATGTGGTATCATCACTCAATGGTATTGTACATTCATCCAAATTCTTAATTTTTTTTTTTAATTTTCATTACTATATTCATATGCATTGTGTTTCATGTTGTGTTGTGTCTCTATTTATAGATGTTGTTTTGTCTAACAAACTCCTTTGTACAAACAGTTTTGTACACTCCACCCATATCCCTGTTACCGCATCCACCCACTCTCCTTGCACAACTGCCTGTATAAAGGACCATATTGTACATATTTGATTTACCCTATTATAATTTATATAAATCAAAGGGGTGTATGCCGCACATCTGTGTTTTAGGCCAATATGGTCTTGTGCATACATCCCGTCTTCAGTATTTATAAGTACTTACTCTTTTATATTGCTTTTACGAGACGAATAAACATACATACATACAGACATCTTTTGCGCGTCGAGTACCGTACGGTACCGGTATGCCTTCCGACATATAAGCCCGTTTTCTTGTCACTTTGTTACCATTTGCACAGTAGGTATTGTAACCAAACACATTTAATTTAATATATTTATCCTTACTATTGAAGTTGTTAGTATAAACAGCCACCTTTCCATCTCCCATTACAAGAAGAGCCTCCGCACAGTTGCAGGCTAACCCGTTAACCGCCGTCGCATGGCGAGTGGTCCATGGCGAGTTAGCCCTCATGGCGAGTTAGCCGTCAGCCATCAGAATAACAGATTCAGATTCAGATATTTATTTTTCGTCGTGCAAAAACATTGTACATTTAAACAAATGGTAAAAATTAAATAAATACATTGAAAGAAAGAGGTACAATATTTGGACTGCAATAGACGAGGGATCGCGAAAAGACTATCAAAAGTCATCATGTCAGCGACACCATTATAGAAGCAGATTAAGTCAAACAATACAGAAATAAATCAGCAAAAATAAATGAAACAATTTGGGAACTAAAATGTACGTGAGAACAGAAGATTCGATTAAATAGAAAAAAGCATTGACGAATTTAAACAACTCAACGCCATGCTCCACCGAGCACGCCAACAACAAAGAAATTGCTGACGTGCGTGACGCAGCATAATGTTGTTGACTACTTGGGGAATTCCCTGCAGCAGCAGCAGTGGAACTACTAATATAACCAATGAATTATGATTAAGAAAAAGACATATTCAATTTATTTTGGATTGCAAAGAGCACATATATATTGGAAAATATTAAACGACATATGTGAACTACAATGGATGAAAGCATATTAAAGAAGCAATGACTATTAGAGGTAACTAAAGTTTTTGAATTTTGTCTTTGTTATAAGAGTTCATAATACAGTTATTTTGTGAAGTGACTTTCATAAGGAGCACATGCTATTAAATAATAAAATAGCAGTAATGGAAGTCAATAAGGTGAAAGGATACCTAGCTTATTATAGAATCTTGAGCAAATAAAGGTAAGAAACACAAGTGCTTTGTGAGAGAAAGTCATGCTCTGTGAGCAGCACATACTATTGGAGTATACCACAGTATTGAAGAGCAAATAAAATAATAATAATACAAGGATAGTGATAGCATATCATGAGAATAATGACAAGATGAAGGTAACACCCATAATTTGAAAAAAGTGAGTTTCAAACAGTCTGAGATACATTTCAACTCTGCCAGCCTACTGACAGATATAAGAATCTAAGTAAAGAAATTTTAGTGCTTTTTTGAATGAATTATAAGTCTTAGAGCGAAGTGTGTCTTGGAGCGTATTCCAGAGTTTCACACCGATGAATTTAATAGAGCTTTGTGAACGATTGGTAGAAAAGCGAGGCACATGGTATGAGCTATTGGCAGCGGAACGAGTTGAATGAGAGTGAACACTCATCTGTTTGACAAAATAGTATTTAAAAGCCATAGGCAGTTTATTGTTTAGGTGTTGGTGCATGAGTTTCAGTATCTCGATTTTATAAATGTCTGACATTTTGATTATTTGATTCTTATGGTAAAGAGGATCTAATCTTGACATTGGTCCAGCATGGGTCAAAGCACGGATAGCCCTGTTCTGTAATACTTCAATCCGGTGTAACAAAGTTTTATTAGCTGATCCCCAAGCTATAATACCATATTGCAAATGAGATTGAAACAGAGCGAAGTATATCATGCGTAACGTAGACAAAGAAGTATAACGCCTAAGCCGATAAAGCATTCCTACCGCCTTGGCTAATTTAACAGCAGTGTTGGTTATTTGAATGTCCCATTGCAGTTTGTTATCAATGTGGATGCCAAGATATTTGAATGAGCTAACGTTGTCAAGAATAGTTCCTTCAATCTCAATTTTCACAGATGTCTGTGATTTGGATTTACTTGGAGCAAACAACATAGTTTTTGATTTATTTACATTTAATGTTAATTTGTTTTGTTTCATCCAATTTGCTACTTTTCTTATTTCAGTGTTCACTCTGGACTGAAGCACATCCGGAGACTTGTCGCTATCTAGAAGATTGGAATCATCAGCAAATAATTTTGTAAATAATGAGGAGCTGTGTGCAAGATCGTTGATGAAAATAAGGAATAATGTCGGGGCCAAGCATGATCCTTGTGGGACTCCATGAGTCACATGTAAGGTGGGGGAACAGTATGAACCCATTTGAACAAATTGTGTTCTATTTGTCAGGTAATTTGCCAGGAGTTGGCTCGCTACTCCTCTAATTCCATAATGCCACAGCTTATAGACTAAGATTTGGTGATTAACAGTGTCAAAAGCTTTCTTAAGATCTAAGAAAGTTGCACTAATATATTCTTTTTTCTCTAATTTATCGTATATATGGGATATAGTGTCTAGAATTGCATGCGAAGTGGAATGTTTGGCTTGAAAACCAAACTGTGATTTATTAAGTACACTATGTTTTGTGAAAAAATCCATTAGCCTCCTATTAATTAAGCGTTCGAATACCTTGTTAATAGCAGATAGAATAGATATGGGTCTATAATTTGATACATGTTTTGTATTACCAGATTTAAAGATCGGAATGACTCTGGCGATTTTCAATGAAGATGGGAAAATGCCTAATCGAAGCGAGCTGTTAAAGAACTCTGTCAGACATGGTGATAATATATCTGCAACATATCTGAGAAAGCGACTGGGAATGCCGTCTGCCCCAATTGCCTTCCCGACCCGCAGGGTAGCTAATTCTATAGTTAGTTCGTTCATCGTTGCTGGACTCAAGAATATGGATTGGTTTACTCGTTTGCCAAGGTAAATTTTGAAGCCATCCATGTCATTACCGAACTTTTCAGAAAGAGCGGAACCAACAGTAGAAAAATACTTATTAAATTCTTGCGCGATCAAATGATTATCATTTATAGTAATGCCATTTTCCAGATGAATTACATCAATATTTTGCCTAGATTTATTTTTTGTGGATGCAATTTCATTAACAATTCGCCATGTTGATTTCGGGTTTCCTTTATAGAAAGCAATACGGTTTTGATAATAGATTTGTTTAGCATTATCAATAGTGTGTTTCAGTACGTTGCGATACTTTTTAAAATAAGAGCATTGGGAACTATTGCCATTTAGATAATGTGACTTGAACATCTTATTTCTTATGCGAATACTATTGAGTATTCCTTTCGTAATCCATGGCTTTAGCTTTATTCTTTTTTTACGGCGCGACAAGGGTCGAAATGGGGCGTGATTATTGATTAGACCAACAAAAGATTGGGTGAATTCATCAAATATTGCGTTATAGTTTTGAGAATTCAAATATAATGAACGAAAGCGATTGTTTATCAAGTTTTGCGTATCTGAGCGAAACTCTTCAATGCAAAAAGCAGACATATCTCTCGTTATGATGAGATCATTTCTACTAAGTGGTTTGATGCCACTTATACAGCACATGATGGGATAATGATCTGTAATGTCTGATCTAATAACATAAGAATCTAATTTTTTATTTGTTATATTGGAATAAAAATGATCAATAAGTGTGGATGATGTTTGTGTGACTCTAGTTGGTTTGGTAATTAGTGAGATTGAATTGTGAGCAATTAGCATGTTAGAGTAGTTTGTAATTTGAGTGCTACTCGATGTTGCGAATAAATTTATATTAAAGTCGCCCATTATTATAAAGGGTTTACTTGTTAATTTTGTGAGACAGTTTTCAAATATGCTTGTAAAAGCAGGGATATCATTTTTAGGGTGTTTGTATATTATGCCAATACTCAAATTTTTATCCATATTAGCCAAGCTAATTTCTAACCAGAGATCTTCACAATTAGGATAATTTAAATGATATTCTGGGGACTCTGTAGATTTAACATCATCTCTGATGAAAACACCAACACCGCCAGATTTCGAGGCAGAAGTGACATGAAAAAATTTATACCCGTCGAGGCTTATAATTGCAGAATTTTTATGCAATTTCGTTTCGCTAATGGCTATAACATGGGGAGAAATAGAGAATTTGGACAATAGTATAGTAAGTTGGTCAATATTTTTTTGAATAGAGCGAATATTTACATGGATAATCGTTAAATCGGAATCAGATGAAATGTTACTCAAATCTGAAACTTCAATATTGCTACACAGGCAACTATTAAATTGTTCACAGTGTTTCAAACTGTTTTCACAAGTAGGATTATTTACTAATACATTATTACAATAACTCGACATTTACCTATTGAGAGTAAAATAGTAGTAATGGAAAAGGAAAAATTTACCATTAAGTATGAATTGATAACCTACTTTATCAAGAGTAGATCATCTTCAGTGATGATTGGAATCGTAGCTGTATCAGAGTTCTTTTTTATCAGAACTTTCCCATTGTTAGTCCAGAGAAACTTGTAGCCACAAGATTGTTTACGCTCTTTGGCCTTGAAAAACAAGTCTTTGTTGGAGTCAGACAGATTCTCAACAATGAAAAGTTTTGTTGCTCTGGGAAATTTTGGGAAGATGGTAGAAATATCCAGGGATTTTAGCTTGCGACGATTCGTTAGGATCTTATTTCTTGTTTTCCTGTTAATGAACTTAGCAATAATAGGTGATGGTTTCCTTGTGTTATATTTTGAAAGTCTGTGGCAATTTGATATGTCAATAGATTGTAGGGGGACATCCAATTTGCTACAAATTTTAGATATTAAATTTTCACAGTTTTCGCCAACTGTGTAAGGGATGTTATGGAACTCTAGATTGTCTAGTCTGGAACGACGTTCTTGATCTTGTTGTCGTTCAGTTAATATATCGTTTTCTTCTTCGAGGTCTTGCACAAGATGTTCTAATTCTGCAACTCTTTTTCGAGTTTTGGTAGCCAACTTGTTGAGCTCATTTTGGTTAGAATTGAGTTCGTCGAATTTTTTTGAGACAAAATCTTGGCTCTTCTTGATTTCGTGGATTTCCTTTTTGATCTCACTGATGAATGTTACCTCGGATCTAATCTCATCAATTGACACTTTCAGTGATGTTAACGATTCTTCCACAGCGTTGTTATAGGTAAAAGACTGGGGAGTGTCAAGTGTAAATTTTTCAAGATGTTGCTCTATAATAGCTGGTATCTCAAGACGCAGAGTTTTGAGAATCGTACTTTCGAGTATAGAAACAAGGTTGCTGACATCATCAATCTCAATGGTGTTGGTCATTGTGGCGGTTGTGCATGTTTGTTTGTTGGTCGGACTTTTACGCCTGGGCGGCGCAGAAGGAACACTGCTGTTGTTTGGGGTGTCCATCCTCCTTTTCTTCCGTCACAATGCACAAATGAAGATATCAGTGAACATTGACAGGTGGATTACATCCAGTACAGTTTAGTTATGAATATTAAATTATGTTATGAAGTTCTTAAAAACCTGTAAGAACTTAATAACAGCAATAATGAACAATAAAAGGATTGATAAAAATAAATAAAAACTGATTATGAAATCAGAAGAGAAAACAAAACCTTAGATAAGGTTTAATAGGCAATTCTTTGCTCAGTCGTCATCCTTTAATTGAACCCCCTATCGCCAAAAAACTCAATCAGACCTCGCACAGCATTTTTTTTTAACAAGAAATTTATCACATTCACTTATGGATCCTGAAAACCAAAAATAATTGCGATATTGTGTCAAAACAGCTGTTAAACAAAGAACACATATTACGCCACACTGAAAAAGTGTTGATTACCGATGGTTAATCGTGTTGCGCAATCTGTGACGTCAGTCCCGTTTCTTTTTAGCCGCACCTCGTATGTGTGATTATATATTATACTACATTGTGATCTAATACAATACTAATCAGTGATCACCATAATACAGTGTTTTCCAACCTATTTTTCTGAATTACCTTCTTTCGATTTAATAAGGGGTTTTATTCCCCACATACTAAAGCATCAAAAACAAATTGTTAAAACTTTATTCAATTGCGGCCGGTTGGAAACCCCTGCCGTAATAGAAACGGGCTCAGTATAGAAAATAAAGATCACGGGAATAGGAGGTATATACTTTTATAAGGCTTTTTTCCCTAATGAACCTGACTAAAATCCGCCTGCCAATCTCCCGAGTCCAAGTAAGATAAAAGTCTGGTAGTGATAAGCCCATGTGGAGTACATCGCACTCCGAAAACTTTCATGAGAGTTCATTGCAATTATAAAAAATTACCAGCGTATAGAGAAAAAATTTCAACAACATAATATAACTAGCGCATGAAATCTAATGCCTGTTAGATCAATACGCAATAATGAGGTTATACCGAAAGTGCAATACTCGGAAACATTTTATACAAGTCAGCATGAGCATACAAGTCATTCGTGATTAGCGAAATTTGGTTATAATTAGTCATTCTCCGAAACAAGTGAAAACGCATTTAAATATAAAACAAACGAAAAAGTATGGAATTTACCTTGATGTGCGAGTTTTACAATTTTAAATCGAATTTATTCGAATCAATCGCAAGTTTGAATTTTCTTAAAAAACGCCGTGATTTGTTAAAAAGGGGAATTGCATAATTCAACAGGCGATACATACCGAAAAGTGGTTTTCAATCGGGTTCCGGCAGTAAAGTCCAGTGTTTCTATCCAAATCCGAGAGTATATTTAATATACATATATTGTTTAAAAATAATCAAATGCCTATTAGGTTCGCCACTATTATTTAACCTGCTCTACTTTGAGAATCATTTTGTTTTGCCGGTGTTAAGTTTGCTTTCGTATATATTCATAGTTTATACAATTCAGCCAAGTAAACTATTGTAATAGGGTCCCTCACGCCTCTGGAATTTTCATTGGGGTTCCGCTCCGACAAAAAAGGTTGAAA